TACTTCTGCAATGGAAATGAAAGTGTTTTATAAACTGCAAGGGGCAACATGAAATGACATATTATACAACCAACAACCCTTTGCTTCCCTTGTGACTACTTAATCAGCAAATTAATTTATTCAATCACTGTCAAGGTCTTCTGGTACGCAAGTAATAATTGAATTAATTCTTACAGAGATGGGAAAAAGAATTGAAATCCAGGGCTCCTAAATTAACTAATAAGTTTGATTCATTCAATACCTGGATTAGGTAGTTTATGGAAAACAGTGATATTGTGATTCCTGTTTAGCAAGCAGTGACACTTAATAAACGCTACCTATAACTGATTGGCACTTCTATTAGCAGCATTCTCACATGCTATTACGTTAGCTCCTGGAGAATCAATGAGGGCTGAGGCAAAGTCTTTGACCCCTCCCACTGCCCCCTCCTGGTCCCCACTCTGCTACAGCTGCCCCTTCTCCATGATTCAGCTGCAAGCTCACAGCTGTTTCTTTGGTGGCACACCCACTGCAGCAGAAGTTTCTAACGACATCTGCAGTGGTCCAGCTTCTGCTAGGTCATGTGCTTGTGTTGTGGGCTCACCAACTTGTGAGTAATCATATCTGGGGCTGCTAAGTTCAAAGACACTGCTAGAGAAATTTAAAGTAAGAGAAAACCACAAGGATTTCTACCTTTCAACGTCTTCATGAAAAATTACAGGCTCATCATAAGCAGAATACCTAGTGGACAATCAAAGGCTCTGCTTGAGACTGATTGCTCCCTGATTCCTATCAAGAGCCTCCCAAATGCCCCTAATACAAAGGCTACCTGGAGACAGCATGAGAATTGGTTTCCTAGGGGCATGTGAACTCTCTTTTGGGGTTCAGTCTATGATCCTGGCCAGCTGGGCAAACTGCAGAACTTTTGAGACCCAAATACACGTGAAGAGCCAGCGTTAGCTGCTCACTGCAGTCCCGGTGCCTCAGAGGCCCTTTGGCATGTGGCACAAGGATGTCAGCGGACCTGGTGACCTTCCCAAGCCCACAAAGGTGGTGGAGCCAGACAGTCAGGAGTACACCTGTGTGCTCATCTCTCTGGTCACTTCAGGCAGAGGAACTCCACTGCTGCAGGGCTGTCAGTGGCTGGTGGGATTGTGCGAAGGGTCTTTAGTCTTACACACGTGTGTGTGTGAGATGGAGTGAGTGGAGGATCCAAGGATCATTGTTTTAAATGTGTAGCATGAGCCACTTGTAAGATATTATCATTATTTTTAATCAGCATCCATAATTCCAGTGTATGGAAGTAGAGGAAATCTGTTACTGGACTACATTCTAGGATGGTCTACTTCATGGCCTGCTGGGTAGGTGGTCCCCTCCCTAACACAGTTCCCTAAATGTTTATCAAATGGTCTGCATTTCTGTTCTTAAAAAGCAAGATTTTTCTGGTTGCCCACTTGTTAAAATGTGATGGAAACAAAGTCTATGTAAATAGGGAAAGGTGGAAGGGGTGAAGGGCGCACAGGTAATGGGGAAAAAATAAGAACCAAGATATATCATGTACAGGTACAAGCACCCAATGGTAAATATAAACGTATTGTATTTTAAGGAAAAAAATGTGAATACTCTCTAGAAAACACATCTTATTAAGAGATCCACATTTTTATCTTAGTATGAGCTACTTTCTTAGTTCCTTTTGACTCTTTCAGAGACTGCAGGAAATAAAACAATGCACAAACAGTGTCCTTTGGGCTTGTGGTGGTTATCTCTGGCCAAGCCAATCCAGGCTGGGAAGGAAGGAGAGAGCCCTTTCCTCATCCTTAGGCCTGGCCTTGGGATGGTGAATCGGGGCAGGTGCTGGGAGCGAGGAGCCAGGGACTTGCGGGGTGGCAGGGGCCCCTGAGACTTTTAAAGTTGCTGCCTCTTCACAGCACCTCCATCAGCTAGTCAGAGCAACAGAGTCCTTTCGTTAAAGTGGCCTTGGAACAGATGACTCCACACACACAGTTGCACACAAGAAATGTGCCCAAGAGACCAGGACTCCATACAGGCCTAGAGCCAGCCGTCCATCTCAGTCAACCTGCTGCAGAAATTCAACTAAGTCATCCTACCTCACTCTGAGGTGGCCAGGGAGGTTCAAATCTGAACTCATATGTTTAACCCCCTGGTCCCCAGGTTCCTTCTTTCAAAAACACACCGTGCTACCTTTCTTGTGAGCCTTAAGTGATTTATAGACATCTGGTATTTAATAAACATTTCTTTTTTCTCTGAACAGAAAGGACATAAAGCTAAGTAAGTTGCAAGGGCCCAGTGCATATGCATGTGTGCTCGTGCATCCTGTCCTTGTCACACACTGACACTTCAGCACCCGCAGGCAGAATGGTGCCCTCTCTGAGTCACATCAGAAGAATGCATCCCAACGAGAGATTCTGACTTGGGAACTCCCGGTGGAGATGGAATGTCAGCACTGACCTTGCTCCTGCCATTAAATCACACATTAAGGGCACATTTAAAAATACTGTGACATCTACTCTGTCTTGGAGACGACTACTCAGATCCATAGCTGTGTGTAAAGGGAGATGCTCAATACTTCAGCTTGGTTTTTTCTTCTGTTGTTACTTGAAGTCTCAGTAATGTGAATGTTTGGTAAAAATAGAGTGGGAGCATCATAAAATCATTTGAAAATATTTACACATAGGCTTATACATCTTTAACAATAAGTATTTAACATTCCTTTATCAAAGCACTCTTTATCTATAAATTAAACTTTTTTGTTTGCTTTAGTGATGATACCTAAAGATGGAAGACATGTGATGGGGATAAAGAAAGCACCTGAATTCACTACTGCTGGGAAAACACACCTGATTGAGCCCAAGTGACAATATGTCTAGAGTTTTACAATAAAAGTTTTTCAAACCCAAAATTTGAAATGCAATTTGGAGAATCTACCCAGGAAATAATCCAGACTTCAGAAGAAGTGTTAGGTATCAAGGTATTCTTTTGGCATGGCATTTTTATGATGAGGAAGAATCATAAAAAATCAAACATCCAAAAACAGAGGAATGGGTTAGAGAACTAGGAATAACCTAACAGTCCTCGCTGTGAATACTCCATCACCCTCACCTGTCTGCTCATCACAGACTGGAAGCGTTACAAAAGCAGCACCAGGGAGGAATGAGTGAGTGGAGACACACATGATGCATGGTTTAGAGAGACAGCAGCTCAGAAGTGTACACATGATGCAATACTAGGTTGAGTTAATGAAAACACGCAACACTATAAATAGATTACAACTATGTCAGACCATACTGCACAGCCTAAGGTTGGAAGGAAATACACCCACCAACATAGAAACCAGTACAGAGTAACTTTGTGGTTTCCCTTCTGTCTTTCTGCATTGTTTTAATTTTCTATAACTAACAAATATTACAACAAGACTTGTCTCCTGAGGTGTGTGTGAAGACCAAATGTATAGCTCAGTGCTGAGGAAAAAACAGGTCATCATTAAATGTTGAGAAGTTTTGAAAAGTACTATACTACTGCTCATAATTAGCATGCTTATCTACTCTCCCTCTCAACCCATACAAAATGAAGTGAAGGAATAAAACATTCAAACCCATAAAGATAACAAAAAGGAAGAAAAGGGAACAGTGGGAGAGGGCCAGCACACAAAGAGTTTTTGACATGGAAATCCCCGTATGAGAACTCAGTGGACCCCGCCATACCTGACAGACCAAGAGGTGGCCCTGGGAGATCTGCACAGGGCTCAGAGGCATGAAAGCAAGGGTTAGAATGAAGCAGCTGAAATAATAGTGATGGTCTCTGCCATGTGAAGGGCAGGTGGGTAGAGGTGAGACAGGAACAGTGTTTGTTGGGTTTTTTCTCCTTAACTATAAATCTTTTGGGACTTTCTATTTCAACTATATTATCTTGATAAAACAAAATCAATTTTGGCCAAAGTCTGGCTCAGACATGCAGTAACCCTGAGACAGAAGGAGTCTTAACCTCTCTCTGAGCCCCATCTCTACCACTCGCAAGGTTTAATGGTGACACCTGGCGCTCCACACTTCGGCAAGCAGCGACTGGCCATATATCTAAAGTGCTTAGCATATAGGCGCTGCATGGGATGCTCAGGGGAAAAAAATCACACATGTACTGTACACATGACCTCCAAAGTAAGGTATTTTAACTATGTGCAAAGCAAACTTTATAACACGTGCTGAGGACAATTTCAGACTCTGAGCCACAGCCTTGGTGTTCAGTAACTCCTTCCTCTATGAGCTATGTTCGGTTCTGTGGTAAGGCCATAATGATAGGTGTCTGGGACCCCTCAGATACAATGTCACAAGCCAGGAATTAATGTCACGAGGCCTCTGGGCTGAGCGGTGCCTGGACCCCAGGCTGCGCCTCCCTGACCTCATAGATGGAGGCAGGAGGGGCCCGGTACCTGGAGCCCTGGACTCTGCTGTGGCTCCCACGTCGCCTGGCCCAGTACACAGGCTGCCCCTGCTCCCACACTGCCCCGCCCCTACCTCATGGCCGCTCGGAGCATGTCCGGGTGGCGGCCTGAGTGCTGTGGGCATGCGCAGGAGGAAGGACAGCCACGCCCTAAGCGGGCTGTGGGCTCTGGGTTCCCGGTGCATGGCCACTGCCTCAGCCACTGATGTCACCCTCTGGACCCAGGAACCAGGAGTCCCAGCTGCCCCATTCTAATGTAGAGTTGCCCTCCTTCGCCTTCTGGCCACCAACACCACCGTGCTGACACTGCCCCGGGATTGTGCAGGTCTGGCCCTGCCTGATAAGGTGCAGCAATCCCTACCGTGGAAAGGGGACCCTGGGCTCACTCCCACTGCGACTGGCTTAGCTGCATCATGGGCGGAAGGCACAGATGTCAGCCTCCCCTCTGCACCACGTGTGTCCCTGGCCTGAGGCCTCCCTACCTACGTGTGTGCCCACTGGAACTTGTGAGGGTGAGAGCAGCATCCCGTGCTCTGCTGAGAAAGGTAAGAAAATGATGGACTTACCTTTCTTGGCGAGGGCAGGAAGAGCAGCCGGAGGGCAGAAACTGGGGGCATCGCCCTGAGCGACTGAAAAGAAGAAGAGCAGCCTTTAGCTCATTTTCACCAGTCCACGTCACCGTTTCTGAAGACCTCAGCAGCGCTCAGGGCAGCATGGCGGGAGGGAAGTCAGACTCGGGGGACAGGTGGGTGGCACCAGCCCCTGCGGTCAGGATGAGCCAGGCTGTGCTCAGGTGAGGTGACACCAGCCCCACGCTCCAGCGGCTAACGGCAGCACAGGCCCCCCTGCTGTACCATACCCTGAAGCAGGGGTGAGGGATGACTTTGTATCACTTCCCTCAAGGCCTAGGCCAAGGAAGGCCCCAAGTTGCCCCCAGGCTTTACCCATCACCTCTCGGGCAAAGAGGAGGTACTGAGTAGAGCTCTGTGTGGCACTGACACACGCCTCTCACTCAATCGCTGGCCAATCCCTGGTCAGGATGGAGAAGCGTGGCCCGAGCGCGGGAAGCCAGACACAGCCAACCTTGCCACTGCCTGCCACCATCACTACTGGCTCTGTGGACAGGGCAAAGCACTTAGCCTCTCCAGCCTCTTTCCACATGTGCACAACGGGCACAGTGCTGTCTACCCCAGCAGTGACTGGTTTGACATTTAGTCCTGTGCCTCGCAGAAGAGTTCAGGCAATGACGGCTGTTAATGGCAGGCCCCATGGCAAAGGGACACAGGAACCTCAGTGGTGGGCAGACCTGAATTTGAACTCAAGATTCCAAAGAGAGGTAGAGTGACAGTGGCTCCTCTAACCTCTTTTATACCCAGGTGTGGCACTGGCAGAAGGAGGATGATCTAAGAGTGCAGTGAGATAGACTGATTTCCTACAGTGGCCCAAATGAAGTTCAATCCATTTGTGCTTTAGACTGAAGCAAGAAGTGCGAAAGGCATGGTTCAGTGTACTTTCCCATATCCACGGGGAGACTATGTCTTCCTCTCTTTCCAGAGAGCTGAGACAGAAGCAGAACACACAACCTACATCTATTTGAAAGGCCGGTGAGGCGCAGGTTGTAGGAGGACACTATAAAATTCAGAGGATGGGCAGAGCAGTCCAGGTCTACGGGAGAAATATACCATCTACACTGGACAGCTGCAGTGGGAAAAGGCAAATGGCCCAACTGTCCACGTGGGCATCGACCCCAGCAAGGCAGTTATTACCAGGTTAAAATTTGGACAAAGCCTGAACCAAGAAAAGATCCTGCTACAGAAAGCCAAATCTTTCCACGTAGGGCAAATATAAGGAGAAACCATTGAGAACATGCAGGAATAAAGAAATCCTACATGCAACTGTTACTAAACAGATAAAATTAAAAAAAAAAAAAAAAGAATGAAGTGAGAAAACACCCACACGTGAGGTGATGTGTAGATAGTAATGATCTCCTTTCTCTTCAGAAGAAAGAAACTGTGTGGCTTTGACTGTCTTCTTAGAAGTCCCTTGGGCTCTGTAAACGAAGCAAGGGCCTCTTCCACTCGCTAGCTACAAACAGGAGGGGCAGTTCTGGTTCTCTTCCAGAGTGAAGGGACCCACTGCCTGCAGCCCATCCCTTCCAGGAAGCCCAGGACTCTGGCTCTGCTTGGCTAAGGAGCAGCGGCTTGTTCCTTCCCTCACTCTCACCCTGGTCCTCCGGGCTCCCCAAACCTTTCCCTCTGGGTCCTCATTTGCATCCTCAATTGTGTAGCCTTGGCCTCTGCAGTTCTGCGCTAGGACACACAGAGCTTTCTGTTCACCTGGGGGCAGTAACTTCAGAATGCATCACCAGTGCATCTCTGAGTTCTCTGGGGTCCTTCTTGGTTCTAGCCCTCTTCTGGGCTTGTGCCTTTGCCTCCTAAACCTTAGGAGATTCACCCATTGCTCTGTGAACACAGCCATGAGACAAAGGTTAGGGTGTAATGACAAGCGTGTGGACCTCTCTGCTGAGTCCTGAGGCTTGAGAGGCAGGAACATGCCTCCCTTGTCCTTGTACCCCAGTGTCTACCGTAACCAGTGGTCATCCTGCTCCTCCACATCTGTCCTTTAACTCAGGCCAGCTCTGCCCTGGAGCCATTTCGAGACAGTCAGAGACCCCTAAAGGGGAAAGGGCAGGTCCATTACTGGGCCCTGAACCTATGACACATTAAAAGCTCTATTTGTGTTTGCTTCTTAAAGTGACTCTTCACTTGGGCCTACAGATGCCTAGTGAGTGACTTTGGATCAGATGCCTGCTCAGCTCTGCACACTTCATGTTCCTCATTCACAGAGTGTCTGTCTGAAAACTAGAAATAACCTATATCCCCTTCAAGACTGAAGACATTAAGATAAGCAATTTATGGGGCCATGTAACTACCAATGGGTGTTTAAAAAGCTCCCACTGTTGTCCTAAATACACAGTCACCTAGGACCCAGCAAAGCCTGAGGGAAACTGAGATTGCCCCAAGCAGAACAATCATTTCACAGAGACAAGATTGCTGCCTCGACCAATAATGACTTCTCCAGAGCCATCTTATAAACCCAGACCTGAGATAATGACCTACCAGACCTAGCCCATCTCAGTTGCTCTATAAATTCCACCCTCTTCCCTTTGTTAAAGGACCAATCTGGTCTTCTCCATCAGAATTGTGTCCCCTTCAGCTTCCTGAGCTGAAGTCCCTTCCCATTTTCTCTTACTTTCTAACTCCGTCTACTAAATCAGCCTATGCCTGTGACAGACACGTCTTCAAGTGCTTTTCTGGAACACGACATTAAGGATCTGCCCAGACTGAGTTGAGGTCCCTTTCTCCTCTCTGAGGGGAACTTCCTGGACCCTGCCTGGTGACAACTTCATCAGGTCAGCATAGTCCCTGAAGGACAACATTCTTTGATCCCCTCCACCTGCGAAGGCCCCTCCTCTGCCTCCAGCGGGCCCAGTCACCTCCCAGGTTGTCTGGTCACAGAGGTAACAACTGTCTCCTCAGTGCGGGACAGGGAGGGGCACCCACCTCCCAGAGGGCGTAACAGGATGCAAGCAAAGTGCTTCCCGTGCTGCCACATTTGAAGTGCTTCACAAGGGGTTTTCTCGTTCACATCTGGCCCCTCAACCAGACTGTCACCTATGGGACTCCCTTGTCATGCTCCACGGCATTCAGTGCACATTAGGAGCTTAGTGAAGGCTACCTTCTGCCCCTCAGCGGCAGGCGATTCATGGTCAGCAGCTCACAGTTACCAGAGGATAGAGATGTTTATGTGCTTAATAATCAGACCAGGCCAAACATGGCCGAAGTCTGTTATCAGTATTCTTCAGTAGCTGCTTGGTAATGCTCGTGTGTCATGTATGAGTGCTGAAGGAGAGGTGACCTAGAATGCCAGCCAGCCCTCAGGGCTAAGGCCCGGGGCTCCTCCTTCTAGCTTTCCCTTCCCTATGGAGACCGTTCCATACCATTATGCATGTGGTTGGCTACAAAGACAAGGATGAGGAAAAAAGGTAACAATGATGTCAGCTATGTGTCAGAATGACCCCAAAGGATGCCGATGTGGTTTTATTTATGAAAGAAAAGAGAAACCAAGAATGTACAATATGCAAACCCTGCTAGGGAAAATGCTTTGTTTGGCTCAAGATATGTCATGAATCCAAAGATGGTTTTGTACTGGTCAACATGACCCAGTTGGGGGAAAAGTCTGATTCATTAGGCCAGTTTCCTTAAGTAAGCTCTGCTGCAGTTACTCATATATGTTTGTTGTGAGTATCTCCTCTCTAGGTTGTGAGTCTCTAAAAAAAAATCCCTATATTTTATTCATTTCCCATTTCTCAGTGGCCCATATGCTATGTGACCCACTACAAACACTCAACAGAGTTTCCAAGCTTCTAGCCTTATGTTACAAGAGACTCACAACCAGGATGGGTTGCTTATTTAAGGTTGGGTTATTTACTTGAGTCTGTCACTCCTGTGAGCGCCTAGAGGACAGGAATCCTGATTTATCCACACTCAGCGATATAACATAGCGACTTAAAGTCAGAAAGGCCAGGGTCCCAGTCTAACTCATTTGCCTGCCATGTGACCTTGGGTGAGTAAGGTAACTTCCCCGGGCCTCTATTTCCTCATCTGATGCGGTGCAGGGTTTAAATGAGATCACGTTGGCAAAGTGAAAGCCCAGCGCATGGAGGCTCCCAGATTTGGCTGGTGTTCGGGCCATGTTTGCTGAATGTAAGAACTTCTCTCTGAATTTTAATTCCCTGCCCTGTAGTTTCCAGTCCAAACTCTTGAGTCCCCAGCCTGACCCCACAGAGTATACGCTGGCAGCAGTCAGTGGTCTGGGCAATCAGATAAAAAGAAGCAAACAGCTGGATCGAGCTGGGATAAGAAGGACCTTGGGCCCTTTCCCTTGCCAACTCCTGTCAAGATGTCAGAACACTCTGGGCTGATTTCCATTAGATTTCTGAACAAATGGGTTCCTGCTCAAACATTTTACCCAAGTCTTCCATGAGTCATATGAAGATGCAAAAGGACACTTTTCACTCCAGTGGGGTGAGGAGGTGACAGGACAGACAGACGGGCAGGAGGCTCAGGGCTGGCCTCTGGTGTCCATCAGGGCTAGGAGTCATGGGCAAGCATTCCCTCCTCCCTGCTCTGAAAGGTAAATCCAGGAGACGGATTTGGGTGGTGGAGGCTGTTTCATTATATCACTCTGAAGTTTTTCCTAAAACAATTCAAGATGTTGAAATAAAAGAAAAAGTCAATAGCGTGAATTCAAATCAAGTCACAGGCTGCTGAAGGTAGATATCAGCAGGAAGATTCTATTCAGCCTGGAAATAATTAACTCCAAAAAAGAGAAATCTGCCATGAAGTTGAGGAATCCACAGGGTCACAAGCAAGGTCAAGAATGCTGCTGCCTGGGAGTCCAAGCTCTGCCTTCCAGTTCCAGCACCGGAGGCCAAACCGCAAAGGGGCTGGTTGCCAGCGTGCTAGTCTTTTCCTCCAGTTGATTAGTCAGTTTCTAGTTAGTCAACTGAGTTGGGGGAAACCAGCCATACAAGACGTCTGGAGCTTCTACTACTTGAAGGCCTGCCGGGAGGGAGCTGACATCCAAGAGGGGATGAGGGGACTTGGGGCCGTCAGATTTGGGCTTGTAACTTGACTATACTTCATACTGGGTCCAGCACCTCCAGCATTCTATGCCACACAGTTCACGTATTAGCGGGGAGGGACTATGTCTGCTCTGTAGGCGTGCTCTGGGTATGAATTGAAGTAGTCCAGGCAGTTCTAGCATGTGTCTGACACCCAGAAAGCACTGAAAAGTCACTCCCTGCTTTGGGTGGAGTAATGTGAAGGGAGGGTGTGAAGAATAAGAAGACTACCGTTACGGATCTCTATCTTCCTTCAGATCAGACATCCCTTGCTCCTACTTCTCGGGAGGTGCCAGGAAGGACCGGGCCTTTTCAGATTTTGTCAAAGTGAGCAGTGAACGCTAGTGTATTGCTTGGAGAGACCGACCCTCCACTTGGCCTTTCTGTTTGACTCCTCCCAAGACAGCGTTTTCAATCTTATGGGGTCTGGGACAGATTTGTGACTTTGATTCTGGGACAGGCAGATCTCTAGTTTCTTCCACTTTTTCTACAGTCTCACATCGCTCCCCCGGTCCCCCCATACCACCAGCACCCAGAATGTGAGAGGTGATGGCACTACACTGAGTCTCATTCACCTGTTTCATGGAAGAAGAAACTGACAAGGATCATGACTTTCCTGAGCACAAACCCATGGTGGATGCAGAGACACTAATGGTTCCTCATGCATCTCCATTCACTCATTCCTGCATCAATTTCAAACCGGGCTCCTACAAGGTGCAGGACATATGCCTTGCACGACTTCTGTTCACATGGCTTAAGGACCCACACTGGGCCAATGCTGCCTTGCTCCTGAAGCTCCAGCTGCACTTGCACTGTCAAACACAAACAGGTTGTCACCCTTTCCTTCCCTAAGATTGCTACATGACACGCTGTCCTGATTAACTCCCCTGATTAAGGTGAGATGGCAGAGTGAACATCTGTTCATTTGGCCTGTCCAGCAACAAGACCTTACCCATACTTTGGGCAACTTCCCCTCCCCCAGTGCACCCAGGCTTGTTGGCACCGTCACTCACACATCTTACCCTCCTTCTGGCAGTGCGTAGATTCAGCTCAAGCTGTACCGAACTTTGTTCCTTGAATTGAAGCTTTAATATACCAAGTGGCCCCTTTGGAGAAGATCAGTGACAACTGTGGTGCCCTGATGAATTGGGCCACTTGTTCTTGTTAAATGCATCTGTGGAGACTGCTCCTTTTCCAGATGGAGATCTAGCGGCTCATCTTTCCTTTGACACAATGAGCAGACTCCCACTCAATTTCTATTCTGCTTGCAGTACAGAGAATCAGTGTCTGTTGCTTGCACCCACTGAATTCTGATCCATCTACTTCCCAATCTGAGGACACTGTGAGGGTGGGACACAGTGTACTAAAGACTCCAACAGAGCTGCCAGGAATAGGTCACTTACTAGGCTTCTGGTACCATCCAAAGGGGTAGGTGCGAACTTCTGTGTCAGGAGAGCCACAGTCCAAGATGCGCCAGGCTCCTCCACCTTCATCACTGCACATCTGAATTCCCATGCTGCTCAGAGTTAGACAGGTCACCTCTCCTCCTGGGGAACACATAGCCAAGACCAGGATGTTGAGCAGGAGAGGAGAGGAGATTCTAATTGAATGAGGGAAATCCTATAAATCAGTGCTCAGCAGACATCTGAGGTTCACTACTGCTTTCTGGGAGGATCCTGGCCTCCGATGCAGACCTGGCCCCTTTGTGTGAGGAGCCTCTGGCCTAGGGGCTCAGGGCTAGGGGTGCCTGCTGCTGACTGAGCACCTGCCTACTGTGCCACAGAGTTGTGCCAGGCCCTGCTTACATCACTTCCCTTGGTCCTCACAGGACGCAAAGAGGAAGGTAACATGTATATTCCTACTTATGGATGGGAGACCCAAGTCTCAGGAAGAATGTAAGTGACTCAGCTAGAGTCCCATCACCAGTAAGTTACTCCACAACATTTCTGGGGGATTTTGTTTGTCTGTTTGTTTTTTTTGGTTTTTGGTGCTGGGGCTCAAACTCAGTGCTTTGCGTGTGCCAAGCGAGCACTCTCCAACTGAGTTACACCCCTACTCCAAGACCCTGATCCAGGTTTTAAATATGGATGTATCCAAAGTCCACCCCACCAAGCCACCTGACAGAGTGCTGAAAGATGAGCTGAAAACTGCTAAGCGAAGTGTGGAAGGGAGGAAGGCTATATGGGTCAAGCAGAAATGCATGTGTAGGGTCGACAGGTCCCCAGGTTGGGAGTCACATCCAGCTGTCACACTGATGAGCCCCCTGCCCTCTCCAAGCCCCCAGATTATGAATGAGGATCCCTTCTTTCCCTCACTTGCAGAGGTCCTAAGGATGAAATGAGTCAGAAGTGTGAACGTGTCTTCTAGCCTGTAGAGTGCTGTGCAAGAGGGAAGGACTTGTTATTATTAATACCTTTTAACTGGGACACATTTAGAAATCCAAAGCCGGTGCAGCATGGGTCCAAATCACATAGTCGTTCACATTCAAAGAACCTGGCATCAGAAGAGAGAGAGCAGGTCTTAGGGCTTCAGTGGGGCCCAGCACCCACTCAGTGGGATGAATTGTCATCACTCTTACTTTCAGAGGTCAGCTTCCTTTGTAACTACCTAAAGTGTGGGTGCTTTGGCCAATGTGTATGAGGGGATTCCTAGCATTGAGAATCTTTCTGAAAGCAAAGTTCTCTTTGCCGGAGAATGCTGTCTTGCCATCCTTCCTTCATTCATCAAGCATATATTCTGTGCCTGTTACACACTAGGCTCCAAGTCAAGCTAATCCAGTAATCTGAATTGCTCCTACAATCTTTTCAGAGAAGGAGGAAGTCTCAGCTTTGGACTCTGGGAAAAGGAAGACACAGCAGAAAAGCCATCTCTACATGGTAGGGGGGTCCACGTCCTACAGTCAGGATGACCCTCTGGGGGCCTGTTTAAGTAGCAAAGAGCTGAGCTTGTGCCTCCTTGGCTTCTCCTCTTACCCTGCGACATGAACTAATCACATTCCAGGAAGGTGTGTCTGTCGTCAGGCTCATCCTACTAGGCTTTCTCCCCCGTACCTACCTTGCTATCCTTGGTGCAGCTAACCAGACCCACCCTCCAGTTTCCGGAACCAGTCATAGTGGGAGGACCTCAGTGGCTCCAGCTAGTGCTCTGAAGCTCAGTTTTAAGTTCTTCCTGTCCTGACCATGTGTCCCAACCCGATTCCTGAGAACTTACTCGGCCTCTGTGTCCTTTTTTGGTGTGTGGACCCTGCCACATTCTTACTGTTGCTTTTCCATGAGCCAAGTCACATCCTAGTGTTTGAAGGTTTTATCTGCTGGGCAATGCTGGCTGCATCTCTGCCCTAACACCAAGGAGCTACCTTCCTGGCTTTCCCTCCCCAAGTCCCTGTCCATCTGTCCACCTGCCACTTCCTTTTGCTGTCTTGAAATTACATTGCTAAGCCTGAGCTTGGACCACTGGTTTTCCATGCTTCCCTGAGTTGGGATACCCTTGCTCCATTCCACCAGCTCCTATACCAGCACTGAGTTCAGGCTGATCCCTGGCTCCACCCTTCTGTCAGCATGGGTGATGTCCAGCTGGACCCCAAGACAAACTTGCCCGCATCATCTTTTTACCTCCATTTTCAGAAGAAGATACTAAATGCCAGAAACATGAACTTCACAGCTCAATAGTACCTCATAGATCAATAGTTCATGGATCAATGACTGAGTAAAAAAATTTACGAGGTACTATGTACATGTGCCAAATGTCCACAATGAATGTAAACATACGTCATAACCATGAACTGAAACAGTAATAATAAGAATGAAAATGTGGAAAGAGATGAGCATAGGGAGGGAGATGGTAAGGGGAAAGAGATTAAAAAAGAATCAAGCTGTGTTATATACACGCTCCTGCTCCCTAAAATGAATGTAAACTTCATGTGCTGCAAACACATACTTATTCCTTAAAATTTCAGTGCTTGAGCCCCATCCCAGGAAGGCTGACTTAGTAGTCCAGGATGGACCCCAGGACAGTGGTTGATAACAAGCCCTCCTGGTGATTCTGATGGGTAGGATTCATCAACCTGGTTCATTTCCATGCTTGATAACTCTTATTAATTGACAAGATATGGCTCAATGCATCTCTTTTCCACTGTCTGACTAAAGCTTAAGAGATAAAGTTGGTGTTTAACGTCAGTAGCTTGCCTTAGCCCAGAGTTTAGGTATGACCACCTTCTTGTAACTTTTATTCCATTTAGCTTTGGGCTATGCAGTGGTTATTAGGCTTTTGTCTTTAATTGCTATGGCTTCACCCTTTTCGTGGAAGCAAAAGGGTTTTAGTAATAAATGTTAAGGCCAGGGAAGAGGTTGCTTACCCATTGGAAATGGGCTTTTCAGACATGGGCACTTTGTTTCTAATGGAAATCCCTGCCAGCTTCTGGAATGGCAAGCGAGTGTAAAAGTTCTTCACTCTGTTGTTCAGTTCAACTGCACAAAAGAAAAGAGATGTTACCACTTGGAGAGAAATTCACTGTACCTGTGAAAACATTAGCACCAATGAGTAGAAACCAGACTGAAAGCTTCCATTGAAGATGGCACACTAAATTCACACACTGACTCTTGCTCTCAATCAAAATCTCATTAAAATAAAAGTCGGGATTCTTGTAAAAGCATAAGAGCACGATGGTGGAGAGAATAGGAGAGGAGATGTAATTAAACACTTTGTGGAGGTAGAAAGCATGCAGAGGTAAAACTTGGTTCCATAGACCTAAGAAGGCAGACTCTACTTTCTGTGGGGAGAACCAAGAAGCAAGACCATGACCCTCTGGCTCTCGGAAGGTTCAAGCGTCAGCAGCTCTGAAGGGAGAAAGAAGCCTAAGCAGTGGATGGAGTGACGGTCTCGTTCAGAAGACTGAGGTCGCCACGTGCTTCTCTGTTTCCACATGACAAGTGTCTCTCCCAGCATGGAAGAGTACGGAAGGCTTATTCCTGGAGAGGACATAAGAGAGGGTCTCTGGCTGCCCTGGAGAGCGGATGGGATGCACACTATGGTGAAAGAGGGGTCCTTTCATGTCAGTCTCCATAGTAAGAACTGAGAACCCCTGCCTCCGACCTGATATGGTGTCCAAATCACCAGCAGCCAGGCCTATGCATTCAGCAGGTACTGCAAGATTCCTCTAAAGCAAGGACCTGAAAATGTTGACATGAGAGATTGCCCAAAGCTTGGCCCAGTCAGGTTGTTCTAAAGCCAGAAGCTTTCACCAAAGCTTCTCCTTGGCCTAGTGGGCCTGACTACCATTTGAGTGGAAAACCTAGAGCCACCAGATACCTGGTAAGAGCCTTCAGCAAAGAAGACAGAAAGGGATGCTAAGGTCAGCAAAGTCTGGGGGAAAGACAGACTACACAGGGTGAAAAAAGAACACCAACTACAGTGTTATTAGTGCTCTTGGTGAGAAACACCACCTTTGATGGTGTTACAGTCACAGAGGCTGGAACCCACTGCACCCCACAGCCTCATGGGATTCCAGGTGACAAGTGCACCAGCTACAACACTCTCTATGTGCTTCTGAGTGCATTAAAGAGAAGGACAAACAAACCCGGCTGTTTCTGAAACCGCAGAGCAGCCTCCCACTAGAAACCCAGCAGTTGCAGACACCTGAGGGCTCACCTTTCTTCCGGAACAGGGTCCCTGGCTGCTGTGGCAGGACCAGGCTGCAGCCCCGGGCACTGGACTCCAGAACAGCATCACACACCTCAGCCTCAGGGTAGAGGGAACAGGTGAAGTACAGGGGTGTATTCTCTGTTACCTCTGCAAGCCGACAGAAAGAGGGCTCCTGGGAGCAGCCTGCAGCAGAACAGTTGGCTTTCAGATCTCAGGAGGCTCACAGGGGAGAATTACCTTTAAGGGATCCCCTGGGGGAAATGTCTGGCAGAGGCTCTTCTTAGGGGAGTCATGGTTGTCCAGTCTGGGGTTCTCCTGCCTGGGGAGGGACTGTGTGGTCCAGAATAAAGGCAGAGTAGAAGTGGGAATAAAGGGTAGACCGTAAACTCAGCAACACAGGAGTGAAAGGATACCATTCTATGGATCCACCCATGACCATATTGGAGGCAAGATCTGCAAACCAGACTTGTGAATTTTGTGAGTGATCTCCTTCTCCCTTCTCCCTTCTCCCACATCACTCATTGTCAGAGGTAAGGGTGAGCTCCTTGAGGGCAAGAGCATGGCTGATTCTTTTTGTCTTTTATCCCTAAGAGCCAACACATGGCCTAGAATAAAATGCGTATTCAATAACTCCTTGGATGGATGGATGGATGGACAGATGGATGGATGGATGCACAGATGGATGGACAGATGGACAGATGGATGGATGATGGATGGATAGATGGATGAATGGATGGATGGATGGATGGACAGGTGGATGGATGGATGGATGGATGGATGGACAGATGGACAAATGGACAGAAGGATGGACAGATAGATGGACAGATGGATGGATTGATGGACAGATGGATGGATGGATGGATGGATGGATAGACAGGCAGACAGGTGGAGAAATGAATGGGCAGATGGACTGATAATAGATTGATAGGTTCTGGGACCAGAGCAGAGACTGAATGACTACATGGTCATTCTGGAAGCTTCTGGAAGACAGGGATTGGGTCCTGTCTATCCTCTAAGAATGTAGTGACCCCTGAGTAACAGCACTGAGGCTGGTCTTATCTGTGTCTCCGGAGTTGAGCTAAGCTATGACCCCCAAACCCAGAGTCTGAAAGCTGAGGCATATAACCTAAGGATACTTACGAGAAAGGCACCACAGCTTTGCCTGTTGGTCTGAAAACAGGTGTTTGAAAAGCCAGTGCCGCTGACTGGGCAGGGATCTGTTTGCATTCACAGTGATCTGGGTGAGGTCCACAGGGGAGAAAAGTTCTGCTGTTGAACCTGAAAAAGAAAGTCAAGTCCTTCACCCTTATCTCTACATGAATATGAAACAGACACTTGATGTTCCTTCAACTACACCTGCCCTTGGAGTCTTGGCATCGGTGACCTTCTGACCTGGAACAAATTCTTCCAGTGTCCCCTGGGAGTGTTTGGCAGATCCATCTGGACTTCACTCAGAAGCTTCCCCTGACTGCTATGGGCTTCCTGGCACCCTCCTTCCCCTGCATTCCTACTGCACTTCACATCTGTCTTCCCACACCCTGCCAGTGTCAGGTGGTGGCTGGTCTGTGGATATCTGACTGTTCTGTGAACATCCAAGTGACCAGCACATATGCTTAAGAAGCATCTGGTAGACAGAAGAGTGATTACTGTAGCTCCACACCTCCTTGTACCTTGCACAGATGCCATGTTAGGAGCCCATGTTCAATGTGCCTTTAACTCTGTGCTCCCCTTAAAGGGAAAGAGACCGGGACTGGGATGGCCAGAGGGAGCTGCTCATACTGCTTCCCTCTGCTTGTCTCCTGTCTCGGACTGACCACAGGGACTTGAGGCAGAAAGGGGAAAATCTCCCTGTGCTTTGAATCAGAGAATCAGAGGTCTTTCCCATGGACCCTGAGAAACACAGTCTGGGCCGGAGCCCCTGGAGAAACTGACCTGGGCCCAATGGCATTTCTTCTGCAGACATTTTATCCTTTGCATCCCAGGAATGTGATCAGCTGAGAAAGGAAAGCTGAGCAGAGCATTTTCTGTTCACTCTGTCTCCTCGCAGGGCACTGGGCAGGGGCCAAGCTCCCATTCTAGTGGGGAGGGTGGCCAGAGGACCCTCCTGTGGGGATCCTGTGACAGCGCTGGTGGTGCAGCCCTGGCACAGTGCTTAATGTGGGTTTTTAAAACACTCTCAAGTGCCCCCACCTCATACACCTTCACCCTGCCATGAGCTGTGAAGTTACCCAGGAAAGGCTCTGCCCACAAACACAAAGGCTTGGATAAGAAGCGGACAGGACTGCAGGGTGCTGGTGATGTCTGGAGAGCACTGGACACACACTAGGAGGGAAAGGATGGCCAGCTTCACTCAGCTCAGAAGGTGATTGCCAAGAGGAAATCTGAAGTCAGTGTTGCTAGAGTTTTTCCTGTCTTTCTCTAGAGAAGCCAGAAACCTGAATTTTTATATAATGTCCCCCAATTCTAAAATATTGGCTCATTTATTTAAAAAACTAGAAGTCTACTCTGCAAATTAAACAAGTAACACCCACTGTGTCAGCCAACTCTGGGTTCTGAGCTCGAATGCCCACCTTGGCTATGTGAGGGGTCAACGGGGATTCGAGAAAAACCCAGACTCAGGTCAGTTGGTTGGATCCTCACATTGCTACATACTTGGGACTGGGCAGGGCTGGCTGAAACTTGGGACACTGAGTCACCTCACACCCTTCATTTCTCCTTAGTAAAATGGGAACCCTGACCAGCATACATAAAGCACAGTGCAGGGCTTTTCCCAGGTGGCTGGGGGACTGAGACCTCGCTTTCCTTCACAGCCCTCCCTGAAGTGTCAGCTCCCTGTCTTTCACAGGAAAATGGTGAGGACAACCGGTAAACTTGAGCACACCTATAGTGCACTTTGGAGGCAAGTGTGCCCATTGACAGCCCTGGCAAAAACCAGAAAGGAGAGGAGACAGAAGAGGTGTGGAAGAGAGCTGCTCAAAGGGGAAAGGCCCACCAAGAAGGTGCCTCCTGTAAGGCAAAGCTGATGTTTCCAGTGAAAATGTCTGAAGGGGCGGAAGGACGGCACTGGGGTTGGACAAGAATAGGAGCCATGGCCCTGCTGCCCATCCACCTGGGGATCAGCTAGCTGATAGGAAGACAGGCAGGGCGGGGCCGAGACTCAGCTAAATGCTTGCAGGAACCAGGCTCTGCAGTAGGATCATAAGCACAAACAGTTCCTGTGGATAAAACAGCTCCTGCCTTGTGAGCTCAGCCTCTAAACCCCAGCAGTTTAAAGAATCTTCCCTCTAGTTCCCTGACTCCCCTACCACGTGGCTACTGCCAGGACTCTCACAGACAAAGATGCTGACACTCAGAGGTGACTCACTCATGGGAGCAGCCAGAGACAAAACTGGGCTTCGAACCTGGTCTCTTGAGCTGAGAGCCCACACTCTAAGCAGAGGACACTGCTCATCTCACAGCAGCTCTGGGCACAGAATGAGCTCAGCCCCACTAGCTGACTATTGTGAGATGAGCCCTTTGCAGCTGAGATGTGTGTTTGTGTGTGTGTGTGTGTGTGTGTGTGTGTGTGTGTGTGTGTGTGATCTCATTTGACCTGTAGAGAAATTTTAGGAAGGGAAAGAAACTACCATCTGTCAGGCACCAGGTAACATGCAGGAGTTTTGCCGTCTCTGGGATAAGAGGGGTAAGAAACTTTCATTCTACACCTGAGGAACTCAAGGCTTAGCATGTGAGCAGACTGCCCATGGCCACACAGTCTGCAAATGGCAGACACTCTCTCTCTCCCTCTCTCTCTCTCTCTCTCTCACCCCTCCCCTCCCCTCCCTCCCTTTGTGTGTGCGTGTCTGTCTGTCTGTCTCTGTCTCCCCAGTGCTGGGGATCAAACCCAGGCACTTACTCATTTTAGGCAAGAACTGTACCGCTGAGCTATGCCTCCAGCCCACAAGTGGATCATAAAGTGGAGCTCAGCTCCTTGCTGCTCTCTTGCACCTATTTGATGCCTTCTACCATGGAACTGATGGTAAGAAGGCCCTTGCCTACTCACTGTAAAAGAGCCAACCTGTTTTGTGGCATCCTCTTACAGCAGCACAAAGTAAGCCACTCTTCTTCCCTCCTCCTTTCTTCCCTCCTCCTCCTCTTCAATCCTTCCCTCTCTCCCTCCTTTCTCCCTCTCCCTCTCTCCCTTGCCCCCCACACTGCTTTTTGGGTCCACTTCAGCAATAAGGACCACCGGTTCTAAAGGTGAAGTCTCAGACGTTCCGTATGTGTCATCCCTATTAGTTCCACAAATGCCCCCACTGCATGTCGTGACTCATTTTCAAAATCTTTCTCATTCATTAAACAATTTTGGCATATTTGTATGTTTATACTCTTCAAGACTGACTGACATAAGAAGTAGTCATTGACCACAGCCATGTGAAACTTGCTCTTTAATATGTGCCTTTTTTCTGGTTTTATTATTAGGGTTGTTTTTGTTTCCAATGATGGTGGTGAATTTCTAAGTTTGCCTTAATTTCTGTGCCAATCACCCATGTAAGGAGTTGCCATGTTGTGAAATAGGAGAGATGCTCAGAGGGGCATTTGAGCCTGAAGAACAGAGTGAGCAGCGAATGGTGAGGGATCCACTCATTGATTCCACCCTTGGTACCACCATTTTGTCTCCACAGACACCCAAGCATGTCAAATGTTTGGGGGCAGATACCTGTCTCTGCTGGAGATTCAGACCTCTGTACCACATCTTTTTGGCATCCCATAGACTCTGGTCGAGACGCCATGTCAGAATCTAGGAGGAGCAGAAGAAGAGTACACATGACGTCGAGGAGTAGTGTTCCTTTAGTAAACGTGGTAGAAACAAAGCGGGAAATTCTCCTGGTCCACAGCCAGGAGCTGTGAAGGTCTGGAGCAGGCCCAGCAGCACAGGTCTGCATGCCATGGCCTTGTACTGAACGTCAGCCAACCCATCCGTAATAGAACCCTCATGGTCCTTGATATTGCAATTCTGAACATTTGCCCTGTGGTGTAAAAAATGTTCATAAATACTGGTGTTTCCAGCACCCTGTGAAGGTGAGGAATCAGATTTCCATGTTATTCTTGAGAAAACTGAGACCCAGAAAAATAATTTATCTTAGATCACTCAGGTGGTGAGAAGACAAGCTGGAATTTGAATAAATTTAACAAAATTCCACAGCACTACTTGGAGATCTGTCCCTGGGGATCTGTCCTCTGACCTGAGCCCCCAGACTCATGGAGCCCAGGCTCCTTGGACAGATTCCTGCTGTAGTTGGCAACAGCCCCATCCATCCCCCTATCCTGGTAACCAGGGCAGCATGTGTTCAGTGAACTCAGTCTCCGGGAACCCAGTTTTTCCTCCCTCCCTCTTTTCTTGGGTTTCGGCGCTGTGCATTTTCCTTTTAGAGTGTGGTGTCTTATCTGATGAGGCGGGGGCCCTCCTGTTATACAGAGAGCACTCTCTTAGAAAGCAGATCTCTACCTCTTCTCTGTGGGGAGCAGAGTGCCCAGTGAAGGACAGGCAGGGCCAATCTCTAGCCCTACCACTTGTACCACCAAGGGAGCTTACCTTTCCAGAGATAAACCTGCTGGAAACTGATAACAGTGCCCGGAGCTCCTTCCAGGGGTGCCAGACCTACAAAAGCACATTGTGATTTTCATGAATATGTGGGTACTTGCTCTCGGTGAGCAACCACCATTACCACAACAGCCCGGCTTCTCCCTCAAATCGTCCTACGTGCTTCAAAAGCCTCTTGGAACTCGATTCTAACTCCATGGTACAAAACCAGAGCTGTCAGACCTCAGATGTCGATCTCAGGCCACGAAAGGGACTGTTTGGCTGAGGGCTTGTGAATCATGACATAAGAGAAAGACTTAAGGGACTGGGAATTGGCTTTAAAAGAAGATCACATTCCCAGGAAGCTCCAAATCTTGTTTTCAATATTACCTAGCTCCTCTGAGCCTCATTGATCAGTGTGGAATGAAACTGTGAGGATAGGAAAATATATATATATATAAAATGAGTGTTTGAGGATCCCGGAAGACAGTATATATGCTGTCTTCCGGGATCCTCAAACACTCATTGGCAGCTGCAATTATTTATTGTTAATATTATTAAATTCTCTTTTCTGGCAAACTCTATTCTACTGGATGCCACCTTGGGGAAGACTAGATTTTCCACACTATTTCTTAATGATCAATGCTCCTCTTTGGCCCATGTGCAGCCCTCTGTTTCCTCCCAACTCCTTCTCTGATGGAGAAGACTGAGGAAAGAGCTCAGAAAACCTAAGCCTGGAGGACAACAATCCCATGCCCTACAGGAGACAGCTGACCCAGCACTTGAGACATCAAAAAATGATCAAATTGTGTTTCTCGTTATTACTACAATCCAGATATGGGTAAACAGCTATTGCCATTTATTGAGCACTGTAATGAGCACCTTTTATACTTTACCTAATTTACACTTCACTGTCATGCTACAAGCAAGGTCCCCAAGTTCTAGGTGAAGAAATCAAAGTCAAGAGAGGTGAATGCCCTAATTCAAATCCCATGTGTTTAGTTCCACAGTCATGCTCTTAAGCAACACCCTGAGGAAAGGACAATGTATTCTAGAATTCTGTCCATCCAAAATGGCCAAAACACATCAAGGTTCCTGTATTTACAGAAAAACACTCAACTATATAGAAAACTCAGCCTTCAAGGTGATGAACCTCCCCAAGGACAAACATGCCCTATGCTGGGGCATCGGTGAGGTAAAATACTGAGCTGTGATCCACTGGATTTTGCTTCAGAAATGGGAATAAACAATGATGCTAGGACTTCTCAGACTGTCCTGTGGTGGGATAATGGGTCTCCTTAAAAGGTCTACTCAGAATTCTCTCACGGTTTTCTTCAGAGTCATTAGTAAGACTGAGGGAGTGTGAACTAAGCCACCTGACAGACTGGGACTCGGATGTCTGAAATTGTGTCTTGCACTCCACCTCATGGAGGAGACCACACCACACTCCTACAACACTGACACAGAACTGCCCTGTTCTCACTTCTTCATAGTGTCATCCTCTGCTTTTTATAAAGCTCAGGCTGTGGAGCTTTGGACTCTGTCACAGTGGAAACCAGAGAATTTATTTTTTAGATCTTTCTATAGCCAAATCTGCTTGATAGATTCTTTTTCAAGATAGTAGACAGGTAGTTTGGCAATACAGATGTAAATAAAGTTTTCAAAAGATCTTCATCAATACATTATGATTCTTACTTAACCCATAAGAGTTGGTGAAATGACATCTCTAAGATGTTTCACTGCTCTCAAATCTAACACTAAGCCTGGTGACCACTATAGTTTATCATGGGATCATCTTTGTGAATCACAAGAAAAGTAACAACCCCTTAGTATTTTTATCATTAAAATGATTGCCAGGTCACATAGGAGGTTAGAGGTAGACAGAGGTCCCTACCCGCTCTGCCAAGGGGAACGGAAGAGGACCCCTGCAGACGACTTTGGACCCTGAAGGGACTGGAGACAGCACCAGAGAATGATGGGAACAAGACTCCCTCACCAGCTGTTTTCTGCCATTTCCTTGTCTCGCCACAATTCACCATCTCCAGGGATGCAGAGTCTTTTCCCCTTGTCTTGTCAGTTTTCTAAAAATGCACTGTTCATTGTTGAAGATGCTACATAAGCTGAAAGTCAAGGCCATCTCTTTGAGAATTACTCATTCCCTGGGCAGCTCTCAGGTAAAGAGAAACATGTGATTTTCTCTTGCTGGCCTGCCTGTCATTTCAGGGATCCACTCCAATTAAGAAAAGATTATTTTTTCTTCCCTCGTAACACCCTGAGCCTCCACACAGCAGCTCTGTCCCCAGTCACATCTAATGCTTGCTCTTAGCCCTCTCCATCACTGCACCTGTTTTCTCTCTGCCTAGTGCCCTCATCCACCCCATCTCCTTTGATTCCCATCTACTCATTCTTTCAGAATCAGATTTGTTACACATGGCAGCACATGCCTATAATCGCAGCACTCTGGGAGGCTGAAGCAGGAGGATCACAAGTTCAAACCCAGCCTGGGAAACTTAGTGACTTGGTGAGACTTTGTCTCAAAATACAAAATAGAAAAGGGCAGGGGATGTAGCTTAGCACAAAAGCTCTGAACTCATTTTCCAGTACTGGAAGAAAGAAAAGAAGGAAAGGAGAGAGGAAGGAAGAGAGGGAGGGAAGGAGGGAGGAAGAGACAGGGAGAGACAGAAAGAGAAAGGAAAAGGCCAGGAAGGAAGGGAGGAAGGAAGGAAGGGAGGAAGGAAGGAAGGCAGGAAAGAAAGAAACATAAAAAAGAAAGAAAGAAAAGGGAAAAGAGAGAAGAGAAGAGAAGAGAAGAAAGGAGAAGAGAAGAGGAGGAGAGAAGAGAGGGCAAGCAGCTCCCTGGAAGCCCCGCGACCTCGCTGGGAGGGCCACATGCCTCCCCTCCTGGCTTTATGCAGCACTCAGACTTTAGTCTCACACCTGGTAACCGATGCCAAGATCCCTGAATGCACTATGAGCTTCTTGAGGTGATGACGAGGCCTTATTCCTTTTTATCTCGCCCACCCAGCACAATCCTTGGTGTGCAAGTGGTGCTCATTACACAAACAAACACAAAGAGAAATGAGTGAAGGAAAACTAGCAACTAATGGTGTGCAGAGCCTACCCGGGAAAGGCAGAGCTCCTCCCTCCCATGCGTGAGAAGTTAGACGCCAGATGTGCGCTTCTAAGGCAGACCTCTAGCCCTTCTCTGTACTCCCCAGCGCTTCTCTAGCTCAGTTTGCTGCTATAAGAAGCTCCATGAAACTGAGGTAAACACTGTCTCTCCTCCTCGCTACACAGTGAGGATGTGACTGCCGGAACATCTCTGCCATTCCTTCCTTCCACAGTCACAGCACAGGATGTCCCCGCTGCCCATCCACACATCCACACTGAGAGCCACAGTGTCTGAGTCTTCAGTGTTGGTGGAGCTGCATGGTCCTCACTACCCCTAGAATACTCCTGTGGAGACCATGCGCTGCATCTGCCCCTTGGAGTGGGCAGAATCCCAAACTGGAGAATGCACTCCAAGAGTCATTCAGAGCCATTGCAAGCTGCGGTCTAGGAGCTGCGCCCTCCAGGGAGGAGCCACGGGTAGACCAGCCCCTCCAACTCCTATTAACACACAGGCCTTGCGAGCAGCACAATGAATGCGAAGTACATGTGTGTGTTGGTCAGTGGAGTCATGCCAGAGACATAGGCTCACGAAAGCGTTGCAGAATGCAACAGGGATAGTCACTGACACAAAACAGCCGGTAGTAAGGGAATAGCAGGCATCAGGCAGCACTACCAAGCATTCATTCAAAATGAATCCAGCACTATTTCTGACAAGGCCTTGTCCTCTTACCAAATATTAAGTTTTTTTGCAAATCAGGGTCATCTAATCTGCCTGTTTTTCACTCATCTGTACTTCAACACATTGTGACAAATTATTCATATGCAGCCCCTAAGACTTCGAAGCCTTTTTTCTTAGAAACCAGAAAGCTGATCAAGCCAATACCAAACAGTTGAAATCACCCAGAAATACTCGTGGGAAATGTGGGAGACAGAGACCGTGGCTGGTCCTTGGGTGGCATCTAACCCCTAAGCAGAGGTGAGCTATGCAGCGCTCTGTGTGGCTACAATCCTTGTCAGTCCACTAAGGTGGCAAACAGGAGGTCCCTGTACTCTAGTAACGTCCCGACCTGTGGCCCCCAACTGGTGAGGACGGCCACCAGCTCTTCTTCACTCACCTCTGCGGCTCATCCCTGACCTGCCAGCCTTCCTGAATTATCTGTCCTCTTCCCCTGGGAGCCCCTTAAAATCCTTAAAGTGGAATTTCCTGTTACAGCTCTGGAATACAGCCAGCCCACAGAGGGAGCTGAGAGGTGAGATTCTCGAAGATCAGATGCGGGCTTTGCTGGGACAATGAAAAAGACAACTCATAACAACTTTCTGCTTCCAGGAAATCATATGGGGACCATATCAGCAGAATGTAGCCTGAGGGATACAGTGGAGGCAATGCTGGGCTCCAGAGCTGGAGGTTTGAGCCCCAGCCATGGCACTAATAAGTACATCATCTCACAGCTCTGAACTGCACTCACCAGATTGCCCAAAGCATCACTGAGTTGATGGACGTGAAAGTACTCTGCATAACGATTGCAGATATTGACCTGCTTCCTGTCTTGAATTTAGTCTACACCAGTGGTGGCGAACCTATGGCATGCATGCACAGTGAGCTGTTTGAATCATTGAAAGCTCTAAAAGGTTCGCAGTCACTGGTTTATACTGTTGGGTTGTGACTTCCTACAGCTACCAGCAACCGGTTCCCTTGTGCTGCCTAAAGTGACCACTGAGTCCCCAGTAGCCAAGCTGTTGCTGACCCAGATCTTGGCAGGAATAGCAAGCTGACTGGACAGCAAGGTGCCCTGTGGAGGCCTCTGTAGGATGCACAGTTGGGAGCTGGCAACAGTGCTTCTTGCTACAGCCTGTGTGGCATGCCAGCACATTTCAGGACCTATACAAAGTGTCCCCCTCTACAGATGGAGATCCAGAGGCTCAGGCTGGGCAAGTGCCTCAAATGAAGCCACAGAGCAAGAGGGGAAAGCAGGACTCAGTTCCAAGTACGGTAAAACCCAAACCATTGCTCCACACTCCCTCCTCCTGCTGTGTTCCAGGCACTCCTCCGCATGCAGCCTCCCTGTGAGTCAGGAGTTACCACTGCCTTCCCTACAGTTGGGAAGACAGAGCCTAGAAGGCCATGCACTCAGTCAGCATCCACACTGGGATTTGCATCCAGGTCTCGTTCCAGAATCTGTTTTACTGCTATCTAACTGGCAACTGAAAAGAGGCTGGTCCTTGGCAGCTTTGGGAGGGATAGAGTTTGTTGGCAAACTCTGGTTTGGTTTGGTTTGGTTTTTACTCCTAACTCTCCTTATTTTCTATCAATCCATCCTTTGCTTCTCCTTCAGTTGTCCATGTCCCTGGAACTCTCATTCCTCTTTCCCTCCAACAATATCTTCTATTAGGAAAGGTCATCTATCACTCACCCTCTAATAAGAATTAAATCACTATTTCTTATTATAGAAAAGAAGGATTTCTTACCTACTGTTCTCAGTGATAACTTCCTGAAGTGCTCACCGTAAGCCACTTCTCTTAGAACTTTCTCTCTCCCCAGAACATACATATACACATACAAGGCATTAAACGAATCCAAAGCCTTCAGAAGTCACTTCAGTAATCACTCCTTCCCAGGAAGACCAGACAAGGGCACATTCTTCATGTCTTGGGCACAGACCAAGCACATGCTCTGGGTTAAGCAATTCCTTCTGGATTTATTGCCCAGGAATATATCATATGTCCTTCTGGAAATGCCTGTTTTCACCTCAGGCTACCTCTTAGAGCAATCAATACCAGGTGTTTAGTAATCCTCACATAAATAAGCTATTTGATTTTATTTACACCAGAGGAAAGCATTTAAGCCTCATGGAATTCCACCAAGTTCTGAAATATTTTTCCAGGTTTGGGTAACTATGTAGTGAGCCTGCCACAGATGCTGCATATAATTTCTATGCCAGGTTTGACATTCTATGCTGTGAACCCAGAAATTAATGAGACATAGTTCAGTTCTTAAAAGATAACAGAGAACAATGACCAACATTAAAGACAACAACAGTGGACAGTGATGTTATCTAAGGATGACACTATGTTGTCTCCTGTTCTCCCACCAGTTATCTGTTTGCTCATGGAGGAGGCCACAACACTAGCTTTGGAGCCATGATGTGGCTTCAGACCCACCCTGCTACTCACTAGCTCTGAAGCCTTGGGGGTTTCTTGACTCAGTTTCTTCTGCTGTAAAGTGAGGATAGTGGTAACAGCAGAGCCCCCGGAAGTGCTGTGTGAGGGCAGACAAGGCCATGGTGAGGGCCAGACTCCCAGCATGGGAGATGTTTCTGGGATGAAAGAGGAAGTAGAAGAGGGAGTGAGCAGCTGCCTGCTCTCATCTCACACAGACTACCAGGGTGAAGGAAGGCTTGTTGGACCACAGCCTCCTGGGCCCTGAGGGTGTGGGGGCCTGAGAATCTGCATGCCCACCCCAGTTCCCAGCTGCTGGAGCTGGCGACCTGACCCCGTGAGTGACACAGGCCTAGCCAGTCTGTGGGACACAGCTGAAGGGCCAGCTCCTAGTAGGTCCATGGAGCGAGGCTCTCGGGCCTCCAGAGGTGGAAATGGGGCCTGACTGGGGCACTCCCACCCATCTCTGAACTGAGGGGTGCCACAGGTGATCGCAGACATGCCTTCTGGCTCTGACATTCATACGTTTGTCAAAAAGGAAAGCCAGAAGAGCTTCCAAAAGAACCAAAGGCAAGGAGAATGCACGAGGCTTATTCTGTTCACCGAGTCTGTGATGGGCCACTTCCAAGGAAAGGTGCGTTCTCTGAAGCATCATTTACATCCTACGTTTTCTTTTCCCAAGTGTGAACTCCTCAGGAGACACAAAGAGCTCAGGAAATAGCAGTTTGGCCAGTGGAAAAGCAATTTGGAAGGAAGGAGGGCGAAAAGCAGAGACTTACTTTTCATGAATTCCTGGCCTCCTAGACGAAATGTCACCTGGTGGGAGCCCTGCTCATATGTCACCCCAGGACATGTAGAGTTAGCCTGCTCTTTGGAGGCATCTATCCAGTCTGCTGCGTTGCAAAGGAGAACGTTGGGGGAGCTCAGCAGCCCGCAGACCAGGGGCCCTGTGGAGGCACAAAGGGAGGTGTGAGGAGAAAGCAGCAGGGCCCCTCTGAGACGCCCCCTGTTCCTGGGGAGCCTTGTAGGTGGGAACAGGTGACAAGAGCTCAAGTGTGGACATAGACACTGCAACTCCAGAGCCCGGAGTTCTTTAAACCCAGCTCTGTTCCAAAAATGGCCTTGGAGGTCATCCAGTATGGCGTTCCCAAACCAGGTGCTCAGACCGATGATATAAAAAACGCAAGGCGAGTTTTGAAAATGCACACTCCCAGGCTTCAGACACGGGTGGACCTTTGGACTTGGTAGGGCACACCCTGGGGGCCTTGGGAATTAATGTCTGTGGGCACATACAGAAGATTCTGGTGCACAGCCAGTTCACTGGCCCAGTTAGGCCACCTGGATTTACAGAGGAGGAAACTGAGGCGTGGAAAGGGGGATGGTTTTTTCTGGTTACAGAGCAACGGTGGAATGGCCAGCGGGCAGCAAGAGCCAGCCATGGTGCCAGAGGCAGTGCAGGCCTCGGAGGGAGGGAGCCCGAACACAGTGGTCTGACCTCCTTGTCGCTCCTACCTCTCCCCCGCACCAGCCTCTCCAGCAGAGACACAGAACTAAACACAAACGACTATTTGTCCTGCTTCTAGCTCAGGACATGCATTTGACTGCTAGTGCTGGAGTGTTGGTGAGAAGCCTGGTGGTCCATGAGCTGGGAGCCAGATGGAAACTAGAGGTCACCTTGCTGGCTGCACCTGCCAGCTTCAGGGACACCCACTGAAGCCTCACACAAGTCTCCCCGGAGCCCCACATTCAGGTAGCCTCAACTAAAATGTAGGCACAGAGCCTCAAGAAGTTAAACTAATAACCATGTGTAGAAACAGCCATTTGAGGTTCGCTGCTGGAGGAAGCTGGAGGGTCCTGGAAGGAGCAGCTGGGAGAGGAAGAGGACAGGGGAATCTAAATCTACTAGGGAGTTAACTGACTCTTCAGCCTGCGGGGAAGGATGTGGTGGGCATCTGTTCCTGGTCGTCAGCAGATCCAGCCAAAGCTTTGTAAGCTAAAACTCCAAGCAGGCCCCTGTGTGAGCCTGAAGAGGGTGTCAGCCAGACCCTTTGCTGCTGTCTCCAAGAGGGCTTAGCTGTCAGTGCCGCGAGGTGATCCGTTAGCTCAGCAGAATGCACAGCCCACAGGTTAAATGTGGAGGGGAAAGCAAGCAAGCTGCCAGCCAGAAATATCACGGAAAACAGGACTGTGGGCTGACTGTTCCATGGAGCAAAACTATTTTTCCATATATGATCTTAAGGAAAATGTAATCAACCTTTCCAACTTGAAAGGCCATGTGGTCTGGTAAGTAATTGAGCATCTGGAGAGACTGTGGCATTCATGGAAGAGGCAGCTGGTTAAAAGAGGCATCCTTGGTTTGATTAGAGGGTTTCTAAATATGGGTGAACATGAAAGTGTGTGTGTACGTGTGCACACGCATGTAACACACTCCCCTCTATCTAAACATTAACAGAAGTCCACATCATTTAACTAGGGAGCACTAAACCTAGAAGGAATTTTAGGGATCTCTTTAATGTGGGCTCCTGCCCCAACTTTCCAACAATATATCCTCATTTACCTACCACTGACTGACAACTGGGAGCTAATGCCAGCATTTTGCACTCATCATCTCCTGAACCCTCAGCAACACTCAGGATCACACCGTGCTTCATGTTCACCCTCTCCCACTGAGGTTCCCACCAGCCACCTGGCTCCTGGGTCGCCTCCTCTCCTGTGGGGAAGCTTTTGTGTCCTTCTCTGCAGATTCTCTACGCTGTCTGTGGGTGTTCATTGGACGTGGCCCACCTCCTTTCTATTCTCATTCTTTTGCTTCTCTCTTCCAAGGAAATCCCGCCATACACATGCCTCCTGATACTACTGCAAAGCTTCTACTCCATACATGAATATCTCCTCACCAGATTTCCCTTCTGAACTCCAGAGCTTTGTGTCCAGAAGACATTTTGTGAGTGTCTCAAAGGTGCTTCAAACTTAGCATATCCCATGCACCCATGACCTTCCTAAATCTCCCTCTCCATCGCCAAATTCATCACTGATATGTTCCATTATTCATCATAGGAACAGACTACCCAACCAGGTGGAAAGCTAGACACTCAAGAATGATCTTCCACATTCCCTCTTCCTGAATCCCCATACCCAGGGTCCTGCTGCATCTGCTTCCTAAAGAGATGGTGTAGTGTCTTGTTTCTGACCTGCCCTGCCATGACCTAGCTAAGATACCCTCTTCCTACTGGTCCATTGCAGCTGTTCATCGTTGACCTCCCTACGCATCTAAGACCCTCTCTGTCACCTCCACCCTCCAGACAGAGTGCCGGTTTTAAGATCCAAGTGAGACTGTGAAACTTCCTTGCTTTAAACTTACAGTGGTTCCCAATTATTTTTAGGATGAAAAATAGTTGTCAGTGCAGCTACAAGGCTCTCTGTGGCCTCCCCTGCCTCTCCCTCCTGTCTCTTCTCAAGCCAAGACTCCCTGCCCTCTCACTTGCTCTCCCTGCTCGGGCGACCAAAGCTAACTCACAGTTCCTTTTCTTTACCAAGCACACTCTTCCCACATGGCTTTGCATATGCTGTCCCCTCTACTGAGAATTATCTTCCCCCTGTCCTTCACTGAGTTAAACCTACAGATTGTTCAAGACTTAAGTCTTCATGAATAGGGAAAAACTTGTGTTACATATTTTCAAGATGATGTTTAACTTTTTTCAGGGCCTATTAATGAACAATTCTCCTTTCCTTCCTTGGGATCTGAGAGGAGAAGGTGAAGGTGGGAGAGCAAAGCATGAGCTCTTGGTTCCACGGACCACGAAAGCCGAGTCCAGCTCACCATGCTGGTCACTGGGACCTGGGCATCGGGCAGGTCGCCTCCTCCTGGATCCACCAACTCTGCTCTGCACCTAAGTACGTGTTGTCATAGGGCGGAGCCTTTGAAATGTCTGTGTCAAAGCCTAGAGGAGTCCTGGTCCACCAGGGAAGTGGGTTTGTGCTTTAGGTGACAAAGGAACAGGAAGCATGAAGAGGGCTTGGAGTTGCAGAGAGAGGAATGGAGGGCAGAGAATGCAGCATTGGGCAGTGGGGCATGGGGACAAGACAAGGGACTCAGTAGCAAGGCCAAGGAGATACAGACAGCAGTGGTGGGGACGGACTGAACCTGGATCCCAAAGGTAATGAAAAGGGGGTGCTTAGAAGCTGGAGTGAGAAACTAGCAGAAAGGAGAGGGTTTGGGGTATGATGGAGCCCCAGGTTGCCGGGCCTGGTGCTGGCAGGGAAGGAGAGCACAGGATGGGAACTTGAGGGAGCTGGGAGCCTTAGGTTCTGCTGGGCCTGCTCTTTGGGCTTCCGGGAAGGGAGAGGGGCTGGGAATGTGGTGTGTGGCTCAGAGCAGGGAGCCGGAGAAGGCCCTGGGCTGCCTCGGAGGGGAAGAGCCGGCAAGGGCGGAGCGGCTCTGAGAAGGCAGAGGGGCGACCTCTCTACCCTGTGCCTGAGGGAGTGGCCTGAAGGTGCTGAAGCTGGCCACAGCCTGAGGACAGGAACATGAACTGTAGGCACTTTGAAAATACCTGCTTCCTAAAATGCCCGTCTCAGTTGTTAACATCCTTCAAAACAAATGGCATCTCCCCGCCCCCAGCTCTGTTCAGAGACAGAGCCCACTGTGGACCGGACCCCTGCTTCTTCGTCCTCCACACTGTCCATGCCACAGAGCCTGGCCTCGTCCCTCCTCTCTCATAGGCCTCTCCTGACCACCAAGTCCCCTCGCTCTCGCCTTCTTCCCACTCACCGCCTCTCCTGGACATTCCCCGTATTCTGCTGCGTTTCCTGAGCCAGGCCAGAGTAGGCTCAGTGCACCTTGGCTGATGACAGCAGGCACGGATGAATGAACAAGTGAGTGAACGAGTAAATGAACGCATGAGTGAGTGAATGAATGGCCTGGTGTACCCTGCCTCTTTCCAGACACAAAGTTCCTTTTCCTTACTCCTAATGCCCATCACATTGGACTGCATGTATATGGCGATCTCTTAAATTTATTGTTGACTGAGGTGAGGGCTATAAAAGATATATCAGACCATTTCAATTGTTTTAATCTTTAGAATTTCCCATAACCTTAATACCGCCAGCCACCTCCTGGGTTACAGTCTGATGCTGCTCAGGTGGAGGCAGAGCTGACCCTGGTGGAACAGCTAGGTCCTCTTGTTACTAAGCTACTAAGTTAGTGCTAACCCCAGGGAGCAAACCACGCCCAGCATTTTGTGTCCATTGTCTTTTAAGATGTGGTCACCTTCCCTACTTCATGTACAAGGAGACGCCGACTTGGTTTAAGCAACTTGCCCAAGACTGCAGATCCAGGAGGTGACATGGCCGTGACTGGAACCAGGTCCACAGCACCAAAGTCCTTCTCAACCATCAAGCCCTGCCACCAAGTCCCTATTTGTATAAATAGGAGTGCGCCCCCTGCTGAAAGACAATTGGAAACAGCAGTCCTATTGATGGCAGGACCTGGAATTCAGTAGGCAAGCAATAGATAGCTGTAGAATGAATAATGACAGGCAACAAGAATGAGTTAAAATTTGTGACCAAGCGTGACCAGCCCAACTTCCTGGGTGGCAGAGAAATGCTGCTGAGGATGTACCTCAGGTTAAGGCCCAGCTCTGTCACTTAGCAAGCTGAATGGCCATGAGAAAAATGACTTAAATTCTCCGAACTCTGGTTTCTGGGCTTGTAGAACTGAACCTAGCACTGAGAATAAACTAGTGTTACCATGTGAAGTGGATAGCACAGCATGCGACATGTGGAAGGGGCCGGATTGGATCCGACTTGGTACGTATGAATAGTGCATTCTATTCCAGTGTGGTGGCCTTCTCCCTGAAGTCCCCTGTGCCATGTGTGTGTCCCAGCTCTTGTGTCTCAGTTTGCTCCCTGTCCCTTGTTAGGCCCAGTGCTTCTTGTCAGCCTTACCTCCTGGGATCTGCGAGAGGATGAAGCCATCGCAGCAGGCGTCGTGTTCACAGGCAAGAAGACAGAAAAGGTGAGCATCGGTCAGGTTGGCTCCAGAGGCTGAGAACACCACGGGGTTGTACAATCCAGAGAGTGAGTTTCGGAAACCAGTGGGCTCGAAGGTTTTCTGGCCTGCCGTGGTGAATTCTTGACCTGAGGAAAGGCAGAAAAAAGATGCAAAAGACCTCAAAACACTGTGGAGCTGAGCAGAGCTTGATAATTGCAAACAACGGTCTGCTGCATTGGCCCGAGCAGAGGATAGACCAGGACCCAAAGCTGCTGGACTTAACTATGTGACAGGGGTGGAGACAGCCGAGGGCTCTGTCCTAGACTCAGAAGACCTGGACAGATGGCCCTCACATCTAAGAAAGTCTGGAGGCTCGTCTACAAAACTGGCCTTTATTATTATTATTATTATTATTATTATTATTATTATTATTATTGCCAGAAATAGCGACTAAGCTCTAAATATACCCGGAGACACTGTGCCCTGCTTCCCCTGCATGCTCCAAGTCCATTTCCACTGGCCTGCTCTGGTTGCTGTGACATAAATCAGTCTGAACACATGGCAGACAGAGAAGCTGGGCCAGCTCTAGTTTTGTGTCCCTTCTTGGGAGGCGCTGGAATCCCGGTGTCCCATTTCACTTTCACCGAGCCCTGGACCCCCTCTGAAATGATCTCACTGCTGCATTAGTCCTTTCATGGATTGGTGACTGTTCGCTCACACCTGCAGCCACATTGCAAACACAAACCCTTGTCACGCAGAGGCTGTCAGTGATGAGTTAAGGCAGTGATGGCGAACCTTTTAGAGCTCTCAATGGTAACAAGCAGCCCGCTGCAGCACGCATGCCATAGGTTCGCCACCACTGAGTTAGGAGATGTGCCGGTGCCAAGGTCTCCTCATGACAGTGCAGTCCTGGACATAGACCGGGCCGGGGAGATGGTTCAGACTGGGGGGACAGCCGGCCCGGATGCACTGGGTGGCAAGATGCTGCCTCTTTCTAGGCCTCGTCAGTGTGATGCATGGTTGGGCTAGGCAAACTGATGCACTCGCTGACACCCATTTCCCCTGATTCTGAAAGATCACACATATTCTCCAGGACCGAGGCCCACAGCCATTACAGGAGAGCAAATGGCACTGGGCTACGGATGAAGCTCTGAATCTGTTCCCATCTTCACGACCGCCCTCCAGGCCACTTAAGGTGAAGGGCGCGATTGACATAACTAGTTGCCTTGGGTGCCGAGGACTGTTCAGAAAATGCGTGCTTTCCTCCTTGGCTGTGACATGTTATTCCCATTTTACAGAAAAGAGACTGAGCTTCCAGTAACCCTGGGAGGCTGTTGCTGATCAGAGACTGGGGTAAGGGAGGCAGGAGCCTGGAGCCTGGGCTTCTCTCTCCAGCTTGCCAGGGGCCAGAGTGGGGTTGCGGCGTGGCCCTGCTGGAAACAGAAGTCCAGAACAAAACAAAAGGAAGCGCATTTCTGCCCTTGATTTATCTTGGCAACAAGGAGGTGTCTCAATTTCCTTATAATCTTCCCCCTAGCTTTACACTTCTAGAGATGAGAAGGAAAAGAAGAAAATAACAAACATTTAGAAAGACAATTGCACTTTTTAAAAGTGATAAAAGGCCAAATCATGGTTTTAAAGAACATTTCTAGTAGGGGTTACTTGTTTATTTTCATTTTTATTTTTTTAGAAAATAATCCCTATGCTTTGTTGTTTTTAAAGATGGATGGTAAAAATACTGTCATTAGAATAAACACTTGGGCTGAAATCTTAGTGATCTGTCATGGAGCAAAGAAACCTGAGCTCCAGCAGTCTCTGGTCCCCAAACACACTCTGAAGTCAAGACAGAGGTGTTGGGGACAGGAGGACTGGAGGGGAGATGTTTGTCCTCACCTTGGCTAAAGGCAGCTGTGGCAGCCAGCTGAGGTGGGGCCGGGCCAGGTCTCCACTTGCTGCCAGCTGCTCCCAGCACAAGTCTGAAGCTTCTGGGAGCCCAGACTACCTGCCCTGTGCTGTAGATTTCAGAGAATGACAGCCCCCTGCCCCTTTTTTCCAACCCCAGGTCCCAGTTCCAACCACCACTGACTGTCTTCTGCTCCACTGCTATAGCTCCAGCCATCAGGAAACTTATCAGCAAGAAAGAAATGGTCATAGAAATGTCCTACACTTTTGGAGTATTTGCCACACACCAATCCTTGAGCCCTTCCCATGGGTCACCTCACCCCTGCCTGATAGCCTCAGGCCCTATAGGACTCCTGCTTTACTGAGGAGGACAAGGAGGTTTAGAATGTCCAGGAACATGTCCAGGATCACACATCTGGCATGGAGCAAAGCTGAGGTTCACCCTACACAGGTGGCTCCCTCATCCTGGCTCTTGAACCCTAAACCTCAGGAAAGTGAAGGCCGGGAGCAAGGGCTGCAGGAGGAGCCACAAACCACAGGCCAGGACCAAACTCCATATTGCTGGCCACTCCATGGCCCTGACGGGCAGGAGTAGGAGGCCAACAGGGCAGGGGAGGGCAGGGCAGGGCAGAAGAGCACAGCCCATGGAATTCTGAGAAGGCTTGTGCTCATCCCCACATGTCACCCACGGCCAGGCCAGAGGGCTGCCCTGCGGTGAGTGGGGCAAGAGGATGCAGTCACACCGCGATTTAAGTCCAGCTCCTCAGATGACTAACAGAATGACTGTGAGGTCAAGGATGTTCTGCTCTCCTTTTGGCCTTCTTGGAAGAGTTGCTGTGAAGGTGAAATAAAAAGCTGAATAGAAAAGTGAGCTGTGAACTCTAACATACTAACTTCTTGCTACTCAAAGTGTGGTCCCATACCAGAAGCGTCCTCAGAGAGATTATTAGAAATGCCAGATCTCAGCTTTACCCCACGAACTGGCTCAGAATCAGTAGTTCCCTAGCCCTCCAGTAATGCATAGGTGCCTCACCCAGAGCGGTCCCCCGAGCACAGGGCATGGAAGAGGATGAAGCCCTCTGAGGTTCGGACTGGCTGGGAAGAGGTCTGGCAATGTCAGGGAGGGTGGGGAAGGAGAGGCTGCAGGAATCAGAGGGCCGGAGTGGGGGACAGCTGCAGAGAGCTGAGCCCAGGCCCTGCTAGGACACCAGCATTACAGGTGGCATCAGGGGCTGACATGAGGCCCCACAGGTTGGACTTGCTGAGTTCTGCCAGGATCCTCCGCATCTGGGTTCTGTCTGCATTGTGACTTAGAACCTCATTTGCAGCTGTAGGCTTGCATCCCACAGAAGGGGTTGAGGGCAGAATCAGAGAGCACAAATGAGCATGCTGTGAAACCCGCTGTAGCTGTTGGCAGACTGCTCTCTGCAAGAGGCTGTGGGACGAGCCTGCTGTAGCATGGATGTGAGAGGACTCGCTCTGGCATGGAGTCCAGTGACAGCGGTCTGCTCTCCCCAAACCCAGCCTGCTGGCAAACAGCTCCAGACACGACAAGGCCCCTGAGACATCCAGCTCCGCCGACCTACCCTTCTTCAAATACACAGCCAGAGATTCTTGATCACGGTTCTTCACTTTCACCTGGCACCTAAGGCTTCCAAAGTCAGTGACCTGCAAGCTCCCCAGAGTGTCTTGTTCCTGGAAACAGAAAGAATATACATCACCATTCTGTGATGTTTAGCCGTTCATTCAACACACATTTTTCAAACTAACCATAGCCAGGCACTGGAGCCACAAGATAAAAAGGGAATGATTCCTGCTTGTTAGTTTCTCCTGGTCTACTGGAGCAAACAGAGATGGAAGCAGTAAATCAGCCCAGCATGGGAGCTGCAAAGAGCCAGCCAATTAGAGAGGAGGCGATTACAGAGGAGGGGTGAATAGTTCTGTGGAGAAGCCGAACTTTAGAATGTTCCCCAAGAAAAGTAAATCTGGGTAAGGTTCTAATGTGTGAGTGAGAATGAGCTGGGTAGAAACAAAGGGGGATTTTAAGCAGAGGAAACACCAGACATGGACACCGCCATCCAGCAGATGTTTAGACAAGGTCCAGTGAGAGGAGGACTGAAGAGAAGTGAAGAGGCAGGAGCCAGCTCCTGGGAGAACATGGAGCCCCGTAGCTTCCACCCAGGAAAATGAGGAGCTCACACTTCCAGAGGTGTCGCATTCTTAGTTATCTCTGACCTTGCTTGGGGCTTATTTCGAGTAATTCTGCCCCGTGGGTATGCGGGATAAATTTGACTACTTCTGTTTGTGTTTTTAACCTGGTATTTTGCTCTCTCATTTTGGTTGTCAAACTTTGAATTTCCTGGGGAACCGTTGGAGAGAAAGGCAAAAGCACAGGCAATTGGAAGGCAACAGTCTGAGCTCTTCAGACAGCCTCAGCTCATGGGCCAGGTGATGGCCTAGGGGCAGCAGGAGGGCCTTGGAGAGCACAGCGGGAAGCTGCTGCAGACTGGAGTCGGGGCCCTTGGTCCTTCTGTGCCCATTCCCTGGTAGGGCAGGGGCAGCAGGAAGCCAGGAGGATGACTGGCCCAGGGGAGGCTAACCCCAATGCACAAGCGCTCCTGCAAAGAGTCCCCCTCCTATCCCACAGCCCAAACCTGGTCCAGAAGCAGCAAAGTTGCAAAGACGAAAGCAGAACCTGGGACTGCAGACCTGAGCGTGGGGCAGGGTGGGCTGACCAGTGATGACCAATATCCCAGTCCTTCCCTCACCCCTAGCAGTGCACTGCAAGCCCAGGGCCCTGGAGAGGAGCTTCATGATGCTCAGGAAGGGATTTCCCTCTAGGCCGAGTTGGGAAGGTGTGATGATGCTGACAGTAGTGATATGTGCAGTAATGATCACTGAGAACTTTCTCTGGCTGTTCTCTGAGATGTTCCACCTAAAAATGCATTCAGTCCTCACAGTGATCCTGTGACATGGATACCATTATTGTCCTTGTGGAAGATTTGAGGACTCCAAGGGACCAAGGACCTAAATAGCAACATACAAGTGCGTGGGTGTCCAAGGCACTAGTGTCTGCGAGGTTACAAAACTGTTGCAGATGTGCATGTCCTGAACTGAGGGCATGTGAAATGGATAACGCACATCTAGGACGTGAACTGCTATGCTACCACCGAAAAGATACAGACACAGATAACTCTCCTGAGGAAGTCAAGGTAGAAAGGAACACATAGGAGAAAACATTAGCATCAAAATAAAAACATTTATAAGTACATGGACACTTTCCGGAGGATTCGCACAGGCTTAGGAGTTAGAAAGTTAGGACGGGACACGTTTGCGTTTTATTGGAGACCTGTCTAGGGCTCAGAGAGGCAGACAGTGGTTGGGGCTGTGACAGTGACCTCATCCACGTGGGCCCACGCTGCTTGATGAAGCGAGCAGTGGGGACAGGAAGTGGATGATCAGTGCTGAGTCTCGTGTGATTCCCCAGGAAGTGATATACTCTGCCTCCACCTCTGCAGTCAGTCTCAGGCCTGGGGCAGCTTCAGTTCCCAAAGCCCCATCTCTCTGAAGAACAGGAGGCCATAAGATCAGCTGTGACCGTCTCACCCCATCGCCGCATCAGCCCTCACCGTGGCACCAGAGTGTGTCTGACATGGAACAGGCAGGAGCATCCCGCCACACCTCTCACCTGGGCGGAAGTGGTACAGGCGAAGCTGTCACTTGTCCAGCCGTAGAAATCACACATGCCCCCCAGCTCCGTGGTGAACACCGTGAAGAAGCTGCAGGCCTCATCCCCTGCGCAATCTGCAAACGCCCCATGAGGGACAGTCACCACTGGGCTTGGCGCGGTGGTGACAGAAAGGACAGACGGAGTCCTGCCCTGCCACACACCCGCACACACTCACAGCATACCCACACACACTGGGAGTCACAGTATGCAGGCCTTTTCTACTTCGCTGGCTTTCCTCTAGGAGGACCACGCCTGGTATCCACTGAGATCACATTGAGATCCACCATGTCTGCAGCTCTGCTCCTCACCCACCAGGCAGGCAGCTGAGGGGGCCTCCGGGGGGACGATATAGAATAATCCACATTTCTCATGACGAGTCTCCCCAAGATAAGAGGCCCCATTTCACCTTGCAGGCCCAGGGCCACTTTGCTCTAGCTGTACCACAGGCATGAAGCACAGTGCCCAGCACATAGAAGGCTCAGAGAGTTTGTTAAATAAACGAATGAGGTTATAATAGTTTCTTAAACTGAGCCATATTCTGCCGTGTAAAGTTCACGAATAATGATAGCTGCTAATAATTTACCAAGAACGGAAGATTTCGGTAAAAACGTGAGTTGACTGAAAAAGGAACATTTTCCAATGTGCAAGCACCACTGAGGGAGAGACGCCATTGGAGTGTCTGAGTACTATTCATACTGACTATGGCGCTCATGAGACGCAAATTTAGAGACCAAGGAACAAAGCTAAGAATTGGCAAGGTCACATGGTGATGTGGCAGAGTAGTCATTCAAGGGGCTTCCTACTCCAGGCCCTGTTTCCTCACCACATTTCCCCAGCTTCAGGCCAAGGGAGAGCCATGTATCCGGTGGCTGGGGTGTTTTCCTTTCCTCTGACAGGACAACACACAAATTGGAACCTCAGTTGTGAAGGTAGGGAGTGGACCTATGAGGATGGAACCCTGGGGGTGAACCCCAGCTGTGGAGGTGGTCCCTGGGGGCTCCTCTCAGTGCTGTATGGGTCCAGGGCCCTCATGAATTGGGCACTGAGAAGCAAATGCTGGGTCTTTCCATCCACACACCATCGGGCTCATTCAGAACCGGAGAAAGCAGTTCACTCGGGCTCACCTGTTTCTGGACCTAAAGCCCACCTTTACCTCAACTGTGTGTAAGCAGTCTCTGCTTCCGGCTCAGGGACAAGGCCAATCGGGACGGCAGGAAGAGTTCCGGATCAGTACTCTAGAATAGCACCGACCACTGCAGCTGGTCTGACCCAGACGCAGGGCTACTGCCCCGCCCCAGGCACAGTATCCTCTTCTGTCCTACAGTACTACGCCTCCCTCATACTCCCCATCGCACTGCCTGGACCTCTAGGGTCTTGGCTTTTTTACCTGGCCCCTTTCTCGCACCACAGTTTCCACCTCTCTCATTGCCATAAGTCCTTTGTTTTCCTTCCTCTTAAGGGGCCCTTCTACCTTCTGCAAAATCATCTTGATGTTTATTATGAGGTGTTCCATGCCAATCATATGTCAAAGTCCTGACCCCAGCACGTCTGAGTCTGACTAAATTCAAAGAGGTGACTCAGTGACAAGTGAGGTCATCAGGGAGGCCCTAATCCAATATGACCAGTGTCGTTCTAAGAAAAGGAGACTAGGACACAGACACAAGCACAGGGGAAAACCATGGGAAGACCTGGGAGAAGACAGCCGTCTACAAGCCAGGGAGATAACAGACCTTGCCCTCAGAATTTCAGCCTATTGAATTCTGGGCAAATACGTCTCACTGCCACCTGGTCTGTAGTACTTAGTGATGGCGGCCCAAGGACTCTATGCTGAATGCCTGAATTCCCACGGATCACAAGTACTTCCTGTCTGGCATGGCCCTCTTTCATTTGTCTGATAGGACACTATCTTGATAGACTCTCCTGACATGGTGGTCTTGCTCAACCATACCTATTCCTGTCACCACATTTCCATCACCGAGTTTATCCTAACTGCATAAACCATCTCCTGATTCTAACAGATGCACCTGTCCTCTCTGCTCACCTCGTTCTGTCGGACTCTGCATCCTCTCTTTCTTGCCTGTCTATCTCAAGCTGTGACACAGTGTGAGAGTCCACGCATGGATGTGAGTATAATGTTCCCTGTCAGGACAAATTACTGCCATAGCTATCAGGTGCGCTTCCTCGGCATGAGTTCCTCATGTCCACTCGTCCTCCGCTTGGTTCTGTTCCCCTAGACCAGTGATGGTGAACCTTTTAGAGCTTTCAATGTTGCAAACAGCCCACTGTGCCACAGGCTAACCACTACTGCCCTGGACCCTATGTATCCCATTCATTCTCCATTTTTTTCAGCTCCTTCTTCACATCCTGCACTGTGTTTGTGCTATAAACAGCATATGCTCATCAGAGCCAGAGCAGATATCCAAAATACACTTATGCTACAGTGCTAATTAACAACTAAACCACTTCATTACTGAAGGAGGCATAATGCAATAACAGTTGAGACTGTAGGCTTTATATCCACTAGCTTGACTCTGAATTGAAGGTCTGTCACTTGCTAGCTCTGTGTTATTGATCTTACACTCTCCCTGTAACTTGGGATGACAATGGCTACTTCATGGGTGGCTATAAGATTATGATATAGTCCGTGTAAAGACACATGCTCAGTAAATACTAGCTGTTATCACTACCTCTCTGACCTCATGGTTGCAATAGACAGATACATGCCCTAAGCCTCTCTATAACGAACTAAGTTTGTTTGTTTCTGTTCCCTAATATTTTGTATACTTCTTGCCGTTTAGTAGATGTGCTATAAACTCTGCAATGAAATCATGGATGGAATATACATGTTGAAAATTAATTGATTCACAGTGTTTTTGACAAACCACACTTTCTCATTATGGTTTTGATGGCTCACTTCCTTTTGTTTCCCCCGCATCTGCAGCAGATGTTTCTACACCGTTCCCCACATGCCCATTTCCCCAGTCCCCCTCACCTGGCAAGCACTGCATCAGTGGGGATTCAGAACCAGGAACTTTGGACCTGACTATCCCAGGAGCATCAGCATCAAAGATCACCTTCCATTCGGGAGCCTCCTCAAATTTCTGCATCACTGTAAATAAAGCAGACTTATAAAATCTGACCATGAAGGGTGCAGCGCGTCTACATGAGTATCAAGTAGAGCAACAAATGAAGTCAGGTCAGCCAACAAAACAGTCAGGAAATCACTTCCCATGAGCACCCTCTCATCACACAAACCAGAACAATTCCTAAGGAAAGGCGCTCCAGCATGCTGTCCATGTCTAATACTTATAGCTATAACTTACCTTGCCTACATCATTATCAGCAAATACTACAAAAATATTGACACTACGTTAAACCTTTCAGCTCATTTCTTCTCATTGTTATTGTTTTTCTCTATCTAAACTTTATTACTTTATCAAAATATTCCTTTCCATAAAACAACTTAAACTCTTTCTGACACAAGGTAAATTGTTTTTACAAAGAGAAATCAGATAATGTATGTATGGGTTTGTGTTAATCTGGAGATGTGTCATGTGGCTCAGGCATGTTCAAGACAATATTTGTTTAATTGATATATTAACATCTGCTTCTCTAGCTATCATCAACACACAGTTCTTGAGGCCCACTTGGTTGGAATCACATAGCCACTGCTCATGGAACTAGCCAAATGAGGAGGAAGAAAGATAGTTTGTCAAGACCATGTGACTTGGAACCATTCCTCACTAACTAAAGAAACATGGAGGATAATTTGAGGAATGAGATTCATCTTCCAACCCGCAAATGCCCAAGTGTGTTATTTGCAGGCCCCTGTCAAAAAGCAAGATTCATTAATAAGCCCCAAAGCACCTGAGTGTCAGTTCTTTGCAGATATAATTATAAACCTATATGTGATCACTCATTATACACATCTATCGCTTTATAAATGAGCCTACATCAAGACTGGCTTTCATCAAGTCAGTGCATTCATGTGTATTTAATGAAGAAGCAGTAAGTCTAAGTAGAAAATATATCGGGGCCATCCAAGGCAATCTTTTCTTAGCTTTCATAATAAAACCATAAAAATAAAAAATGTTTATTCTCATAGGATGAGGCTGGAAGAAGAAAGCATTAATATAGAAATGGCATGCTTTAAGCTTCAGAAATTTTGACGTAGGAAAGCATTCTAAGTTTACAAAGTGGTTCTTCCACTTTGATCACTGAAGTTGCTAAGTTCACAGGCTCAGCCTATACGGGGCCCTTCTGCTGCTGACTCCTCCTGTTGTATAATTTTTACATTCTGTGGTACCTTGTTTGGAACAGCTGAGCTTCAGTCCAGCAAATGCCATGATATATGCATAGGAGTCCCTAAGTCTGGGTTGCCATAGATCACATGATCAAACATTCTAGGAGAACAAACGATATTTAAAAGGTCTTTCAATTTCTAATTAATATCTGCTGAAATTGTAGTCAATGTAGCTCTTCATTTCAAGAATCTGCTGGTGTTCAGAAAAGGGACATTGATGGAGAATGTTCTTCCCTGAAGACCTTCAGAAAACAGTTTGGAAGAAGACAGCTGGAGCAATTCATCTTATCAACAAGTATCTACCTCTCTGGAAGAGAACAAGGAAGAAGCTACGGATCTAGCTCAGGAGAACCTACAGCCCAGTGAGGCAAGTCCAGAGAGGATGCTTTGAAACTGCAATCTTACTTGGTCCCAAGAGCAACGCAGGGACCCTGTAGAAGCAGAATTTCCATTGAAATCATTTAAATAATTGGGCAGGGAGCCCCACAGAGAAATTGTTGGTCTGGAGCAGTACAGGTTATGGCAGTGATGCATGAGGTAGCACTGGGGCCTGGGCTGAGGGTGGCAACAGAGGTAGAGCAGAGACAAATCCCACTTGGGAAAACACCTCCCTGGGGAGGTATTCAGCCGATCTCTGTGTCCTCTACATGTTCTGAAGGGCAAAAGCCTCTAATATGAGACTGTAATTCCCCTCTTAAGAAGCAAGTTCCTCTCAGAGGCACAGAAGGGATTCTGAGAGAGAAGCTGACATTCTAATGGGGGCAGTCTATTAATATGGAAATCTCGTGCATATCTAGAGAGGAAGCCTAGAGCTCAGAGCTTTGCATAAGAAGCATGATGACTACCTGTGGCTGTGCATAAGCCAGCACCTGGGGGGAGCCGTCCTCAGAGCTGTCAGAGCTGAGCCTGGACCCTTGGATGCTTCTACTGCTGCTGATTAAACCTTCCTTTCTGCTCTCATTGCTCAGTAGAACAGGCCATGGCAGGTTTTGCAAACTGCATGTGGCCGTCCCCAGAGCAGAGCTGTCAGTGGGATGAGAGGAGGCAAACAGTCCCAGAATGGCCAGTGAGTACCAGTGAGTTCTGGCCAAGTGGCTTCCTCTCTGGACCCTGCGCTCCATCTGGAAAGGAGTGGCCCAGTTGACCTCTTAGAGCACCTGTCAGCCCCAATTTCCACAGTTGTTAGCTCTGCCCACAAGGAGAGAGACTGAGAAAGAATAAGAAGACTTTTGTCAGGTTTGCAATGTGCCCAGGGGGACACACACATACTGCCCTGCCCTGGAAAAGGGCCTCGGATTTGTTAGCTCCTGGCCAGAGAATGAGAATGACTGCTCTGAACAGTAGAAGATGATAATTTCTTACTTGGATTTTCTCCGGTGTTTGTAGTTAGGTGTACCAATTTCCCTACAGGACAGGCAGTGTGTGTGTGTGTGTGTGTGTGTGTGTGTGTACACGTGAGCATGCATACGTGGGCTTGTGTGTGTACATAGGTGTGAACATGTGTATGTGTGCATGTGTGTGTGTACAGATGTAAAGTCATGTGTGCGTGTGGGTGCACAAGTGGATTTAAGGAGGAAGGAGATAACTCCAGGCAGAGGCACAGCTTGCTGCAATGGAAAACCGGGTTTGGGAGTCAGAAACATACAGTTGAAAATCTAGATGTGGTATACCTAACTATCAGATGAAGATGCACACTTCCGCACCGTGCCTCAGTTTCCCCACTAGATTACTAGGGACAATAACATGTACCCCATACAAGAACATTCAGGCTGCTGGGCACACAGCAAGCTCGCGGGCGCCAGGCCCTGTCCTCACACAGAGATGCTGAGAATCTGGCCACTGAGCTCAGCCTGGCTTACACAGGCAGGAGGAGGGGAAGTGGGCAGCTCCGGCAGAGGGAGGAGCTGTGGGAAGAGGGCAGAGGAAGAGCACAGCACTGAGGGACTTTGCGGCTGGCACCTGGTTAAGCACAGGGAAATGGGCAGTTTTTGTGGCCGAGCCTCCTCCTCATTCTGAAACGTCCATGACTTCTGATGATCACGTCATTGCTCAAATGCACCCCCCCCAACACACAAGGCAGGCCAGGACATCCTCATTTCGTAGACGAGGGAACCGCTGAGGGAAAAGGCTTGCTGAGACCACACAGGCAGCAAAGGGACCCACTGGGATTAAACCACTTCCGACCGCAGAGAGCACTGTCTAGCCTTCTGCTCTGCAGACTCCCAGCATGCCTTGTACTACAGGATGTTGGTGTCCTCTCGACCACCGTTAGCTTAGAGAGGAACTGTGTGTGGCACAGGGTAGCACTTGGATGGTGATGACCCTCACAATATCTCAGGAAACAGACAGGTGGCCCTGAGGACCACAGAGGTTAGGCAGCTTGCTCTGGGTCACCCAGCAAGGGAGTTTAGGAACCAGAACCAATACCCACTCTTTCCACAATGTTCACCCAAGGGAGAAACACTCAGGTTCAAAGAGGCCACCTGACTACGTGGCAGAAAGACTTGGGAGATTCATTTTTATAAACATTACCATTTGTGCATGCTGAAGTATTTAGGGGTGAGGTCTCAGGTTGTCTGAAAATTACTTTAAAATGATTCAAAAATGAGCAAAATATTAACCATTTTTTTTCTAGATGAAAGGTATTTGTTCATCCCACTGTTCTTCTGGTGTCTTTCAAAATAGAAAGTCAGAGACAACTGCTTCTCATGCCTCTCCTCCTTTCTGGGGAGGCCCCTCCCCAGCACACAGCCAGTCTAGCCTTGGGCACGTACCCAGACACTGAGATTCAGAGAGTGGGGCCTCTGTTTGTGACCACAGTAGCCTGCGTCCCTCACTGTCCACACAGAAGGCCTTCCCACTGGTGCTGTCTTTCTGGCTGGCTCGGTACTGGCCGTTCTGGTCACACTGCAGGCCTGCCTGATTCCTCTGACAGTCAGTGACACCTAGAATGAAAGACAGACACAGTACTCAGTGACAGCTTTGGGGGTCCTGCCCCCCAGGCCCCAGGCTCCGGGTCATTCCCGGGTGACCAAGTCTCACATTTGGGCCAGACACTAGCTTAAAGCTCTCCAGTGTTCCCACCTTCACCAAAGCACAGCACCCAGGCTCCCTGTTGATGCAGAAGCCTGTTACTCCAGCCCCATGACAGACTGTACGCCCCACACCCATCTGCTGCCTTCAGTGTCTCACTTCCCTGCCCCCATGCTCCCACTGCTCAGACCTGGCTTTGGCACCAGCTGGGCGCCCTGCTGATGCGCTCTCCTCTGCCGCTCACTGTCCCAGCTTCCTGCTATGGAAATGTGATCCCCATGCTGAGGTAGTGAGAGTGTGGAAGTTTAATCTGACTATGGTGTTGATAGGGTAGCTTTAGGAGGTGACTAAGATTAGAGGTCACTAGGGTAGAGCCACCATGGCTGAACCCTGGCGGCTTTATAAAGAGGGAGAGAGATCAAAAGAGACACCAACAGATGCACAGTGCTTCCTGGATCTTGCCACATGATGCTGTATCGTCTTGGGACTTATCCAGCAGAGCCATCTTCCCATGCAGGCCTGAGGCCTCACACCTCCAGAACCATGAGCCACAGTAAATATCTTTTCTTTATAAAATACCCTGCCTTCGGTATTTCATTAAAGTAACCAAAACCAGATCTACACTTCTCAATCCTCGTTTCCTGAGGAAGCATTCCTGCTATGTTGAAATCTAATCCTCAGTACAATGCTGTCAGGATGTAGGGCCTTGGGGGAGATGATGCAGTCAGGAGGATGCAGCCCTCATGAATGGGGTTAGTGCTCTTGTAAAAGAGGTCCAAGGGAGCTCATTTGCCCTTCCGACCACGTGAGAACACAGACAGATGCCACCATCTACGATGACTTTATCTGACAGAGGATCTGTCAGCACCTTGATTTGGGACTTCCAGCCTCCAGAACCGTAAGGAACAAGTTCTACTGCCAGTAAGCCTCCCAGTCCATGGTATTTTGTGCTGGTAGTCCGAATAGACTAGCCACACCAGGCACCACAGCTAGATCTGTCTGACTGGTAACTGTTCTCTTGGGATCTGCATCTCTCCATCATACCAGGGAGTGTGGTTATCATTTCCATTTTTCTGTGAATGAAAGATGGGTGGCTATTGCTATTCATTTGACTGAAGATCAAGGGACTAGAAACGGTCTTGCTCGCAACTATCCCAGTGACTTTCTTAGTGTCTGACACAGCACAAGCTCCCCCAAAAATCAATCAATAGGGACAGATCCATGGGTGAATACCTCTGTCCTAGTGCTCAGGCTGTTTCCTCTTTCTAGTAGTCTTTTCTACACCTAGCCCCCTAGCTTACCCCTCCACCCATCCCGGTCCTTCCAGCCCTGGCAAAGCTGCTGTAATAGCATCCAAATACGAAATCATTAATTATATCGCAATGTATTTATGCACTCACTCACCTCCTTCTCCAACCAATAACTACATTCCTTGAGGAAAGAGATTTTAATTATTATAAATACCTAGTATATACTTGGCAGAAAGCAGGAGCTCAATACATTTTTGATGAATGATATAAAAAGAGAATTCCATTACTCGTTTCTCTAAAGCTCAGAAATAGGTGAAAGGTAGTCTTTTGCGGCACACGGAGACTTGATAGTATGTGAGCTTCCATATTTTAAGACTACTAAATACATTATTAGCCACTGATTAATAACAACTTGGGGGGTTACAAAAGCTACTTTTAAAATAGAATAGTTTGCATGTCATACATGTTAAATGTGAACTAATACATCAATAAATAAATAGCTACTTAGTTATCAATAGAACTTCAAACATGGTCCAATGAGCCCAGTACACTGGTGGAGGCAGCAGAAAAGTATAAATAAGTATGCAGATAAGTATGCCTTATAGAGGAACTGGGACTCTCAAAGCTATCCTGACACCAAAGAGAAACCAAGGAAAGATTCCAATTGCTGGGCATCATTTCAAACTCAGCAGATTCTGTTCCTCTTCAGAATGATTTCAACTCAGATCAGGTAACTCACAAGGCAGAATGATAGCGTGAACACATCATGGAGAAGCTCTTAGATAGGAAGAAAACCTTAGCAGGGACTTCAACCTTGATCCTGGGTAAGAGTCCACTAAAATTGATTCTGTGCTCAAGGAAGCTGTCCAGAGAGCATGATGCAACAGAGTCCTGTTACTACACAGAAGTGTGAGCAAAGGGGGTGGGGAGTGCTTGTTGTTCACATTAAACACTGTGATTCTGCTTTGCTACAGACTGAAAGTTGTGCCCCTCATTCATACATGGAAGCTCTACTTCTCAATGTCATGGTATCTGGAGGTGAGGCCTTTAGGATGTAACTAGATATAGATGAGATCATTAGAATGGGGCCTCATGATGGAAATGATGGCTCCATGACACCAGGTCGCTGGGCTTGAGAACCTGGAGAGTCAGATGGTCGTTATTTAAGCCACTCAGTCGATGATGATGGGTAAGAGTGGCCTGGACCAAGACATGCCCGTGAGTGAGGTATTGCTGGGCCTGTGTAACAGATGACAGAGTCAATATTCAGAGAAGAAATAGTAACCTAGTCCTGCGCCAATAAGAGCACAGAGCAGGGACTGAACCTGGCTAGTGCAAGGCTTAGCTCTGTTTCCACCATTTCTGTCACATCCCCTCCATAAGGAATGACCAGCACAGCACGAGGCAGCAGTCCCCTTTTAGGAAGGTGCTTGAGTGCACACCGATGGCACTCAAAGCCACCCCTGACCAAAAGCTCTGCGGTGAGTGGGTACAGGAGAAGGGTGGCACCCAGGTGAGCAGGGCATTGTGTCTCTAGGGAAGTTTCCACTCTGGAGGAGAGGCGGGCTCCGAGCTACCCAGCTCCTCCCACTTGGGTTTTCTTAGAATTACTTGCCTGTAAGTACTGCTCTTCTGACAAAGGTAAAGTCCAACACAGTGACTTGATCTCTTTTGAATGCTTGCTTTGAAAGTTCTATAAATTAGTCACAGCGGAAGTAATGATGGTGTGCCTCACAGTGACCCAATTTCAGACTGACATGAAAAGAGGCATCACAAGGGAAGTTATGCATCTTGGCTAGGGAAACCTTAACCATTATCAAGCGATGGGTAAGCAGCCAAGTGAAATCACGTCACTTGTGGGAAGACATACGTATGGTCCTGGGGCCAGAAGGGAATATGGGCGGCATGGCAGTAAGAAGTACTCTTATGGGCAGAAAATATCTTCTACTTCTTGATCTGATAAGGTTGACTTACAAAATTCAGAAGTTTCCAAATCAGAGAAAACCAACATCGAGCACCTACTTGTTCCATGACTTTGGCTAAATTACTTCACTTCTCTGAGCCTTAGACTTTGTATCCATGAGTCATGTTTGGTTGTCAGAAATTGGGGAAGGGATATGGCTGGCATCTAGTGGATGTGGCCTAGTGATACTACTGAACATCCCACCGTGGTCAGGACAATCCCCCACACGCACAAGATCCCCAAACATTGCAGCACAAGGCTGTGTGGCTCTCCTTTGCCTGCAGCTGCTCAGGCTTCTCCTTCGTACCAGCCCTGCAGGACTTACAGTGCTTGTGGCTGAAGGCTCCAGCGGCAATGGTTGTTCTTCCTGAAGGACACGGGACACAGGCCACGGTGCCTGCCTGTTCTTGGTAGAACCCAACAGGACAGGGAATACACTGCTCGTCCAGAGAATAGCTTCCCTCAGGGCACATAACTAGGAAGAGCACACAGAGACCCAATGTTAAAGAACAAGCCACCTGCTTCTCTCATACAATTCTGAAACACACAGGTAAAGTCAGCCCAAGAGCTCATCAGTCTGACAAAGGTCCCTTGGGAACACAGTGTGCCTCAGGCTCCAGAAGCCCAGGGAACAGCTGAGCAGCAGCATCTCCAGGTGCCAATGTGCTTGTGCAGATGAGGGAGTCAGGCATGGGTGGCAGGGAGGCTCTCTGAGGGGTGGCGCTTAGACTTGGATGACAAGCAGGCCCTCGAGAAATGTCCTAGGAGAGCAAAATTCCAGGCAGAGGGAACAGCAAGAGGGAATGATTTCAGATCATTCAAGGAATGAGAAGGAAAAGGCCAGGCCGAGCCAGCTACTGAGCCAGAGCCCAGTTTGCAAATGGCAGGAGATGGAGCTGGGGCACAACTGAACAGGTGGTCCAGCCGTGGGTTACCATGGAAACACTCCCAGAGCTAGGGCATAGTGAAGAGCAATGGGGGTGCAGAGAGCTCGGGTAAAGTCCCAAAGCCCACCACACCTGAATCACTGCAGGCTTTTGGAAGCTCCACTTTCTCCTGTGGGAAATGGGGAATCACTGATGCACCTGACGAGAGTGTAATGATAATGAACATCCAGTACTTGTCATGATGAAGGACTCACATGCGTACGCAACAAAGGACAATTATTTTTACATTGCAGGAAGTCTTTTTTGTAGCCAACCTCAATACTGCCAAACAGGGTGACCTTGGGCAAATCCAACAACTCATTACCATTTCACTTGAGGTGAGTGGGCTATTCTTTTTTTTTTTTGGTACCGGGGATCGAACTCTGGTCCTTGTGCTTATGCAGCAGGCAGCAAAACCACTGAGCTAAATCCCCAGCCCCATGAGTGGCCTATTCTTGTCTGTCAGTCTTAATAGTGTTGTTCATTCCTGGGACAAGGGTGAGGTAGATGGGACACCAGGGTATGAGATTAGGAGAGGTACTTCTATCAGGTCTGCCGGGTTTCAGATTGACTCAGAAATAGCACATCGGACCCCCAAGAGTGGAGCCTCCTTACAATCCATTCATGGACGTCTCGCTTGTTTTAGCCCTTCCCACGCTGTGCTGCTAATCTGCCATTTCCCAGGGCTTTCTCTCCCTTGGGTCTTAACACTCCCAGTCCCTCCTCATTTCCCTTCCCTAAAATGCCACAGGCTGGGGAAACAGAACCCTAACTTGAGAGAGTATCTCTCCTAGGAGTTCCAAGTTGGGCTCCAAGGCACTCTACCAGAGGCAAGAACCAGCCCCACTGACTCGGTCCTCGGTGCTCCAAGAAGAGGGGCCAGATGAGGATCTTTCTGTTTTCTTTCCCAGTTCAGCATTGTGGTCCTGAAGTTTGTCAAATAACCTCCAGAAATGAGTGGTAGCCAGTGAAATGTGGGAGCTGAAATCTTGCCCACTCTCAGGGCCCTTCCCCTGTGCCTGGCATCCAGGTCACCCTGAGTTTGCCTCTTAACCCCATTTCACAGGTGAGGAGGCTGAGCATCAGGACACGCGTGCAAGACTTACTAGCATGCTTTTCTGGGAAGGGCAATGGAGAGGTAAAATTATAAAATGCATCAAGCACAGGGGCAGATGTTTTGACGATCACCCTCACAATCCTATGACAAAGGGATCATCCCCATCCCAGACCGGAGAAAACTGAGGCGAAGATGGAGGTTGGCCAGGCAGTAGGCGACTAGAGGGGACAGCTGAACCCAGTCCTTTACCTCCAAACCAAAACCCTGCAGTATCTGCCAGCCCAGGCTTCTCCCTTGAGCAGGGAGGGCAGCAGAGAAGGCGGGGTGGCTGTGGAGAGGCCAGTGTTCATATAGCAGCTGCCTTCTCTGGTCTGGGCCTCTACTTGGCATTTCTGAGTAAATTAGAAACTCAAGCCATGGCTTGGAAACCAAACGGTGTTTTCCAGTCTGCCCTAGCCAAGAATACCTTCCCTCAGAGTGGAGTTTCATTACTGCTTTGAGTCAGGTTGTTGATAATCATCTCCAGAGCTTTAGAGCTATGTCTCTTTTCAAGTAAGTGCCCTCTAAACTCATTGGCTAGCCTGAGTGTCCCAGCTTCTGAAACCCAAGAAGCAGGGGAGGAGCCCAGAAAGGGGAGCTGGGAGCTACCTTTTATTTTTCTTGGTGGTACTGGGACTGAACCTATGGTCTTTGCGCTGAGCTACACACCCAGCTCTCCTGTGTGTGTGTGTGTGTGTGTGTGTGTGTGTGTGTGTGTGTGTGTGTGTGTTTTGAAACAGGGTATTGCAAAGTCACTAAGTTGCCCTGGCTGGGCTTGAATTTGAGATCCTCTGGCTTCAACCCCGCAGAGTGCTGGGATCACAGGCGTGTAACACCACACCTGTGGGAACTATTTTTTTGTTGTTGTTGTTGGGGTTTTTTTGGTACCGGGGATCGAACTCTGGTCCTTGCGCTTGCGCAGCAGGTGGCAAAACCACTGAGCTAAATCTCCAGCCCCTGTGGGAACTATTTTTAACTTCCAGACCAACAAATCCTAGGCCTCCTTTCTGCTGAAGAAACCCATATGCTGTTTCCTCCCACTCTTTTCTTCTTTCCCCGACATCAAGTGTCTTTTCCTATTTTCCACCCAAAAGACACTCCTAGAAGTCAGAAGGAGGCAGTGGCTGGATAATCCACTGCAGCAACTGGACCCCATCTGCAAGTACATCCCTCACCAGAATTAGGGGAAATGTGTCTTTGGTGTGTAACTATATTTTTAAAGCTTAGATGGATGGATGGGAAAAAGCAAGGGAAAGAGGGAGGGAGGGAGGGAGCCCTAACATATCACTTTAGAAAAATATCCCCAGGGAACTAGTTGTGTTATAAGAATGCACAGTGAATAAGTGAAAGTTAATGTCATCCAGATCAGAAAATGGAAAATCTAGACAGTTTCCCTGTGATCCTCATTAATGAGCCAATCTGCATGAAGACTGCCAGCAGGTAACTCCAAAAGAAGCCATATGGCTGGCTGCAAGGAGGAAGGAGAAAAACGCTGATGTGTCGGAGCAGCAAGTGAGGCCTCCACTCTGCAGCACTGTCAGTTCCCTGATCAGGGCTGTCACGTTCCAGTGTGTCACAGGGCTGTGTGTAGTTATGTGCTCCAGGTCACTGTTCTCCAAGAGGGTCAGATTAATCCCAGAGATGACACACAAAAACCCTGCTTCATTTCCACAGGACAAAGCTCTGTCTTGTGGCCTCACAGCTGCATTCCAGATATATTTTAGAAGGAAAAGAGCCAATAAGAATGGTTATAAGTGGCAGAGGCCATGATTCCACTAGGTCTCCCTTGCTGAGAAGGGAGGTGTGCAATGCAGAAGACGGAACGAAGAACCTGGAAGCAGATGGAGCAGACTTTAAATCTCCAAATGTGCAAGTGACAGTGGAACCATGTCTTGAGACTTGGTTATGTCTAAGAGATGTGCTTTGCATTAACTATTTCATGTTTTACAAACCAGTCCCATGTAATAGACATCATTTTCCCTATTTTTCAGATTATGCCCAGTGAGGCTGAGTAATGTTGCCTGGATCCTACAATGAGGAAATGTCGGAGCCAGTACTCAGGTCCAGACCCACACAGCAGCTTCCTGGCAGTGCACACAACTACACACCCGGTTTCCTCATCTGTAACACGGGACTAGTGATACTCAGTTCTCTGCACAGAGGTGCCAGTGAGGCCCCACATCTCAGAAACGAACTACAACATACTGGATATTATAACTGGTCCTGGGGAAAACCCAAGGCCTTCAGTCCTGCCCTTGTCCGTTGCATCCTGACGTTTCTGTGTGGAGTAAAGGGTGTGGGGCTGAGGCGTGTGACTGACAACCTCTGTGAGTAGTAAAAGGCTGTGGCAGTGGAGAAGCAGAACGTAGGCTCATTGTGAACCAAGACTAATCACACTACAACACGTGGGCCAAATGCAGCCTGCCTTCTGTTTTGGTAAGTTAAGGTTTATTGGAACCCAGTGACTTATCAATAAATTCCCTACAATGACTGAGTAGTCTTTAAAACAGACTGTATGGCCCACGGAGGCCCAAAATATTTGCTACCTGGCCCTTTACAGGAAAAGGTTGTGACCTCTATTGTGGAGGAGGTACATCCTGGGCAACCCCTGTCCTTTGGTCCGTCCCCGAGCACCATCCTGTGGCTCCTGGCAGAGCTCTCTACTACCCTCACCGCATGAGGCCCACTGCTGGCCCAGGGTCTGCTTGGACACACACAGGGCCCCTCTCAGGCAAACACAGCCTAGCTAACTATTCCTTACCTACTTCCAAGCGGATGGAAATGAACAATCACAATGAGTAGTTCTCGGGAAGGGACCTTGGTATGAGATTTCCAGGCAGCCTCTTCATTTTACACACACATGTGTGTGTGCACGCACATGCAGACACACACCCCACAACTTCAGAGTCCTGGTGGTGGAGCCAAGGACACGTCCTGTTCAAGTCTGAGATCATGGTGGCAGATGTCGCTGTGTGACACTCCCGCTCTGTGACGCTGTTTCACACTCCCCCACCCACCCAGCACCATCACTCCTGTTCCCATTTCTGGCACTCACTCTTTGGGCACCTCTGGAAAGGTAGAGTGAAAAATCATGGGTTGCCCACCAGAGGAACTGGGGTTACCACCCCGCTGGTTGCTTAGGTGACCACGGATCTCTCCAGAAGTGGCCTTCTCCGGCCACTAGGTGCAGGGTCTCATTTAATCTGGGCCTCAGCCTCTCTGCCTAATCAGGAAATAACTGATTACCAAGGGCTACCGAGAGAGTTAAATATTTGCAAAGCCACATTGCCAACTGTAACATACTCTGTAAATATTAGTGGGAAGTGGCTGTGTTTCTGTTTCCTGTGCTTGGATTTAGCTGCATCTCAAATCCTGTGTGGAATTCACAATTTGGTCTGGATTTCAGAAGAAGAAGAGGCATGAATCTCTTGCATTGTAACCAATATAAATAATGGAAAAAATAACTAAGAACATCCTTCTTCAGCTCAATAAAAATGCCTCTCTACCTTACTCTGCAGGAGAAGACGGCTCCTCCTCCTGACACCCTCAAAATTTTGGTGGTAGAACAGTGGCCCCCAAAGATGTCCACGAGTCAGTTCCCAGAACCTGTGACTATACCAGGCCATGTGGCAAAGGCGAATTAAAGTTGTGGATGGAAGGTTGCCAATCCATTGACCTTGCCCTGGGGTAAGTGGCCTGGATTATCCAACTGTGCATAATTAAAAGGGCGCCTAAGTCAGAAGGAGATGCGATTAGAGAGAAGATGCAGAGAGCTGAAATACTACTGCCTTTGACCACAAAGGGAAGAAGCTACCCCCGTGGAATGTGGCCACCTCCTAGACAATGGACAAAGCAGGAGACAGACTCCCTCAGGCTTCCGGGAGGAAGGCAGCCCTGCGCACATTTCGATTTCACTCCATGAAACTCATGTTAGAATTCAACCTGCAGAACCGAAGAATGATTACATTTGTGCTAATTTGTTACGGTAGTGATAGGAAACTAATCCACCTTTCATCCAGGAATTCGCAGCTGCCTTCCTATGAAAATGACCTCCAAAGACACTCATGGGACAAAGCAAGAGCCGCTCAAGCAACCCCCGGTCCCAATCACTTTCCCTCAGTTGTAAAGCTGTGGGCTGAAAAATGGTCATCTGGGATTTGGGTAGGTGACCTATGGCTATAACCAGGTGGAAAAATCTCTGCCCAGGACACAGGGTAGACATTTGCCTTCTTCACACAGAGGTTCCAGGCTGGCCAAGAATGAACAGAAAGGCTAACTTCAGACACCAGCTTCTTCCTCCTGCCCTACCTCCTACGGGTGATATCTGCACGACTGTGCAAAGTGGAAAGCTTCCCTTTACAAATGCACAAGCGATCCTCCACTCTGTGAGCAGGACAGCAGCTCTCCAGCTCATCGGCCTTTCCCAGAGCCTCCTGAGGATTCAGGGGCCACTTACCACACCCCAGAGGGTCCCGGCTGGCCTTGCTGGTAGCTGAGACTCGGGAGAATCCTTCCACGCACCCAAACCATGTCTGGGGAGAGGCCACAAAGCTGTCCCCTTGCAGAAAGTGGATGGAGGTGTCTGCCAAGAATGCCTTGGAATCCAGATGAAGCTGGAATGTTCCACTTTGGACCAGATCTGTGAAGCGCCCAAGGAGGTCCTTGCCCACTAAGGCCCTTTCTGTAAGACAAGAATGAGGCAGGGGTCACCTCACTACTTTCTGCATCCTCATCAAAAGGAAACAGAGGTATCATCTGCGGTCTCATTTACAGTGGGAAAACCAAGGCCAGGAGAAGGGTTTGATGGACTGAAATTCACACAGGGATCAGAAACACAAGCAGTGCTCCCACCCAGGTCTCTGGCTCCAGCCACTTCTGCCCATTGTGATATAGGACCGAATCTTATAACTGATCCATACACTCAGCCACATCCTCCTTCAGTGAGCCACCGTATCTGAGCCTCAGTTTTCACATCTGCAGAATGGACCCAGGCACACCCCTCTTGTGGTTGGTGAGGATCCCCAATGAGAACAGGTCTGATGGGGCCACACACAGAAGAGGCAAGACCTTCCAGAGGCAGCGTAGCTTTCTGCCTCTGTGCTCAGCTAAGCACAGAGAAGACCTCCAGCTCTGACCTATAGGCTCCTGGGAAGAGAAAGAGGAAAACTGCGTGTGGAGTTGAGTGGATGCCTGCTCAGAGTGGGCTGCTGTAGCCTCGGCCATCACTGTGTGCAGACCAAGCCAAGAAGAAGCGTCCCAGCTGTACCCACATTACCCAGGCTCTCTGGAGTGGGGTGGGGCCTCTAACTCATAATGCTGTTGGGGGATACTTGTCCCACAGATTATTGCCAGGAAGACAGGGGGCGGACAGGAGAGCGGCAGGGTCTGCCGCCTGCTGTGTACCCCAGCAGTGTTTGTCAGGTCCCTCTCACAGAGTGGAAGGCAAGCTCCAATGAGGTGTGGTCCTAGGTTTGGCCACTGGGTGGCAGGAGGGGGTGTTGCTCCCCGTATCTAGTTGGAAATAGGTGCATTGTGTCCCACGCTACGGAAACACTCTAGCTAAGCAGGACACATGCTCCCGTGGGTATCAAAAAACCCATCCCATGGCTCCTTGTTCTTCCCAATCAGTACATAACTCTCTCCTTATGTCATCACAGGAAGGCACTGTGGCTTTGCCAGCTGCATTGAAACGTGAGGAAACTGAGGCAGAGAGAGGCTGTGTGGCTTCTTCAAGCAGCAGTGCAGAAAAGCCTACCAATGTCATGCAGATCTGGAAGCGAGCCTGCTGGGATGTCCTTAATCTGGGATTTCCATGTGACATTGACTCCTAGACGCTCCGCAGTCAGACACCGCACCTGTACTGAGGAGCTGTCACAGACAGGATGGGAGGTAGGAGTCCCAGTCGTCCTCACCTGCGTGAGAGTGATGCACTCAGTTGAGACAGAGTAGGAGGTGCCACGGCCAGAACAGGCTCCTGCTACTTCTTGTAGTCCCCCACCACCCTGCTTCGGGGATGAGGCATCAGTCACACCTACTTGAAGAAACAAATTCAGAGACTCTAAATGAGCTGCCCTGGTTACATAGCGGACAGAGGCACAAGTCGGGGCAGAGGCGAGCTCTGCATCAGAAGCCTGCTCGTCCCGGGACACTGAGAGGAGGTCTTCCCACAGGTGTCTCATAATAAGACCTGCTGTGCGGCAGGCACTGAGCACCTTACAAGGCGACGCGGCGCAGAGTCTGAACTCTCTCGTCAGGCCTGTGTGAAGTACTTTAAACAGGTCAGGTAGTTTAATCTCCAGAACAAACCTATGGAGCTGAAACAAATCACTTTTCTGTGTTCTCCTTGGGGGTTCACCTCGGAGAGGCTAAGGATCTGCCTCAGACCCCTTAGCCAGCAAGTGGTGGACCTGGGGTGCAGGCACAGCTCACTGCAGAACGTGTGAAGAGCCAAGCCTTGGGCATGTGTCTCACCTCACTCAGCCTGGCTCCATGATGGGTGCTCCCATCCCCTGTTCCATTCACAATGGCATGAGGCCTCGCCAGCTTCACCAGCTTGGAGAAATTCCCAGTCATGCTGGCAGGAGGACTGATGTCAAGGCTGGAACCAGAGCCACCTGTCTGGAAGCTTATGCATCATGTCCTACTTCCAGAGAAGACCTGTATTGCCTCGGAACCTCTCTACCTCCTAATTGCACCCCGACACCTGGTCCTGGAGGCCCCCACCAGAGGGCCACTGACCAGGCTGCCTCCAGAGTCCTGTCTTTATCTTCAGCCCTCTCCTCCACTCTCAGGTCCCCAGCACTCTGGAACACTTTGCTCCTTGCTATGAGAGTTTCACTGCTCCTCTGTCAGGAAACACGGCATTCATCTCCTCCCAGTCCCTGGAGCCCAAGCCTCAGGCATCCTCATGCTTTTCTCTCCCTGGGCTCCGTTATCTCAGACCCAGTCGCGGGAGTGCTGGCCACTGTCACAAATTCTGCTTCTCATATGCGGGACTGACACCAGTGCCCAAGCCTTCTCCCCTCACCCAAGACGACTGTAAGAGCCCCTGCTCCTGTCCTTGGCCCCTGAAGCCCACTCTCCACACAGCAAACACTGGAACCCACACTTATCCTGTCACTGTCAGCCTCCGAAGCACCCCATCACATACAGAGCAAGCCCCCTGTCCTAACCATGGCAACGTGGCCCCGAGTGATGTACACACCCCGGGCCCCAGTTTCCTCTCTCACTGTGCCTACCCATGCAGGGCCCTCGATATTATGGATCAGTGACTGTGTTCCCATCCCGGCAGCTCCACCCTTCCTACTTCATCTGCAAGGCTCCTGCGCTCACGGGGCTCAGCCTCACTGTGCCCAGGTCCCCTCCAATGGCTCCTCCCAGCGAGGCTTTCACTGCTCATCTTCTCCAAGGCTACTCCTACCTCTCCATCACCCCCACCACCACCACCCCTGTCCTGCTTTACCTCCTTTTTGGGCCCTCCCCACCACTAATGTGTATTTGCTCAGTGCCACATCCCCCTAGACTGAGTCCCCGGGAACAAAGACTTGGTGTCATCCTGCAGATGTTCCCTTGGCCCAGTCGCGAGCCCAGACTCTCTGAGCCCTCTCCTGGACCTCAGCCTTTGCTTACCAAGAACCAACACCAGCATGGTTCCACCAGCTTGGGCTGCACCTCAGGATGACACTATTCCTTCCTTAGAGTGCCTGCGTAGAAAACTCAAGGACCCCTAGAGAATGTACTTTTCCTTCCATCCAACGCCTGAAGCCAGGCCCCACTGTCCAGCCTGTATCTGTGGTGGGTGCCTAAATCTAATAAGTGCCAGCTGGCAAACCCAGACATGCTTCATGTGGATGAAGCCCCTCTTCCTGCTCTGTGTAATTTTTCTCTTCCCTGACTCTACTGAGCCCTCAGTAACTCCTCCCTACCTCTCCTCCATGTAAAATGCTAGCCACCTCTGGACAAATGGATGCTGAGTTTAGTTCATGCTGTACTCTTTTCCTCCTCGCAATTGTATGTTAGGAATTAAAAATGTTCCTTACCGCTTTAACTACTGTCTAGATCAGATCATCTGTGACAATCCTCAGACCTAAAACCATGCCTGCCCTGTAACAGGCAGTCGGACATTTTCACTATAAGAATCAATGAATGAATGAGTGAATTTGTTATAGTGAAGGAGTCCGGACAGACCTGGACTTACTGAAGTATGAGAAACTTGGACAAATTACTTCGCTTCTAAAGATTTTGGATAATGGCCTGACGAGGAGAGGGCTCCAGCACCCGGTTTTGTTCTCCTCATGCAGAGTGGCGGTAATAAGAGGACCGCTCTGAGTAATCCATGGCTCACACAGCTCACCTGGATGTGGCAGAAGCCCCGGGCCGTCAGCTCATCCAGGATAAAGACCTGGAGCGCCTGCAGCAGTCCTGAGTAGTCAGCACTGCACATCTTGCCCGGGGGGAGCTGCAGCTGGAGGTGGGCTCCAGTCTGGATGCTCTGCCACGGCTGTGGCCCTGCAGGTGAGACCGGAGGTCAGTGGCTGGGGCTGGCAGAGACATGGGGTTGGTTTTGGTTTTGTCCTCTATGGAAATAACTCGTCTTCTTTTAGCACTGCCATTTCACGCCATCATCCTTAGAATCTAATAATTCCTGACGTAACTGTCGTCTCGGAATTACTTCTCACCCTCAGCAAATCTAGACCTGCCCCAGTCTCTGAACCAGGGGAATCCTAGGTATTCCCCCTGGAAAATCTTCCTCATTATTTTGCAGGCAAACGAGGTGACCCTATGCTTTTGGGGTTTTAGAGTAGACATTCCCTAAGGTTGTTCAGCGTACAAGCTCCACAATCATACACCGCAGCTCTGCACCCCACTTTAGGGAACCAAAGACCCAGGCTTTCTTCCCCCAAGGCTCCTTGCTCTGGAGTCACTGGTGATCGGCCTGGTCTTTATTTCAGCTCAGGCTACTCTGTTTAATCAAAGGAACAAGCCACTTATTTAGCCAAATCACATATTAAACTTTTGCTTGATGAAGATCCTCTATAGCCCAGATTGCTTGTAACAAACACTGCCCTTGACGCTCCGGCAGCTACCCAGAGCCTTATGACAGTCATTCCTGGATGTGGGTCTCTCTACCCCCATGTCCTCCCATTGTACTGGGCAGGCAGAGTGTGAGGTCCCTTTTGTCTGCCCCTACCCAGGCGACCAGGCTTTGCCAAGGACGTGTTTTCAGAGCATGGTCCACAGCCGTGTACGTTTTTTCTCACGTGTGTCAAGTGGGCTCAGGCAAAGGCAGGAGCTCTGTTTAGACAGGGGAAGGGCACTCCTGGAACCAGGCCTGGGGCCTCTGCCCTGTCAGGTATTTGTCCTGGGGGCCTTGGGGAGAGGCTGCTGGGGCAGAGCACTCTCAGAGGCTGGACGGGCCGCCCGCCCTAAGTGTATCAGTACTGTAGTCACTGGTACGGCTGCCAGAGCATCTCCCTGCTGAAAATCCGCCTTAATCCAAGACATCCTGGGAGAGCTGGAATGACAGAAACTCGCCCAAGGAACAGATGGCTCCAGAGAAGCCACAAATAAACCTCACTCCCGGGGCCTGTGAAGCGCATCTGCTCCTCTGAGGAGAAAGTGCTCCGCGGCGCCTCTCCTGCCCTTGGTACTGCTTAGGCTGCATTCTGGTGGGGAAACAAGGTGGCACGAATCTGCACTCCCACCCTCAGCTCTGACCCCACGGGCAGGGCACAGGACGCACATCCCCAAGGCCACTCACGCTGGCAGGCCAGGGGCTGGGGGAGCTGCGACACCCAGTGCTTGCTCTCCAGGCTGCACAGCAGCAGCCCCGACGGGACTGTACTCCGGTAACCCTGGCGACACCAGAGCTGGCACTGCTGGACGGCGGCCTCTCCCAGGTCCGAGGCCCTGTCACAGAGGAGCGCGCCGCCAGGCACGTCTGACACGCTCAGGAAGGGAAGCGGACACTGAGGGCCTACAGGGAGAGAGAAGTGGGTGGTGGGCACCTACATCATGCAGGGCTGAGCTCCTGGGCACCCTCAGTCACCAGGCCTCCCCACCGCCATCCCCAGCTGTGCCAGGCTCTCAGGCCGCGCCGGGGCTGGCTCCCCTCTCTGCCCTCCTCCTAGAAGAGCCATGGTGTGACCCTCGTAGCCTCCGCTAGACCTGTTCTTGGGTCCCAGAGGGCACACCCACTCCTGGAGGACAGGGAGGGGACTCGGGGTGGGTGTGTCACCCCGCTCCCTGCTGCAGAAGCACCCAGCAGGCGTTTCTACTACAAGCACCCATAAGTACTACTGAGCCTGGTGGCAGCTGCTGAAGATGACCAAGGTGAGGGGATGCTGGGCCCACACAGGGGAGCAAACCAGGGAACCCAGGAGGGTCACGAAGGCCTGGGTGCACGCAGGGCGCGTAGGAGTGAGGCCAGCCAAATGCAGGCAGCTCCCCACCCACCCTCCCTAGGAAGGCTCCTCCCATCCTCTTCTGCATGGAAACCAGAGGCACCACTGGGCCTCCGCGAAGCTCTCTGCCACTCCAAACGTGGCTTAGAGATTGAAAGTTTAGAAACAAATACTGTAAGTAAAAAAATCAGAACAAAGGAAAGGCCACTGTGGCAAAAGCAGAACCACTCATGGCAGTATTTCTCAAACCTTTCAGGCCACTTGGGCCTAATTTGTACCAAATACTACTTAATGTCTCCATTTCCTGTTCACAGATGGTCTAGCCCACCCACTCACATGAACTTCAAAATAGTTGTAATGCCTTACAATTTGAGTACATGGAGGAAATAAAAAGTAAATAACGTATACTACATTTTAACAATTCTATTATGTATTGTAACTGCATATTCCGCTATTTGATATTCAAACAGTTTGTAAAATTAGACGAGGAGAAGTTGAGAGCTCCACAAGTGCCTGAAGTGCCCCTGGGGACAGAGCGTCCATCCCACGTTTCTGAGACCGAGACCAATCAGCCTCTCCCCTGTTCAGGACAGACCAGGAGACCAACACCTGACCCTCCCAGGCAGCACCCGGGCTTCCTTGGGTGCCAGCCCTGGAGATTCCCTGCCCAGGTTCTTCCTGACTTCCACCCGTCAGTGAGCATTTTGGGGAAGCAGACACAATTTCAACATCACGGAAATCAACTGCCACGACATCATTCCTACACTTCCTGTTCCAGTCCCATTCCCATCGTCCTTGCTTCCTAGAGCTCCATCCAGACAGAGGAGGGAAGTGATGTGGGACGTGTGGCCCGAGGTCCCTCCGGGCTCAGGACTTACGCTCACAGGCAGGCTGGCTGCCCACCACGCGGGTCCCAGGCACCTCCTCTCCACTGTCCAGGACACACCAGCAGCTGCCCTGCGCCGGGTCACATTGCACCAGGGAAAAGGCCCCGTCCTGTTCCCTGCAGGCTGGGATGTGTCCAGGGCGGACTCTCCTGGACAGGTCTCCGCTTCTGAGAGAGCTGCAGAGGCCCGGGCCTGGACGCGCAGAGACAAGGCAGGTCACAGCCATCCTCGCCGTCCACTCCCACCTTAAGCCTGCCCGCACTGACAGGGCTCCCGACTCTGTCCTCTCTCCATTTCCATTGCCTGCCCTCGGGGTGCTTAGCGTCTACAGGAGATTTAAGTGAGTGTGCAAGTGCATGTCAATGAGATGCGGATGACCAGTGTTCGGCTGAGGACCCTTTGGAAGCACAGAGCCTGGCCACACGAGGCCTGTGAAGGTTTCCTGGAGGAGCTGCTGGTGGAAGGGAAAAGCAGCCAGGCTGGGTAGCAAAGGTATAGACACAGTGCAGGCAGAAGTGCCAGGGGGAGTGAAGGCCAAGGCGAAGAGAGTGTCTGCTTTCTTCAAAGTCTGACTGGAACTTTCCACAAGATCCGGAAGCAAGAGTGACGGAGAGGCGAGAGAAGCCAAAGAAGACCCCCAGGAGCCCATGTTCTCGCCAAGCCAAGAAGCTCAAGCCTGTTCTGACCTCAGTGGAGCATCAGCGGCCTCAGGCAGGGGCACCATCAGAGTGTTGCCCCTCAGGGACACGCCCTGGGCTTCACTGAGGACCCGACGGCAGGTTGAGAAGGGAAGCCCAGGGCCAGGCGGAGCACTGCCAGCTGGCCTATGCCCCTGCAGTCTTCAAGGGCACCAAGCCACCTGGGACAGGGAGCAAGGCTGTTGCCTCTGTCACAGAGCACAGCCTTCTCCCTGAGGTAGGGAAGGTGGGAGAAGATCACCCTGTTTTACAGGTGAACTCAGGAGCTGCACTGCCCTGCTGGGAAAGCAGCAGGGTGGGGACAGGAAGCCAGCTGTGGGGACTCCACACCCAGGGTTCACCAAGGAGGCTGTGGGGCAGCCAGGCTGGGAAAAGCACTTACACTGGGTGCTGCCATTGGTGCTGGGCTGCGTCCCTTCTCCAGACACGGGGTCCACACACCAGGCACTGGTCCCCAACGCCTGCATCCTGGCAAACTCTCCTGTCTGAGCAAACCCAAGGCTGTCAATGCAAGGTCTCTGTGGCCCACTTCTTGGTCCAAAACAGGTGGTAGGAGCTTCCCCCAGTAAGAAGGTATTACCATAAGAAGGGGACATTACCTTGTCTGCAACCCTCCACACATTTAATTTGAATTGATGGTTATACCAGCTCCACAGGCAAGGACAAGGTGCCCCATTTGACCGTGGAGAAATGAAGGCTCACTCCAATTATTGCTCACAGTGGAGCAGCATCCCAGAGCTCGTGGGTGGCAGATCCCACTCTCCTGCACCAACTCCACCAATGCCAGCAGTAGGTTTTAATGAGGGGCCTTGGAAGAGGGCCCTAAACATCCTACCTGGAATAAAGATGCCGTCCAAGGCAGCTACCCACCCTCATCACTGGCCACGGACCTACAGAACAGAATCTGCTGCTCTAGGGACCCCTAGTATGCCACTTTAGCTTCCTGGGCCTCAGTTTCCCTACATAAACATCCCAGGAACTGGCACCGAGCACATTCCTCCCACAAACTCTTGGATGGCAGGAAAGTCCTTCCTGCCACACCTGCAAGTGAAAGTCGCAAGCACAGCAAGTGAGCCGGAGGAAAGCAGCTGCCGCACACATCCTGGCTGCTGCTGTTTCCTTGAGCACTTAGTTGCCGCTTGTCCACTTTCCAGCCTGCTGTGTCCGGTCTGCCGGCCAGCGGCGATAATGTTTGTAACATCCGACATGTGAGGAGAGCGTAACCACGAGGTTCGCACGGTGCTGTTTACTTCTGGCCCAGCCTGAGTGTGCTGTGCGATGCACACGGCACTGGGGAGATAAGGATGCCTCTGTCCTCGTGCCTCCTACCATGAAGCTTGTAAACTGCAGAGGTAAGATGCAAAGCCCAGCAAAGCCTTAACATTTTTCCTTGAAAAAATTCCTAAAACTGAGAACGTTCTATCAACTTGACTTCTCCTGGGTTGAAGGATATAAGCATTCAGTTTGGACAGGGAGAATCTGGATACTATTTACTGGCACCAGGCCCTGGGCAGGGGCTGGAACGTGAGCACCACACAATCAGAGAATGTGCTAGAATTCCCACCCCTGCCCGCAGAGAGGCCGGGTGCCCGTCTTGGCTTCTTCCTGAGCGAGTATCAGTGCCCAGGACATGCAGCGGACCTGTATTCCAACCCAGCGGCAGGTGGTTGTCAGACAGGATGAAGATCCACATCATGTGGATAATTTCTCTACAAAACTCATTCGTACTTGGAAGCTATGTTCTAAGTACCCAATGATAATAATATTGAGCTCACACAGCACTTTGCAGCTTCATGAACTTCCATATTTCAGATTTTCACAAAGTCCCTGGGAGATTGTGAGACTCCTGTCATCCCCGTCTTAGGGAAAGGAAACAGGCTCAGGGATGCCTGTCTTGGCAAGTGATGCTGAAGGGTCCAGGCATGATCTCTTCCCCTGTGAGTTTTCCTGCCTGTGCTTGGCAGATTGAGAATTTCTGCAGTAATCCAGGGAGCTGGGAGGGCTTGGGATGATGTCATCCACTTGGACTGGGAACCTGAGCACTGTGATCTGGCCAAGGTGACTTTAGGAAACACATGGTAGCAACTGCACGGGTACCAGTGAATCTCAGAGTATTCACGAAAGCTATTTCCAGGGGGTCTCCAAACTGTTCCAGCACTAGCTGGCACAAAAATGTGGTCCAACCCTACGTTGAAAAGCAAAACTGAGGCACAGAGAAGGTAAGTAAGTTGCTCAAGGGCACACAGCCAGGGCCTACCAGGTTCAGGACAAACATCCCACCTGGACTCTCTGAGAGACTTTTACTAAGCTCAATGAATTGAAAACTGCAAAAGTCACCTCAACCAGCTGGGATGAGCTCTGGCATCCCTTCTCACACCCTCCTGGGTCCCCAGAGCCTCACCTCAAGGCAGGCTGGGGTGAACAGGTCTTCTGGGGATGGGTCTCCTTGGGATCCAGCCTGTTTCCAACCAGAAAGCAGCCCATTGGCTCGAGACTGCTCACAAGGTGAGGCACCTGGGGAAAGAGGGGCACTTTTCACAGACTGGGCGGGGACACCGAGGAAAAGCGGAGACCCTGGCTCACCCTAGGTTTCAGATCCATGCATCTAGTCATGGAGGTGCCCCCAGGACAACGAAGCATGTGCCATTGGCAGTCTTGAGACTTGGAGTGGGCTACTGATTACTGAGGGCCCACCTTCAGGTGGAGGCAGAGGCTGGAGCTCCAGATGGGAGCTAGTGATAAGTCACAGGTGAGCAGCAGGTGCACTGGGCAAGAGCCAGAGCTCCCCTTCACTCCCACTCCACCTGGAGCTCCACCAGGAAGGCTGAGGTCACTGCTAGCCGCTGGCCCTGGCTCTTGGGGGATGTGTCTGGCTGGGGTCGGAATGGATGCCTGAGCAGCCTGGAACCCATCCCCGAGGTCAGAGGGGAGAGTTCTCAGGCTTTACTGTACTTACACTGCAAGACCTGTGGGGAGCGGGCAGTCAGTGAGTTGGGGATAAACTGGCCCTTCGCGTCCACACACCAGCAGTACCCTAGAAAAGAGCCATACATTCAAAGTCCAGGAAAGGCCTGAGGCTCACTCCCGGATGTTACCTCTTTGCATTTATTACCCTGACAGGAAGTTGGCCTCCCCTCCAGCCCCAGTATAGCCTGTTGAAGGTCCCTGTTCTCGTTACAGGGAGACAGCTGGAGAAGCTCAAGGATTTGTCTCAGCTGCCAAAGTGTGGCTGAGAATGCAGGCCACTTGCCTCCTGTGCTGGGGCTCTTGGCTCCACATAAAAAGGAGGGGTGTCACTTAGCTTCTGAGGTCCCACTTACCAGTCCCCATGTGGCACTGCCTGGGCTCCCAGCTTCCGAATGCACCACACTGTGGCATGTAGGGGCCTGACCGCAGAGCGGGGGCTGCTCCAGGCAGCTCACCTTGGTGTCTCTGGTAGAAGTCCAAGGCTGGAGACCAGGGAAGAGAAGAGCAGAATGTGGTACCTGCCCTACACCTCTGTCCCTGAGAACAACTGAACACATCACTGCTCCAACATAAGGCAGCCTTCCTATTTATCTGACAAATATTTCCCCCTGAAATATTACCGAGGCCCCTTGGGTAGTGCATGAACTTGGAGCAGTTTGTCCTATATGAATAAACACAGGCTGCAAAACAGAAGGCTTTTGGTAGCTATCTACAGTAACATCAGCAATGGTCTTCATGGCTCCAGAGGGGAGAGGTTGTAGACGTAAGAATGCCACCAACCCACGGTCAGAGCCAGTCTGGGGACAGTGGGCCCTGCCTCTGAAGCAGTCTGGTGCAGTGGACAGGGCTCTAGGATCTGATATGCCTCTGCCTAGACCCTCACTGTCCCACAGTATTAGCTGTGTGATCATGAGCAAAGGGACAACCTCTCTGCACCCGCGTTTACTCATCTCTAGAATGGGTCTAGTACAGAATAGGGTAAGTGCGATACTTTTATCCAGGCACAGCTGTGTGCATTCCTCCTTCAACCCTCTTACAGCTCTCCCAACCTTCACTAGGCCCTAGACCAGGATCATAGGCTGCACACAGCCCTGCACAGCTAGTAAAGGAGCCCCACAAAATGTAATTTTTATTATTGTGTGATTTTAGTGATAGTTTTCACGACTTGATTGTGCAGAGCTTGAATGTAGACGGTGTAGGTGACAAAGGATCACTGTGTGAGGGAGACTGCGATGCAGTGCTACCTCCACCTCTCATACCCGCCACACAGTCAGTTGAATTGAAGCTCGCGTGCAGCTGAAGCATCATTAAGCTACTTTTCTTCAATTGCGTCAAACCCTGACCATGCACACAATTTAGAATCACTTGTTTCTTGTCAAAAGCAGAAGTCCCCAAATCTCTGAAGAACGGCAAGAAAAGGTGCCTGGGCACAGAAGGGAAGGAGTAGATGGAAAGGAAGAAAAGAGAAGGAAGGGGGAGACAGGCTGGCTCACCACCATTACTGAGCCCTACTCTGCTTCAAGGCCACACAGGCCCCAGGATGTACAGATGAGCAAGACGTGGTGATGTGTCCTCCATGAGAGGTGTCCGGTGGGGATGAGGCAGGAGACAGAGAGGGAGTTGGGAGATCCCCCTCATGGAGTTAGAGGACTCAGACGGTAGAAACCCCACCCTAACCCAGCAGCAGACACCAGCCATGGGGATGCACTCTGACTCGGTGCAGATATTGCGGGGAGAGGACAGCTGTCCTGTTTGTCACCAAAGCCCAGAAAACTCCGGACAGGGAATCAGCTGGGACGGGAAAGGAATGGAGCGCTCAGGGGATGCTCAGAGACAGAGCAGTTATGTAACCCTACCCAGCAGATGTGGGGTCAATATGAGAACTAGAAATGTTCAGGGCAGGCTGAGGGCAGAGGAGGAAGGGCACAGTCTCCCGGGTCAGATAGTCTCGGGATGAGCCCGGCTGGCCTTGAGATCAGCTGGACAGGGCACGGGCTCCAAGGCAATGAAGCCAAGGCTCAGACCTCCAGGGTTCCCATGTAGGTTTCACAAGTTATTTGATGGGTAAACAACTGACTTAACCTGAGACTCAGTTTCCCCATTTGTAAAGAGTCATAGATGATGGTTACAGCTTTGTCCTCCTGAAAAGGTTAATGCAAAGATCCGGTCATCTGCTCAGAATGGTAAGTGCTTAGTGGAAGGCAAATTTAAATATGGTAAAGTTGTCACTAGGGTTAGAGGAGGCACGAAAGGCTCCCTCCCTTCATTCCTCTGTTGTCACATGCAGGGAATGATGTTGCCTTTGGAGATACTCTCAGGATTTGATGTGTTCATGTGTGCAATAGTTTCTCGATAATGAATGTTTCCCTCTCTCCCTCTCTCTCTCTCTCTCTCTCCCTCTTCACGGTGTTCTTGCATCTTTGGAAATGAAGAGAAGCTTTGGAACAAGCCACGGGGATTGGATGAACTACTGGGGTCCCTTACATATTAATAATACTACGTGGTTTCATGAGGCCACAGGTGTCCTCTGTAATACAAAATATGAACCCTTCCCCACAGTGGCTCAGCTGAAAGGTCTGGATCATCTTAAAGACACATGCAGTATTCTAGCTTCAAGTTGGGCCACAAAGCCACATTGCCTTTTCTTCCCCAGCCTGGGGAAACCAAACCCTGGAGATGACGGAGGCGAGACCCGTGCGAGCTCTTGCTTCCCTAAAGAGATAAAGAAACCTCAGCGCACAGCACTCACTGGACCGAGCTGCCAACTGCATGGTGTAATCACTCCCATGCAGAAACTTCTCAAAGAAAGCCTCTCGTGATGGGAAGAGTGGAGGAAGGCCAAGTTCTTCACTGGTCAGCCGGATTCCTTTGGCCACTAGGAAACTCTCCCCCAGAGGGAACCGAGAAGTGTTGGAAGCTGAAACAATCTCTTCTGTTTCCTTAATGAACTGCAGGACACGAAGCTTCACTTCTTCACAGGAACCAGGACCTATAGGATAAAAATAGGCTTCATTCATAATGTAATGCTGCCCCTGGCCCAACTGGAGAACACACACACACATGCACACACACACACACACACACACACACACACACACACACACACACCTCAGCTTCTCCCTTTGCACTGGCTCTTTCCACAACTGGGAATGTTCTTCCTACTTTGCCTCTATAATCTCCCTCACTCAACATTTGGGAGGACCTACTACATGAGTATTAGTAATAGGTAAAGTTTTCTCCGTGCCAGGCACTGTCCTAAGCACATTTACAGAATCTAATTTAACCTACACAACAGCCTAAGATACTCCTTTTCTTTTTTTGGTACCAGGGACCAAACTCTGCACCTTGCGCTTGTGAGGCAGGCGGTGGAACCACTGAGCTAAATCCCAGACCCTAAGAAGATACTCTTAGACCCACATTGAAGAAGAGAAACTGAGGCCTGGAGAAGTCATATAACCTTCCAGCTTGTAAATAATTGATTCAAAATTCCAGTCTAGATAGTTTCATTCTAGAAATGGTGATCTTGATCAGCTATTTATAATGGAAGTATGTGCAGATGATGGATGGATGGATGGATGGATGGATGGATGGAGAGATGGGTCGATGGGTGGGCAGGTGGGTAGGTGAGTGGATGGATGGATAGCCAGGCACTGAAAGTAATAGTGAGTTACTTTTGTTAAGAAGACTTGGGTCTCAGAGACTCCTGGGCGCAACTCTTTGGTCACTCTCTAGCTGTGTAGTCACAGCTGATGTGCTTAAATCCTCAGCTTCAGTGTCCTGGATATGTGTAACGGGGATGACTGGGCTTCCGTTCCAATTGTTCATGAATTTGGTAATGATCCTACGAGGGATTGCCACTGAAGAGTGTGGCACAGCTTCTGACTAGAGTCATCACCCTGCATGCACGTGTGCAGGAAGTGTGTGTTACACCAGTTGTACTAATCCAGCTATCATTTATTAAAACCAGGGTTCTCTCCTCTTGCCTGGTCCTACTCAAGCTTTTGAGTGCCTCTGATTTGGCTGATAATATTTTAGATAAAGCAGGTTCTGGTTCAGTAAGTGAAGCTTGAGATCTTGAATCTCTAGCAAGTTCCCCAGATGCTGCTGGTGCTGCTGGACCACGCTTTGAGCATCAAGGCTCTGAACCAAACCTTTTTGATAACATTCCTTCATCAACAAATGACTGTAAACATGCACTGCCCCCAAATATGGGTATTTCTTTATCTGTGAGGCATATCCACATACCAATATAAAATACCAAGTGAAGTGTTCTCACTGTTTCAGCTGTTAGCATGTAATAATTTCAAAAACAAAAATAGAAATGTGAAAGGAAGACATAAAATACTGAAAATCGATAGTTCTAATACTTTCTTCTCAATGGATTATTTTCTATGCCCTGTTGTCGACTACCCATGGTTCCCTGCTACTCGGTGAAAAGTACCCTATACTCTAACCTGGATTTCATGATCAGTCCAACATGAGACCAGGATGAACAAACCTAGTCACTAAAGTATCAGCAACGCAGGTGCCTACAATCGTGCACCAAGAGAACTAAGTCCAGCCTGATAGTATCTAAAATTAGAGAAACATCCCTGAGTAGGAGACCTGATCTTTGGTGTGGAGAATGTTTCTACAGCCCTCACACAAATAAATAAGACTTCTTCTACAACAGTCACGCCAACATTAATGCTTGGATTTTGAAGGTCTTATTCTAGGTCTTCATCTCTCAATGGCTAATCCTTGTAGTGCTGTCTCCTGGCTTTCGAAAGGCTGGGGTAGTACTACTCTCATCACGTGGTTCTCTCACCCAACATTCTAAGAATCCAGTTTCTGCTGAAGCCTGAACATTGGCTAACGTCAAATAGTATGATACATTTTAACATTATTACAAAAGCTTCTGACAATATACAATATTGCAGTTGATGGATTGAGAGATTTCACCAAAAATGAACAGCTACAATATTACCTATATTTTTAACAACCGCAGGTGAGAGAGATTCTGATTTAATAATAGTGTACTGAATCTATCTGGTTCTTCTTCAAACTGCTGCCATAGTTATTTGAAAATACAGCATTTTAATATAAGACACAGAGTCACCTTTATTTGATGTATACTTTATGCACCACAGCTTTCCTACAAGGTGAACACACAGACCTTCATTTGTGCCTCTCCAATTAGTCTTAATTAAATCTCTCCAAGTCAATTAGAGACACTTTAGGTGACCCTTTCCAGAGGCCCTGAGCACCTGGTAGTAGCATGCGGAAGTAGCAGGACCACCATGGGACTGGCTGATTACTTAAATGGCGCATGTAACTCTCATGACACGACTAACACATCTACCATGGGAGCCCCAGGGCTAGATCATGATCACTTTCATAGCTTTCATTGGCTCTGAGATAATGCTCAGCACCCAGAAGACATGGGTGAAAATCTAAGGTGTCAGTTTGAATGACCAATAGAAATGGATGATATCACCCCTTGTTATGCCTGACCATACAGACGTGGGGAAGTCACCAGACTCTGAGTCCTGACCCTAGCAACCACACACTGAAAAATTTACTTGGCCCTCCAGCCCCTCTGACACTGACGCTCCCCCACCAGACAGCCTTTTCCAAGAACACAGATTCGGTTCTTCACGTAAGTGAACTCACATGTGGGGACCTGGTTTGGTTTGGCCCGAGTGCCTTCCAGCTCCTGGCCAGCCTCATCCACACACCAGCAGCTCCGGAGGTCCAAGTGTGCCAGTGGCCTGCTGAAGTCTGAGTAGGGGCCCGGGTACCTGCTGAGCTGGCCATTTAGGATCTGCCAAAAGAAGTAAGGGTCCAGGAAGACGTTCTCTGCAGGCTGCGTCAGGTTCCCTTCCAGCACTGCCGGTGGAACATCTTGGAGGGAAGGGAATTGTTCCAGGACTGGGAAGATGCCTTGTTGGCCAGCCTCATAGAGGCTTTGAACAAAGAGGCGGAAGTTTCTGGAAGCTGCTCCTCTATAGCTCATGATGGTCATTAGCAGCCTGGCAGCGCTCAGCTCCTGGGCATCAGGGTTCTGAGCCCTCCATCGATCGTACCACTCTAAGACTGGCTCTGGGGGCCCATCACACTGCACACGCTGCCACTGCCCATTGGCAGTGCACTGTGGGACATAGATGCTGGAGAGCGCAGGTGGCATGCTCCAGTTAGAGAGCAGGGCCCGTAGTGTGGCTAGGAAGGCTTGCTCGGCCTGTAACTGACAGAAGCTGGGACCTGAGAAGGAATAATAAACAGATATTTTAGTTGACAATTTTTAATAAGCCAGAAAGACAGAGATAGAATCATTTAAGTGTCTAAATTCTATCTATAACCTTATATAGCTGAAGAAATCTTGACAGCCCTAAATTTATAGATGACATAGGCAAAGGGCGCCATAACCATCAGCACTGTTGAGACAGCTACTGACCAGCACTATGGAAATATATATTGCAGTTCTTAAGGCTGAAGCAATCTTCCTGCTTGCTTCTTACAATGTTTAACATCATCCAAGCCTTCCCGGATGAGTCCTCATTTAAGCAGCTAATTTGGTCATTAACTGAATTTTGCGCTTTAGCCAGGAGTGAATTCAGTTTTCTACGGTGGGTTGGGCTGGGGACTAAAGAGTGACCCACTGAGCCTGCAGATCAAATGCCCAACAGACTTACATTGCTTGGGTTCTCCAAGAGTACTCTGAGTGCCAGGAATAGCCCGACCCTCGGTGTCAACACAGTAGCACTCTGAGTTGAAGCACTGGACAGGCAGGAAATGCCCCTCACTGGTACAAGAAGGGACAGACACGCTGGCCCCTGCAGGCTGGCTGCGCACGAGGCTTTGCCTGCGAGCCCTTTGCTGCTCGCACTCTGTGGGGCACCTCGGCTGTCCACCTCTGACTCTCGAGTCAGGGATTTCTTTGCCCCAGGAGTCTACACACCAGCACTCTCCAGCAAAGCACTGGACATTCTCATAACTTCCTTCCATAGTGCATGAGGGGACAAAAAGCCTTCCGGGTGTCTGCTCACAGGCCTGGGAGCTGAGCGCCATTTCCATCACATCACCCAAATCCCTTGCCACATCTTCGGGCACAGAAATAGCATGCTGCAAGAAGAGAAGGAATTCTGGAAGCTCCAGAAGAGAGGCAATGAACTTTAAGGCGTTTTGGTTCTCTTGCAAATTGATTTTAAATCCAAAGCTGCCCACAATTGGCTTATTCGCAGCACTGAGGGGTTCTGTGGCAGAATTTGAATCCAGTCCCACAGAAAGTACTTTGTCTAGCTCTACTGATCCCCTTCCATTTTGGAAGCCTGGGAGACCAAGTTGCTGGAAAAACTGACTGAAGTTAAATGTGCCTCTTGTGCCAAGGGCTCCAGACAAGTTAAACTGGCCAAGGTTCACCAAAAATGTCCCTCCAAACAGGTTTTGCTGGAGTCGCTTTGGGTTGGTGGTAAACTGAAGGGCGAGACGGGCCAGCTCTCGGGAGGGAAAAATAGCTCTGATAGCTTCTCCAAGCAGACTCTCTACTGCAGAAAACGGTGGCTCCTTTTCTTCCACCATTAGGTGAAGAAGCCCCGAGTCAACAAAGAGCTGCTTGATCTTGGGTGAGCAGGATGTGGCCGGCCTCTCTCCTCCCTGAGAAGCCCGTCTTTCCTCAGGGGCAGAGAACAGGTCGCGCTGGCTGAAGTAGCCAGAGGTCCCGAAGTACAGCCTGGACAAGGCCCGCTGCCTTTCTGAGGAACAAGACTGGTCTCCAGCTGCATGGGCAAAAATGAAAGGGGAAATATGGTTTAACCTCACCAGCAAGCTCAAGATGGCCCCTTGGATCCTTCTAGTACTCAGATCCCAAAATGTCCATCAAGGACACCTACATTTTGGACCACTTTCTTCTCGGTAGCCTTTTACTATGTTTCCTTTACCTCTGAGCCATGTCTAAGGGCCATTTGGAGAAAATGACTATTCCAATCCACACGACCCCTCCCCCAGCTTTCACTAGGGCATGATGCTCTTCTATAGCAAGCCTCATAGTCACTGGCCCACTTTCTGGAAGGCTGACCCCATTTGCCAACTGAAATGGGTTGAACAATGTTCTTCCACAAATCCATGTCTACCTAGGCCCTCAGAATGAGACCATATTTAGAAACAGATTCTTAGCAGATAGAATCAGTTAAGATGATGTCATCCTTGATTAGGGTGAGCTGTAGACACAGTGACTAGTGTCCTTATAAAAGGTCATGTGAAGATATGGAGGTGCATGAGGAAGAAATCCAGGTGAAGATTGAGACACAGATCAAAGGGATGCAGCCACAAGCCAAGGAATGCCAGAATTTTCCAGCAACCATGTTTAGAGGCATCATAGCCCAGTCAACACCTTGATTTCAGACATCTTGCCTCTAGGACTATGAAGGAACAGATTTCTGTTAAGCCCCCCAGTTTGTGGTGATGTCTTATGGCAGCCCTAGGAAGCTAGAACATGAACAAATTTACTGAAATGTTGCTTTCCAGTGTTCTCTTGTTGGAATTCTTGATGGACTTTAATGCTTCACCACATGGTAATCTCTTAGGTAGTCTTCTCTAGGCTAACTAGTTTATAATCTCTTTGAGAACAAAACTCAGACCTTAAATATTATTAGTGTTTCTTATAATAAATATTTTCCTATATTATAACAATATTTAAAATACAGCATAGGAGAAGCTGGGCATGGTGGCACATGCCTATGAGTCTAGCACTTAGAAGACAGAGGCAGGAGGATCACTGCAAGTTTGAGGCCAGCCTGTGCTAAATAGTGAGTTTGCAGCCAGCCTAAAAACAGAAAGAAAAAAAAAAGAAATAAAATACATAGCACAGGAAATACAATATTTCCTATAATATAATACAATAATATCCACCCTGCAAAACACAAGCACATGCCTCTGGGTTCCTTGGTCTTCCCTTGAAATGTCTAGCTCGGGGTGACTGACTCAGCCACCTCCATGCAGGCTCAGGCCATTCTACCTAATATCCAGGTTGGCTGGAATCCCACTAAGCAAATGCATACAAGATTCACATGCCAGTGGCTGTCACAGTCACACAGGTAAAAGTAAGTACATTCCACTTTTCCATAAAATCATAAGACTTAGGGTACATTTTAAACCATGTATCCCACCCTCAACTTTTTAAAATAATTATTTCTTCTTGATTCACACAGGTGCCAAAAAAAAGTTAGCCGGATTTCCCTCTGTAACCAGGCAACAGAGAAAGAATTGGAACACGTGGTGAGAGGGAAAGGCTGGCAGCATGAGAACCCGTAACACATCCCTCAGCATGGCCCTGGCTTCCTTAGTGGATCTTAAAGGGAGGAATGGAAGAAAGAGTCACTGCTTTGCTTCTTCATCTGTCAATGAAAACCTGAACCTACCCCCTCCATACATTTGTTATGGAGTGCTACCAGGGCAAAAAAAATCCAGATGTTGTTTCCATGGGCCATTTATTTCTACAGCAATAAGACTGACATACCAAAGAAAAAAAGTAAAAATATATAATCCATCCATGCATTTGAGAGAGATATTATTTTTAATTTTGAAAGCCAGAGTTCATTTCCATCTGAGAGTTGGAAGGCAATCTTCCCTAAGCTTCGATAGAGTGAAATGTGATTGCGAATACATTCAGGGAAGGCCACCTGGATTTCCTTTTTTGACATCCTCCCAGCAGATAGAATACTACTACCAGACACCAGGCAGCAAGTCTAAAGGGTTAAGTTGGAGGAATGGGTGAGTTAGCAAGAAGGTACTGGGCGAATTCTAATAGATGCCTGTTCTGAAGCTATGCAAAGACCTGTGCTCCTCTTGTGCCATCTCAGACCACCCTAAAGCCACCTCGTTCCCTGTGGTGGAAGTCTGCGAGCACTCCTGGATCTCTCCCTCTCCCTCATTGCTAAGATTCTTCACATTCTCACTGGTACGACGAAATGGGGTCTCACTGGGATGCCTAGCAATAGTTGTTCTCAAGTTCATAGCCTTCCCTCCTTCTACATTAATATTGGTCACCGCACTGGGTTGAACAGTGTTCCTCCAAAATTCCTGGCCTTCCCAGGACCACAGAATGTGACTCTACTTGGCCCAGGGCTGCACAAACGTAACTGGGGAAGAAGAAGCCGTTCTGGGCTGGGGGCCCTTCGTCTAACGTGACTGATGCTTGCTTCTGAAGAGGGGAAGAGGCAGGCACAGGGGGAAGACAGCTGTGTACAATGGAGGCCACGCTTGGAATTATGTTACCACACCCAAAGCCTACACCAAGGATTGCTGGCATCCCCTACGAGCTACGAAGAGCCAAGATAGGCTTTTCTCATGGAGACTGCAGACAGAGCACAGCCCTCTCACTCCTTGAATTTGGACTCCAGATGTATGAGACAATGACTTTTGGTTGTTTTAAGCCACCCAATTTGTGATGACTTCTTAAAACAGCCCTCGGAAACTAAAGAAGCCCCCATCATTGCTCTTCAGGATGTCACAGTGACCTTCCAGTTGGCTCCACTGCCTCAGATCCACGCTCCCTTCAGTCTCTCCTCTAAGCTCTCTGGGTTATCTGTCTCACACGCAAAGCCCCAGCTGGCATCTGCAGCTTGAAAGCTCTCCACATCTTTGCCTGACTTCCACCTCCTTCCTGGAAGCATTTGCACTTAGACACTCTGACGGAGTTCAACTTTTCCCCAAAGCCTTCCTAGGTGCCTTCTCCCTCCTCTCAAGGCTCTGAGGTGGAACAGGCAACTTCCCCTTTTCATTCTTAGGCTGCCTGGTCATGCTTCTTCCAGCCCATGTACGAACCCAATTCTCTTTGCTTTTATTTCACCTCAGAGCCCCTCCATATCCCCTGAGCTCTCTGAGGAAGCAGCTATGGCTGACATGAGATGAGAAGCATGTTGAGAATTACTAACAACAAACTGATTTTCAGTTGTGGTGCAGTGAATGGCTGTTGAATTACTGGGCTCCAGAGAGGCTGGTCTGGAGAAACAACAAAGTATATGATGGAGATAAGAAGAGGATGCCCTGCAAGGAGAAACGCACCACAAGCAGGTGGCTCCCCCTCCTGCTGCTGAGTTCCAGGGGTTTCCCTTCCCTGGGCGTCCACACACCAGCATGGCCCTTGTGTCTGGCACTGCGTGGCCTGGTAGTCCCCATTTCGGTGGCAGCTTGGAATGTAGGGGTGACCAAAGGTGGTTGCTGCAAACTGCTCCACTTCACACTTGGTGGGGCCTGAAAGAGATCCACAGAGGAGGAGGGGCACTGTGAAAGCCAGTCAGCCACACCTCGTGTGTTCACTGCATGCACTGCTGCCTGCTGTCAGCGTTAGAAACCCCTGCACTTACTTTGGTAGAACAGCCATGCAGACCGCAGTGAGCTTAAACCCTAAGCCGCTTCCCCCAGCAGAAACACACACATCCATTGGCAGCTGGTCACTTACATCGGAACCTTCCAGAGATGACTAACTGCACTGCTAGAAACCGTCTCTGCAGTATCCGGTACAGAGTAGATTCAGTGAAAGTAGAAGCCAGGTCCAGGCCGGCAAAAATGGTGTCGTAAATTTCATCCAGTAACAGCTCCAGACCTGAGCAAAGGCAGCCAGTGTTTCAGGGATGGGCTCATTTGGGAAGAAACCCCTGACTCTACTGTGCTGACGAATATCAAGAGGGACAGAACTTTCACCAGCACAATTAGGCATCGGGTCTGAACAGCACTTTAATAATTTCAAAAGTCACAGCTGCTGTGTCTAGTTGTACTGAGTGTTCACTGCACAAAGAGGCACTTCCTAGAAAATGAGAGATTGAAATCCACTCCCCTGTGTTCCACTCACAAAGCTCAGAGCTGCATCTGTCCAAAGCCGGTGCCCCTCTCAACATGCATGAAGGCACAGGATAGGCCAGCAGCAGCTGCATTCGGGCCCCGCAGAGGGAAGCTCGCTGGGGCCACACCCTCTTTCATGTTCACAGCAGCCCACCAAGGGAGCTGTGGTCACTGCCATTTCTGATCCCCTGGCAAGGAGGTTTAAGCCCTGGAGCCTGGAGATCGCACTCCCTCCATTCCAGTTCCTAGAGATGGGGTGCTCACCTGTCTCAGCCAGTTCCCGCCCTTGGCTGTCAGCACAGTAGCAGTACCCAGACAACTCAGGAAACCTGCCCTGGAAGGAACTGAAGGTCACAAATGCATCTGGAAACCTGAGAGACAATGAGATTTCTGGTCACCATCACATAAAAGCAAGTCATCACCAGTTCTTCTTGTCAAAATAAATGTCACCAGGTCGTCAGCTATGGGACAGGAGTGTTCACTTTTGGCTCACATGCCATATGCCCCATGAGTCCTGCAGTAAGTGCATTTCTTCCCTAAACTGTTCCACCAAGCCAGAGCAAGCCTGAACCTTGTAAAATATAGTTATCATCTACCAATTAGCTGTTTCCCTCACTTATGGAGTCTGGCCAGTTTATGTCCATGTATGCGTCTTTCAGGGCCAAGCAAAAAACATGCAGTGAACACCACATTAACTGGATATTTTGTGAAAATATAACTTTAGAGGAAAAAAGTGGGGTTTGCTTTATAAACGTTACACACAGTACATGATCTCATTTTGCGAGATCAAATGATTCCAGAGCTCTTTACCACTTTGTAAGAGCTTGAAAAGCAGTCAGATTTCTCCATCGGAGGTCTGCAAAAAGAAAAATTTCCAGCTCCATAGTTGCAAAAACACAAAATCAGTATGACATCATTAACAAGGGCACCGAGGCTTTGTGTAAGTTGAGGAAAGGTCACCCTTAGTCATGCCTAATCTGACCGTTGGTACAAGGAGGTCATGGGCTACATAAGTCCCGTTCTGGAAGTAGTAGGAAGCTGAGGTTGGGAGAGCCATATGGGGTTCTCCCCAGATGCAAGGATTTAGCCATCATAGAGGAATTTTCATATTTATACAACACTGAGGGATTTTTTAAGCCCTTTATAATTAGCACTTGAGACCCAAGTATGTCTGGAAATCTATCTCCAAATAATACATTAACAGATCAGTATCCTTCTGCACAAACAGTGATCTTCTGTAATCTCTTCTAGCAGAATATAGAAAGCACCTTCACGTCCAATCATTATAATTAAAATTAAGAAGTGAATTATGGTAAATCTCCTAAATGAAATAAATTACTAGTTAAGGATGATACTTGCAAAATACAGCCACAAAGGAGCATGTATAGCTTTGTGTAGAAAGGCTAATGCCTAAAATACTCTGTATGCCTGCGGCCATGACTGTAAATGCATCAGTACTGGGAGGAAATACGTAGGGTAGCAGCCACCCAGATTCTGAACACAGGGTGCAACAAGTATTAGTTAATTTGAATGGGAATAAGTATGTAAGACAAAAGTTATAAAAATTATAGGATTATGGATTTCTTCCATATTGTTGGTCTACTATTATATATATGTGGGTTATATTAAAAGAGTGTTATAGAAAATGTATTACATAATAGAAACAAAACATTCATTTTGCCTAGTTGCCTCTGATAGGGAGTATATAATAAAAAGTCCAATCATTGGGAACTGGGATAACTCAGTTTTAAAATTGCTAAAAATAGTATAATTATTGCTTCTGTTTAATGAGTAGTATTTTACAAGAGTCAACCCACAAAATGTCTAATATACATTGACTCATTTAATCCACCTATGGCCCTACAAGGAAGGTGGCATTAATTCTCATCTCATTTTAGAGTTGAAGAAGCTGAGGTATGTGGAACGTCTCCTTGACGTCATGCTGGGAACGGGAGCTCACGATCTGCCCTTTCCCACCACACAATACCTCACTCTGCCATAGCTGTTATCCAGTGTGTGCAGCTATGCCTGGTCCCTGATTTGTATCTTGTGAGGCATGTTCCTGTGTTCTGACACTCTTTTCCCTATGCCCAGCGCCTTGCTTCTCCTGGCATTCAGCAGACACTGAAGACAGACTTGCTGGAGATTCGCACTGTTCACCACCACCTAGCTGCCTAAGTGGATTGTGACATCTATTCTGGCACAAAGCACAGCAAGTTTGAATCTCTCCTTCCATGCACATTCCCCAGCTGCAACCCAAAGGCCCACCTCGGCCTCTAGGCTCAGGGAAGTCACAACCTCCTGCTACTTTTCCTCCGCTATTTTATGATCAAAGTCCCTCTCTCAGGGTTTCTGGTTCCTGGTCTTATAAATTACCCAATGCCTGAACCTACCAGTGCTCTGGGTATGGACAGTACTCTTGAGCTCCCCTCTTTATGCATGCTGGAAGTCACCCTGGCTTCAGCTGGAGCCAAGGTCCTTCCACTTGCCAGGAAGATTGCCCTAAGGCCAGTCCCTGCTACTTAGACTCTCTAGGGTTGCCCCTTCATTGCCTCTGTGGAAGATCTTCTATGCTGCCATATTCAGCCCCTTCTTTCCAATTTTGTATGTGGTGAGAACAACTAAGTATCCAGAGCCAAGAATATCAGAATTTCTTCCCTGGGCTAGCCACATGTGATTGATATTAACTACTACTCAAAAATAGAAATAGTGATATGTATTCAACAATAAGACATTATGCCAAGTGCTCTCCATCATTTATCTTATTTAATTCTCACAACAATCCTTTTAAAATGAGAAATCTGAGATTCAGAGTGGTCATGTGGTAAGTCAAGCTCACCCAGCCAAGACCAGAGAACAGGAGTCTCCTGTCTTTATCCAGTGCTCTTTCAACACAGAATGCGGCCAGATAGTGAGGGAGTGGCCACTTAAACAGGGTACAGTTCTCCACCAGCCTGCCCTGCAACCAGCAGTGAACTCAAGCTCTGAATCATCCCACGTCCCTGGGTGTCAACAATTGGATTTAATACAACCTGATTTTTGTAGGTAAGTTCTGAAATGATATCACTACCTATGAGTTTGGACTCCTCTCGCAACATAATAATTTGCATTGTTAAGATTATTTAGTTATTGCTTCTGCTATTCCTTGGCCATTTATTGTCATTGTTACCAGGGCAGGAGGGTTTGTGTCATGACTCCAATCGTCTTACTATGTCGCCTACCCACACAACTCAAGGAGAGCTGGACTTGTGAAATTGAACCGAGAGACCTGACGCGAGCAGGACAGCGAGGCTCTATCCTGTCTGCGGGGCAGAGTGTGGGTGGACAAAGACTCTGTCCATAGCCTCACATGGAACACAGCACTGTCATCTTTATGAACATCTGAGGACCAAGGTTCTCCTGTCCTCAGTAGAAGGAAAAAATTGTACTCTCCTGAGAGACTGAATCATTTTCATCTAGCAGAAGCTGAATAATTTAACACGGTTTCACTTTAACACCTTCTCATCGTTTCTCTGGGTTTTGGATCGTGGCGATAAATACTGTGAAAAGTTTCTCACACTGGTAATAACATTAGAAAATGATTGGTGTGGGCCAATCTTTGCCTTGACTTACATCTGCCCTTACTTTGCCTTCCTCATGATTTCCCAAAGTTCCTACTTTTATCACGTTCTGTGCATACTGGAAAAATGAAGGAACTTCAAATCAACAGAATATTTGAAAATAAAAATACTAGGTATTTTGTCTAGTGGAAAAGGTTGTTTGCTTTTGTTTAAAAAAAAAAGAAAAGCATTCGTGTTGATATTATAGGGAAAGGGATTTAAAAAGAAAGAGACATGCTATACTATATACCTGCAACCACTCCCCCAAGACGATTGTAAACTACATGAACTACAAACAGGTACAAGTACAGTGGTTTCACCGCCTGCTGCATAAGCGCAAGGACCCGAGTTCGATCCCCGGTACCAAAAAAAAACAAACAACAACAAAAACCCCCCCAAAAAACCAGGTAAAAATAAAACTTTAAATTTTTTTAAAAAGAAAATCAGGTTTTCAAAATGGTCATAAAAGAGTCCTAAAGAAAGAAAGTCCCAGGGATGGAGAAACTAATGTATTTCTAAGTATATGTTCAGATTGTGGCTAAGCTAGACTTACAGAAATTACAAATAAAGCGTAGTGGAATCTGAAATGCTAGTCCCCACCAGGGGTGGGTGCTGTCACTTGCAAAGTGGGATTCATATCCCTGGGCTCCACTAGTGACTCATACTCAGACAGATTGTCTAACTCCTCCAACCAGCAGCCCCTCCAGAAACCCAACCCTTAGTTCATGAATGAGCAGTGCATTTGACTCTCTCTTGCACTACAGCAGGCAATTCCTCAAGGGAGAAGACGTAGTCTAGCATCGTGCCTGAGGCATAACCACCACTACAGAAATCTTGGGTGGATGGGATCCAGTGATGCATCAACAAGGGTTTTCCATATGGTCTCTTCTATATTTCAACTAGGGTGATCCTTCATCATATGTCAAGATGCACTGACCCATTTCACTGGACAATCAGAGCAGCGCACATTACTGAGGGATTGGAGTAGAAGGCTCATTGCTAAGAAGCGTGAGTAGCTATGTCACTAAAGGCAAGGGTTGATAAAGAAGCCAATTTACTGAATTTTAACTCAGATCACTAAAGCCTTGATAATGGCATCAGCCTTGCTTGAAGGCTCTGAAGATCTTCACCTGTGATATGGTTGGCAGGATGTATCTCCATAGTTAATGTTTGGACTAGGGCAATAGGAAAGGTGAGGGCTGAAGATTAATCTCCATCACGTGTGTTTTAAAAGCCACCAGCCAAACAGATGGAGTAGGAGCGATCTTAAAGAGGCAAAGAGATATACTTCAAATGGCAAACCCTATGGCAAGTTCAAGTGTAACTCATTGCCCAGCACATTAAGAACTCAGAATGGGCTAGCAAGTGAGCCACCCATAGGTGTCAAGTTTCCTGGGACCCCATGGAACTAAGTTAACTGCTTTGTGTTATTTCCCAATTTATTTTACCAAGGAAATACCCTCAGAGGCGATATTCTGAAGTAAATTTTGCCTAAAACTTAAAACTATGTTCAGGCACAAGTAAATTTTGTGCCTTTTCCTTTTCGAATTCATCCTCAGCTCTGCACCTGGAAACCACATTGAGGAGTCTTCTTCAATTCTTCCCCTCCCTCACCTCCACATCTGTTCCTTCACCACGTTCTTCAGTTTCCACCTGGTAGACATTTCTCAAGTCCCACCCACCTCTCCCTACTATCTGCTCTGGTCTGAGGCGACGTTATCTCCCCCACCCCAAGCAAGGGCAGGAGCCCCCAAACTCAGCCACTTCTCTTCACCCACTCTGCTCTTCCCCACCCCATCCACTATTTCCGAAATCTAAGCTCAGCGGTGGTTTTGTTCTCCCCTGCCCCTACTCCAGCCTCAAAATATTTGATGATATGTTGAGGACCGGCACCAAAACAGTTACCCTTTGCTTATCTGAAATTTGGCTGCAACTGGCAGTGCTGTATTTTTTCTGGCAACCCCGGGTGCTAAACCTAAACTTGCCCTGTGGCTTCCATGGCTCCTGTCGCTTTGCCCAGAGGAGTCACAGGGACTGGGACTGGGACTGGCCAGGTCAACATAACTATTCAAAAATCTCCTGACTACTGCCAGGCTTGCAGTCAACCACCCAACCCTTCCCATGACCTTCCTAAACTAGAATTTATTTTTAAATATGCTTACTTACAGAAAAGGATCCCATTTCTGAAGCGAATTTCTCATGTGTGTTGAACAATGGATGCTTCCTTCATTCCTAGCTTTTGTGCTGAACTAGACTGCCCTCTTGTGGAGGTAGCTATGAGCTTTGCTTCAACCTCATCGCAGCTCCTGCCAAGTTCTCACTGCATCTGCCTATTCATTAAGCACTGATTGTGGACTTACTGTGCACAGACCTCTGTGCTACACACTGTGGGTAATATAGAAAAGGCATAATAGTGCAGGACAATAAAAGGAGCCAGACATCTTGAGAACCCATTAACTGCTTCCTAGGCTGAGTTCCTTAACTGCTGAGTTTCAGATTCCTCATGTGTACTAGAGACTGTAACTATGAGTGTCTTTGGGGTATTAAAGTAAGTAGAAGTCTATAACAATCCCTGGATACAGTAAACATTTGGCCGAACTTGATCTGAGAATACATTGGTTTGGATTGATTGATATTCAATAAATGAGGCTGCTTGAGAATTTTACATGCTCACAGGTGGACCATTGTCTAGTTGCCTGGGGTAAACATTTCACCTAAATTTGCCGATGCATGAGAATTCCCTAAAATAAATAATAACTCATAATGCTTAACGTTCTAACAGTTTCGTAAATGAAGTCTCATCGGCTCTCCAGTGACCTAAAGAGCGGTCATTGCCCCCACCCACTTCACACCTAGGCTCTGAGAGGAAGGCGACCAGGTCCCTGTGCTAGGCAGGGACAGAGGCAGGATGCAGGTCACAGAGGCCAGGGCCATAGTGCCAGCCCAACAGCAATGCAAGTGGGTGGAGTTGGTAGGACCATGGCCACAGAGCTCCAGGGGCCTGGGCCACAGAGTGTGAGCCTTCATCTAAAATGACAGCTTATGCCTGACTGCCCAATGCCATGGGGAAATGTGGCTTCCCACCCTTATTCTTTAGAACCAGGAATTCATAAGTTTGAGTTTTAAGTAGAACATATGAAATTGCTAATGCTCATCTAATGTTTTTTACCTGCAAAAATGGAAACTGCATAGTATATAACCTAATAAAAGTTCCCAGTTTTTAAGATATTCTGCGTTTTACACAAAGCCACCTGGAGACAGTTCCTGCACATAGGCTGCTGCTCTGTGACTCCCCCTGGCACAGCCCTTGATAACCTCCTCTGTCACACAGGGCGAGAGATGGGTTGCTTTGGAGCCAGAGGCTCAGCTTCTCCTGCAAGATGCTCATCAGCACTCACAGACCTGCCTTCCTGCTTCTTTGGGCTCAGAATGGTTCGATTTTACCTGAGATCTGTGTGAGCCCTTTACAATAGCCAGGTAGCCATCTTGAGTAGCCAGAAGCTACCTGGCTCTTTGGGTCAAGATTTACAATGCATCTCTCTTTCTCTATTTGTTATCTGAGTCCATAAAGTTATTTATCAATGCATATATATAATTTATGGAAGCTCATAACATGATTATTCTTGTGCTGTTTTCCTTCTCTGCTGACACCCACCCTCCATAGCAGCCCTAACCCACAAAGTAGCTGTTGGTGACCACATATGTTCTTTGTGTCCCTCTTCTTTGCCCCAACAGCCTAGGATAGTCACAGAACCAATATAACCCATATAAAGACCTTTCTTTCTTAAAAATTCAATCATATACCACAAGACCTTATATCTTGTATCATGATGTTATAACATACTCTGGAATCCTCTACAATTCAGCTCTTCAAGCTCTAATGCATTCCTTTGAAAGGCTGCACACAAATATAGTGTCTACACATTTATTCAGTCCTCCACCATGTTTTTTTTTTCAGACGGTCTCACTATGTAGTCAGGCTGGGCTTGAACTCACTGTGTAGCCTAGGCTGGCCTCCGCCTCTCAAGTGCTGGGATACCAGCAAGCCCCAAGCCCCACCACTTCTGATAGGCACCTTTCCTCCAGTGTTCTGCTACAATGAAAAGCAATGCAGTAGGCACCCTAATACATGTCTTCAAATTCCAGTGTTTTCATTTGCATGGCTGGGCCACAGAGTACATACATTTTTTATTTTAATAGCTGTTACAGTTTGGAGCTAAAACACCCTTCAGAGGCTCATGTGTGCAGAGGTAGGGCTTTCAGAAAGCGATTGGGTTATGAAAGTTATAATTACCCTCTTGATGAAATTATTTTTATGGCATTATTGAAAGTGATGGAAATAGGAGGTGGGGCTTATTTTAAGGAAGTAGACCATGGGGTGTGACCTGGGGACTATATCTTGTCCCTGACCCCTTCTCTGACTCTTTCCCTTTTATTCTGCTTCCTGCCTGCCATGAGATAAGCAGCTGTTCTCCACCACACCCTTCTGCTGTGATCTTCTACTTTCCACAGGCCTAGAAGCAAGAGAGCCAAGTGGCTATGGACTGAGACCTCTGAAACTGTGAACCAGAGTAAATGTTTCCTCCTTTAGGCTGGTTTTTCTCAGGTATTTGGTCAGATCAACAAAAAGTTAGCTAACATAGGAAAGAGCGACTGTGCCTTGCTTTGTCGGAAATGTGGAGACACTGCACCTGGCCAGGAGCAGCACCTAGTAATTCCTCCCTGTGATGCACCAGCCTCAGGCTGTGCCCCTTACCTGTTGTAGCTGTGGATCAGATCGAAGATCATCATGTCTGTGGTGTTGATAAACTTGCACTGGACGGGCATAAAGTCCCCCTCTGGAGAACACTGGGGGGGGGACTTGTCTCCCACCCCATGGAGCAGACGACGGTTTCTAATCTCACAGCTCCTCGGACCTAAACATTTTCACGAAACAATGTTAAGTTCTTGCAGATGGGGAGATGTGTGTGTTTCTGTGTCAAGATGCGTTTACTTAGGCTGCACTGATGCATGTAGACACAACAGTGATAGAGCTACCACAGGAGAAACTCAGCTCGCTGAAATCCTGCTTGTACTTCTCATGGTGACCCAGCGAGAGGAGCGTCTAGCCCGAGAGATGATCAGCTAATACAACCTGCCTTCACAGCACTTCAGCCACTCTGAGGCCAAGCCCTCCACCCGTGGGGCCAGCACACCCAGGGCACCTGGTCTACCCAGAGGAAAGCTGTGCTGGTGCCCCACGAGACTTACACCGTGCTGGTCTCCCCAGCTGGCGGGTACCGTACACCTCCATCCCCTCCGGGTCCACACACCAGCACTGTGCCTGCCACAGGTCACACTGCACAGATGCGTAGTCCCCTGAGGCCCGACACTGAGGGAGGAAGGACCTGGCTGTGCTGTTAAGGTGGCCACTCAACAGGATCCGCTGTCTGTGCAGCTGGCAGAAGGACAGGCCTGAGGGTGCAAAGCATAGCATCAGTGGAGTGCCACAAAACCCAGCATTCAAGAGGCTCTCACACCCTGGGGAGTGAGAGCAGATATTACTATGTCATGGCATCAAGCACACCCCCCGTCACCCTGGCTCTGCAGCTGGGACACTCAGGCCAGCCATAACAGAGCTTGTCTGAATATGGATTCTGCACACGCTTGCCGTGTGACCTTGAAAAGCTGCTTCACTACTCCATGCTTCCCTCTCCTCGTCTATACAGCTGGAAGCCACCTGCCCTGCTCAGGTGCGTGAGGGAGAGTGGCCCAGGTATCGCCCCACTGAATACCTCCTATGTGCCGGCTTATCTGTGTGTTTGCAGCCTCACATCACTGGGAGGCAGATTCCATATTCACGCTGCAGAGGGCACTCTCAGCTCAGCAAGGCATGTGACGCTGTCCCCTGGGGCACGTGGCTGCCCCAGAGCCAGCCGCGCCAGCCACATAAAAGCAGAGCACCAGCCGACCTGCCATTCATTAAAGAGCAGGTTTCTTTTTAGGCTCACTTTCATCATTTTAAGTAATCAACTTACATTGACCTTTGTTTTAGAGATATGCCATGCCTTAAATGGAGACTATGCTTCTTTGACTACTCACTGTATAATTATTGTAACTGTAAAGCTTTCACTCAAGCCCCAAATCCCATAGCTACCCCACACCATGGGTGAGAAAACACTCCCGGTTTTCAGGGCCACTTTCTGGCTCCTGGGCACTCTGATGCCTCCTTGCCAATACTGCCTCAGCGCCTAACCCTTGACAATCTTGGTAGCTATTTGCTGAAAAACTGACTCAAACATTTCCTTTGATTCCCACAGTGATGTTCGGGGTGTTAGCTTTGCATGGTGTGCAAGGATTCCTTATTCGGAGAGGAGGACGCAGCAGCCCCGAGGGAAGCACTGTGTGACCCCGGCCGGCCCGTGCTCCGTGCTCCTTCCAGGGTGTGACGTACCCAGCAAGGCCCCTCCTGTCCCGCCCGGCCTGGCCGCTTCACACTCACAGGCTGTCGGCCTCCCTGGCTGTCTGCTGCCTGGAACTTCCCTGCCATCAGCATCCACACACCAGCAGGAGCGGCCATCATTTAGGCACTGGATGGTCCTGAGGAGGAGGGACACAGCAGGGGACACCGGTGTGGGTTCCCTAAGCTACACACAGCCTCCAGGACATGAGGCCAGAGGGCAGCAGATGGCACAGGGGAGCACCGGGCAGGATGGAGCCCGGCTGTGGATGGCTCCCGGGGAAGTGATGGTTAAACCAAGACCTTCAGGGAGCCAAGGGGTGGGGAGGTAATGGCAACAGGCATGCAGGTAAAAAGAAGAGTGTGCAAAGCTTCCTGGAGCCAGGGAGGCCTGAGCCTGCAAGGGCCTGGAACAGGAACGTGGGAATAAAAGCCTAAACAAAGCCAGCAGAAGGGAGAAGTCCGCCTAGCACCCTCTTAGCAGAGGCTGCACTAGGAGCATTGCTTTGCACTGTCAGGAAAATACAAAGCATGGCTAGACACATAAACAATTCACAGGATGGGGGGGATCACAGTTGTTTCTGAAAGCGCAGCCACACACAGAGCTCCCTGAATGCAGCATGGCTGCACAAGCAAAGGACATTTCAATTGGACCCACTCTACAAGGACTTGCCTCGACTCTGCAAGGAAGAGTTGTTTACCTTCTCCTCCTACTCTACCTGGAGACCATCTCAGGAACCAAGCTTGTTCGAGGTAGCCATGAGACCCCTCAAAGAGAGGAGAGGACCGAGCAGCCCAGGGACAGCCCCAGGAGCTGGACGGGCTAGTCGGCAGCCGTGGACCCAAAGGGACAGTAAGCATCTGCCTCCCTCCACCCAACATTTCATGAGGAAATAGCTTGAGGGAACTGGGGAGGTGTCAAGGAGTCCCCCTTTTGTGCTTTACCGAAGAGCACAGACACTTTTTATTAAAGCGGCCCCGGGTTAGAGTGCTGTCGGGAAGACAAAGGCTGTCACGCTCCGTGGGGACGCAAGGTTTGAGCTCTCCCGGTCATGTTGACCCGTGTCCATCTAGTCTGGAAAACCAAGGAGGAGCCCTCTAAATGACAGCAGCCACTTCCCAAAGCAGGCCGAGTAGCTGGAGGGCACAGCACTCCAGGCAGGCGCTGGGGTGTTGGCAGGGAGACCTCGCTGAAGTCAGCCTTACTGGAAGCTGCCGTCTTCAGAGCACTGGGGAATATAATTCATCCGCGTCAGGAAGGCCTTTTCCCTCTGCAACTCACAGGGACGAAGCGGCTGGGCATCCACCTGGTACTCTGCGCAGAGAAGAGTTCCTGAGAGCCGGCACAGGCGGGCCCAGACAGGCTCCCCCGAAGGAGGCTGACTTCCTCAGCCGAGTCATTAAGTACCGCAGTCTGCCAGGGCGGCAGCCCTGCACTCGGGTCCAGTGGGATATTTGCTCATCTCAATCCTCTACACTCTCCTGGAAGGTGATGGGCAATATGTCCATTTACCCATGGAGCTGCAAGGCTCAGGGGGCAAAATCACTCACCCACCGTCACCAGCTGAGGAAGGAAGAGTTCCGGAACAAACGCAAGACTATGCGCTCACCCGAGCCACCGGGGGTGAGGTCAGAAAACGAGCAGAAGGACCTTCTTGAACTTAGCAAGCTACTTCCTGCAGATGCAGCCCCTTTCTCGGACACAGTGGGAATACCAAGCAATTACTGACATCACACGCCTAGTATTCCCTGGGAACCATGTAACACAAGGGCTTTTGCTCAGAAATCACCAACTGAGGCAAATGGTGTTTATCGCTTCTTAACAAAGAAGCTGCAGCTTGGCAGTTTATCCAAAGTGAGAAGGTTAGAGTGTGAGCCAAAACATAGGTCTATTTCATTCTACGGGGAAATGTTTTTCTACTGCCTGCTGGCTACTTCTCAACTACTCACAGGGACGACACAGACTGTGGAGTAGCTAAGGGGATAAAAAATCCTAATCTCAAGCAAAACAATTAACATAGGGTTGAGGGGAGCTAGAATTCAATTAGGAAGACATGGTTTCCTCTCTCCACTCTGTGAATAACTAGCTCTGTGACCTCAGGCAATTCAGATCATCTCTCTGAGCCTCTGTCACCTGAAAAAAAGAAGTGCCGAGCTGGGGATTTAGCTCAACGGCTCCACACCTACAGGCGCAAGGTCCTGAGTTCAATCCCTGGTACTGAAAAAAAAGAAGAGCAAATATCTCACCTCTGAACCTTTGTGAGGATAAATTAGATCACACATCTAATTAACCAGCCAGAGCCTGGTTGATCCTAGAACTCTATGCCCGTAGGTTCCCTTCCTCCCCTGCTCCATGGCTTAGCCTCAGAACTCACCGAAGATGTTGGCTGACACCAAACAGGCTGAGCCCAGCAGGGCAAAGGCCCACAGGACTAAGGCCATTGTCCTGGCCCCTTCTGGGATGGAGGAGGACTCTCTCCCCAGGTCCTCTGGCAAGGGAGCCTTTATAGGGCTGAGGCTGGCCCTGCTCTCCCACTTAGGGGCCCTCAACTGGGCAGTGGGTCATCCTGTTTTCTGTGCTGCTCACAAGGGGCTCCCTCCACCTGCATCTGCTCCCTCCAACGGCACTTGAGTAGCCAGCGGGGTGGGACAACTTTGTCTACACTGTGAGGAACAGAACTATGTGGAGCAGCTTCAAAATTCTTCTTTACAGGCCACGGCCAAAGATCAGTGGCTTTGGGAGTAACAAGATCGTGCCACTGTGGGGGAAAAGCTGTCCCTTCCTTCCTCCCTCACACTCCTTCTATCTGTCCTTTGCCACCAGGAGGGAGCAAGAAGGGGAGCTTCTCCTGCTCTTAAAGCCTGGGGCTCAGTGCAGCCCCTCTGGGCTTGCTGGAATCCACCCTCCGCGCCTATGCCCATGGAACCTGGGAAATGCAGCTCGGCCCAGAGCCACGGCCTCCCTGTCCACACAGCTGAGTGGAAAGGTGGATACCCTTGTGTCCCTGCTTATCAGGGCAACTGGAAGGGAATAAATGAAACTGAAAAGCTTGTTTTGTAAATTATTTGTGTGTATTGTCATATTTGGCTTTTGCTACATCCTTAAACTTCATTGTTCAATTTTTGTATTGTTAGGGGTGTCTGTATGTTTTCTTTGGGATGCCTTGAAAGCTAACTTTGAAAAATAAAACTTGGGCTTGATAATTAGAGCAGCTTGTATACGTACGCAACTTACTTTTCTACCAAAGAATTGTCAGCAGCTGGCTGCTTTTCTTTCATGTACCCTGTTGGTTTTCTTTCCTGAAAGATTTTTTAAAGCTTGAGTTAATATTGAATTTAATTAAACTTTGTGATAAAGGGTGGTTTTTTGGTTTTGTTTTTTCACGGTAGTTTTTTTTTTTTTTTGGTACCGGGGATTGAACTCTGGTCCTTATGCTTGTGAGGCAGGCGGAGGAACCACTGAGCTAAATCCCCAGCCTTGGTTTTGTTTTATAAACAAAACATATCTGTCTGCTGTGAGATAAATAAATGAAATGATCAAGAGCACTTGCTCAGAAAATGCTCAGTTTTCATTATTTTCTCATTCTGCCAAGGGTATTATGCTAAGTAATGCCAAATGACAAGTGCAGAATGACCCTGTAGGGTAAGGGGCCAGTGATTTCTGTGTGCATGGCAGGGTAGGGTGCAGTGGGTGACCTGGGGCTCACTGAAGACTTGGCCCTGAGGGCTGAGGAGGGGCAGTCACAATGTAGAGGAGCTGGGGGCCGGTGGGGGTGAGCAGGCCCTGCCCTAGGGGAACTCAAGGGGCCCAGGCCAGCTGTGTGGCCGCCAGCCCTGGGCTGGGTGCTGTGGACAGTGAATAGACCAAGTGTGGAGGTACTTCGAATGGCACTGAATGTGGAGTCAGTGTCCACTGTCGGCCACTGTCTCAGTCTGCTCAGGCTTTGCCACATGGTATGACAGGTGGGGACTCAAACCGCAGGTGTCCATTTTCTCACAGCTCTGGAGGTTGGAAGTCCCAGGCCAAGGTGCTGGCAGGGTTCAGCCCTCCCGAGGCTCCTCCCCCTGGCCTGTGTGTGACGGGTGAGTCCCCTGGTTTTTCCTCTCTACACCTCTGTGTCCTCATCTCCTCTTCTCATGAGGACACCACTGAGACTGGACTCAGGCCCAACCTAATTATTATCTGATTTAGTATCTCAGTTACTTTCTCATGACTGGAACACAAATCCCGGCACCCACCGCTTCAAGGGGCTGAGGTTTATTTTAGCTCAAGTTTCGGTCCATAGTTGGCCCGCTCTAAGGCAGGAAGGGCTGGTGGAGGGTCTGGCAAAGGAAGCTGCTCAGCTCAGGGCAAGCTGGAAGCAGGGAGGGAGGGAGGCCCTGCCAGGTCATGCCCCCAGTGACCCTCCTCTTCAACCAGGCCCTACATCCTAACATCTTGTTTAGGTATAGAGCTTCCTCAGTCACCTTCCAAAAGCCACACCTATGGGCACAGGAGGCTCATGGGGGACATCTAGCTATAAACCATAATAATCGGTTACCTTTTCAAGGTATTTTCCCTCCAAATACAGTAACATTCTGAGGTATTGGGAGCAGAACTTCAACATATGAATTTTAGGGGACGAAGCTACCTCAGCCCCAAACAACTACTGAGACCATTATTATCTTCACAGTACTGAGTATAGAAAATAAAACTCAGCAGTCACTTTAGGTTTCAGGGTGTGGAGTGAAAAGGGGACGACAGCTGGAGCTGGGGCTCAGCGGTAGAGTGCTTGCCTAGCGTGTATGAGGCCCTGGGCTGGCTCCCCAGCACTGCAGCAATTATAAATAAATAAGGAGTGTGAAACTGTCCTCTACAATCCATCCTGGGAACGCCACCTGCCCAGGGCTCCCACATCTTCCTGTCTATCTCCAGCTGGCCTTCCCTATTGGGCTCAAGTCCCCTTTGCCTGGTCACTCTTCGGGCTAATACATCACCCCAAACTGACCTCTTGGCTCGTCAGACACCACAAGGGTGGAGGGTGGCTGTCTGTGCTGAGCTCCTTCCTGACCCTTTCTCCTCCCTCTCCACAGGCTACAAATCCTACTGGGCAAGCGGTCGTCCCATCTCTGTAGCCCCCCATTCCTGTCTTCCTTGTCCAGCCTTCTCCAGGTCCCCCAGCTCAGAACTTGCTGACCAGAACAGCTCTGCCTTACCCTCACTGGGGCTTTGCCAGCTCAGGGCAGCCCTGGAAAACCTGGCCTCACTGCAGAGAGGGAGATACATCCCTTAGGTGCTCCAGAGGGCCAGGGAAGCAAGATCCTTTTGCCCTGGGGAGCAGGAAAAATAATACTAATGCTAATACTTAGATGTCAGGCAATGATGGTTGGAGGAATTTCATTAAAAATTGAGACCAAGAGGGAGAACGCCACCCAGCCTCTGCTGCGGCTGTTGTATGGAGCTGTCACAGAATGCCACGAAGCAGCCAGCAGCATCCCTCTCACCACATTGTGTGGGCACGTGTCATTTCTCCATTTCCAGGTGAGCAGATGAGTCTCTCTCAGCGAGTTAACCTGGTTAGGGCTTACTCCAGAACCCGTGCGCACTGCCTCCCCATACCCTAAAGACTTGCACCAAGCGTGGCAGGCTGGCCTGGCCCTGAGTCATTCTTGCTGGCCTGGCTCCTGGAGCAGCAGGGTGGAATTAACAGAGCCAGGTCCTTGCCATGTGTCTCTGCTCCACTGGGTTTGGTGCTTCAGGGACACTGGGCTCAAGGTTCATGAAACAGGCCAGGGACTGGGAGGCCACAGAGGAGAGAAACAGCAGCCCAGGAGCAGGCTGAAGTTACAGTCCACGTGGAGGGGAGAGGCAGCTCTGCTCCACGGGCCAGAACGCATGGGCTTCCTGCAGGCCTCACACCCACCTGCAGGAGAGCACTTCACCCCAGCAGTGACGTGGTGAGCTCAGAGGACCAAGCCACAGCAAAACTCTTTTCTCACAGTGACTCAGCTCCTTGTCCCTGCTGCCACCACGTCTGCTCTGGACTTGAGAACACGCAGGCTTCTACAGCAACTTTGCACGCCCATGCCAGGCTCAGGCTCCAGCACAGGAGTAGACCTTTCATCACTGGTTCCCACTGTCGTTGGCCCCAAATATAATGATAGAGCCTCCCCTCATCTCCTGCTTTCCCTAATGGGAAGGCTCTCTGTATAACAAGGGCTGGTTACAGATTCAGGAGGAAATGGAAAGTCACTGCAGTACAGAGGAGACTACTGCAAGTAGAACACCAGCTTCCATTATCTCTGAATCCATCCATCAGCTGCTATTGCTGGATTCCAAGCTACTGCTATGGATGGCTTCTCCCATCTGCCACTGAACTCATGACTCAAAGCCACAGCCCTGTAGGTTGTCCAGGCAATAGTAAAATTCTTGGCACTTCATTTCTACAAGCAGAAAAATGTATTATAAATAATTTCCCCTATTCCTCCTAGTAAGCATAGCTGAAACTGTGGACATTATCTATAAACAAACATAAGAAGATACTGAAAGCTGGAAAGAACAAGGCAGATGAGGTAGCAACCTCAGGAAGAGATGATCGTGAGTTTCATGAGACTTGCTTTTGTCTTGTGTGTCTCAGACTGTGTTTTAGATAAACTGGCAATTCATACATGCCAATTGCATAAACAAACAAAAGCCACAGAAGCAAGAAAAGTTTAAAAAAGGAGGTAGCCTGGCAAGACAAAAAATGTTTAGATAATAACTTCTCTTCGATAGCAAATACCACAGAAAAACTGGCTCCAATCCCACCCAAGACAACAAAGGCCAAGTTCAGGGCCTAGAATTCCACTGCTGCCCAGCAGGAAGCGATTTCCCAAGCCCCAGAGGGTAATGTCAGAGAACCATAGGAGCTGGGATGGTCATCCCTAATGGGAAGTAGTAACCCTCTCTCTCTGCAGTTCAGTTGAGTCCTCCTGGGGACCCTGAGCCGCCATCCTCGCCAGATAGTAATAAGATGTCATTCTTATTTGCCATGGGGCAGTGTGAACAGAGGCCTAGTGAAAGGGCAAGGTTTTCCACTGCCCAGAAGTAGCAAGGCAACCCACCACAGTGTCAGTGGAGGCTACATGGACTGCGTACCCCTCCAGCCAGGAGGCATCAGCAGAGGTCTCGTGTCCAAAGCATTCAAACAATAACCTAAACTTCCAACCCTACGTGGCAGTACTTAGATGGCAGCCCTTTTCCCCACTGCAGTGATGGCAGAAGAGTTCAGTTATAGAGAGTTAAGCAAGATCCCGAATTTCATCGTGTGAACCCAAAATTACTCTTTATATCCAGAACCAAGAATACTGTAACTGGCAAAAAAGTGAACAGATGTCAGCAGTACATGACATAGATATTAAAATTATCTGATGTGGATTTTGAAGCAACCATCCTAAAATGTTTCAGGTAGGAATTAAGAACGTATTTGAAACATGTAAAAAGTAAAA